CATGTCTCTCATGACTAAAGCAGACTGAAATGGGGTCAGGCATTCAAAGATTTACCCTGCCTTACTTTCTGCAAAATTGAGATTTTTGGATCTACTGTCTCTCCTTAAACTAATCAGTGTGGACAAAATCACATAGTCCTCCTCTAGGGCATCTGCTAACATACCTGTTAGAGCTGGATATAAATACATTTTTGATACAGACACCAACACTGATACCTAGATTTAAATTCTTGAAAGATATCTTCTTATAAATACACTATATGGCAATAAGTATGTGGGCACCTGACCAGCACACCAACGTGAGCTTGTAGAACATCTCATTCCAAAACCATCGGCATTAATATAGAGTTGCTCGCCCCTTTGCGGCTATAACAGCCTTCACTCTTCTGGGAAGGCTCTCCACAAGAGTGTGTCTGTGCGAATTTGTGCCTATTCAGTCAGAAGACTTGTGTCAGTGTATTTGTTGGACAAGAAGGCCTGGCTTGCAATCGATGTTTCAATTTATCCGAAAGGAGTTTAGTGGGGTTGAGGTCACAGCTCTGTGCAGGCCACTGCATAACCATTTCTTTATGCACAGCGGCAGTCACGCTGGAACAGGAAAGGGTTCCCCAAACTGTTGCCACAAAGTTGGAAGCTTATAATTGTTTAAAATGTCTTTGTATGATTTGGTATTAACATTAGTCTTCACTGGAACCAAGGGGCCTAGCCCAAACCCTGAAAAACAGCCCCAGACCATTATCCTTCTTCCACCAAACTTTACTGTTGGCACTATGTGATAATAACAGCTCTAACAAGCTCATATATATTCTCAAGAAATACAGAGAATACATGACCTAAGGCCAAGTTAGAATAACACAGCCAATGCTTTTGTGCTAATGCATTGGCATCCACGAAACCTAGATTTGTCCCTCAGACTGACAGATAATGAAACGAGATTCATTACTCCTGAGAACATGTTTCCAGAGCCCAGTGGCAGCGTGTGCTCCACTACTCTAGCTAACACTTGGCACTGTGCATAAACAATCTTTTGATGCTCCTGATGCATAGTCACTCCTATGGATTTCAGCTTTCACTCAAAAATGTTCCTTCTTCAGTTAGTTCTATTCATTACCGCATGAGTTTCCCATCCAATATCCGATTTTTGATGTCACATCCATGAATGTGCACATTTACTAACTTCACTACCTGCAACAGCAGACATTATCATCCTCCCAAAAACCCTCCTTAGGAAGGCTTGAAAAGCTTTTGCATGGAGCGTGCATTTTCTGACACCAGCATGTAAAATGCACAACTGAATGTAATATTTGATTGAATGCAAAAGATAAAGGAGTTTGGCTTGTCCAGTCCTTGATAAACTTCTTTGCCACCGTAGCTCTGTGTTTTAGATCTGTGTTGCGGGTGTCTGGAGGCATTTCTTTTAAACAGATAGCTGTGATATTTCTGAAGTCTGAAGTCTTTTAAATATACAAATGTGGTATTCTTTAAAGGGGTACTCAAGCCAAAATCAAAAACTCAACCAATGATAGTCCTGTTGTAAACATCACCCTTTACAGTTGTGACGCAGCAGTCTTTGGAGCAACGTTTCCTGGTTGTGTACTGGGAATGCCCCTCTCTGATGACATGTATCTTGAAGACAGAAGTAAATTTTGAAGACTACAATTGCTTTGGGGCAGATACTTATACATATAGCTGACTGACTAGCTAATACCATTGGGCAAGTGTAGAAGGAAGCCAGAGAGCGAAAGCTATGAAGCCAAATTATTCAAGCAATGAGACTGACTCATGAGATGAGGAGAATGACAGGCTAATGTAGCGAGTTAACTACCTAGCTAACAAGATACCATACCTCAGTTTGGCCATTTTTCTTGGGCTGAGAGTGCAAGGAATTTGTAATTTATGTTGAATAAAGATGGAGTTGCCATTTTTGTTGCAATCTGTCTTTGCGGATATCCAATAAATTTGCTTTTCAGATCTTTCTCGTAGTCTTCTGATTTGAAGGGCGGATTGCACACTTAAGCATCTAAGCATAAGAATCTAATACGCCTATATATTTTATGCAGCATTAACATACTTTTTTTTAATTGTTCTGCTAACTTGAAAAGGGGTGAGGGACATTTTTATTATTGTTATGGCTATTCAGAATTGTGAATGTGTTACTTTCCATTATTGTGTGAAAATGTTGCATATAATTTTGCATTTATCTGCCAAGCATGGGAGTCCGTTACATGTCATCTGACATTTTTTAGGAAACAACTAGGATGCAATTCCTAGTTCTCTCCTACTGGATATATATGAAATAGATTACACCTCTGCAGTAACAGTAATAATAGATCATTTATCCAAAATCTTTTACCCATGTAAATTGTGAGGACTTTTTATTTTGCTGCTTGGAAATGCTTGGAAATGTTGGGGAAAAAATGAGTTATAGCTAAAGACAGAACTGGACTATCACCCTCACCGTTAACTTAATCAAAAAATTAGCAGAATGACTGGCTTAGCTACTACTAATAAAATATGAATGATATTGGTATATTTACCAGTAAACCTGGCATAGAAACTAGCATTATAACATTATCAGCATATCTGAGGAACAGTGACCAGTGTTTGTTTGATACAACTTTCTTGTGCTTACTGAAAATTGTGCTAGCTCCACACATTTTCCCTTATTTTGTTGAAGTACAGTTAGAAAAGATAGCCACTACAAGCTTATTTTCCAGACAGCTTTTTTTTTAAAGTTTTTTTGATGAGTATAAGCCAAAAAAGCATGAATCAGTAGCGGGTGAGATATAATGAACTTTTGACCACATCCCACCACACCACGAGGATGTGGTCTACCTTCTTTCATTCTTCTTTTATGACACTGCAGTGTCGGGGACTTCTTGCCTCTAATTAGTGTAGTAGTTTAGATTAAACCCAGTTCATTTTCCATGTCACTAGCCAAATCAATGTATTTCCCAGTGGATCTTTTTGGGCAGTTAATTAAAGTGGATGCATCTGAAAATTAAGTGCTGGCTTTTTTCCATAAATGCAGACTGTGCCATCACACTTTAACTATTAGCAATTTTAGGAATATCTTCATCCACAGTGTCATAACCGTAAGCCATACCCCTTGGGTCTTACAGCAATTCTGATGGTTTAAACACTTTGGGGATATCTTTAAATTGTCAGCATGAAGCAAAGACACTGAAAAGGCTGTGCCTTGCACTGGTCAGATCAAACATATTCTTCCTTCTGTTCAAGTCTCCACAAAACTAACTAGGCAATTTTCTCCATTCTTGACCTTGCTATTGCCCAAGGTTTCATATTAACCCCTTAAAATCCCAGGCTTGTTACATACTAAGTCTTATTTTTCAGGAACTACAGGGACTTTAATGCAAACTGGTTCAGCTTTTCTTAGGTTTTAGAAGTGTGTAACAAAACCTTCGTAACCCTGGCTATTTATGGGGTTAAGCAGAGATCCAGGGACAATAGTGTATATGTCCACACACACGCATCACACATAGCCAAAACTTAGTGGGTTTGGCTGTTTTAGCCATTCAGCCACATTCACTGCTAACAGGTACATAAAATCAAGCACACAGCCATACAATCTCCATAGACAAACACTGGCAGTAGAAAAAGGTCATACTGAAGAGCTCAGTGACTTTCAAAGTGGCTCTATCATGAGATGCCAACTTTCCAACAAGTCAGTTTGTCAAATTTTTGATCTACTATAGCTGCCCCTACAAAGCTCCAAACTGCCTCTGGAAGCAACATCAGGACAAAAACTGTTTGTCTACGCAATGCCAAGCATTGGCTAAAGTGGTGTAAAACACAGTGCCACTGAAACAGTGGAAACACATTTTCTGGAGTAATCAATCACACTTCATTGTCTGACAGTCTGATAGATTGATCTGAGATTGGCGAATGCCAGGGGAATGCTACCTGCCCGAATGTTTGCTGCCATTTGTTTAGTTTGTTGGAGGAGGAATAATGGTCCCCATGCACAAAGAGGTCCATGAACAAATGAGTTAAGTGTGAAGAACTCGACCAGCTTGCAGAGCCCTGACCCCTTCTAATCAATGATTTCAGCAACTTCAAGGGGCACCCACTTCTGACAAAGGTGTTTAATTGGGCACACACAGCTTGTATCATCACCAATAGAATGGGACGCTCTAGAGCAGCAAACTATTTATGATCACCATGCCCAATGCCAAGTGAAGACTAAAGTGGTATAAAGCTCCCCAGCATTGGGCTATGGAGCAGTAGAACTGCATTCACTGGAGTGATGGAGTATCATCAAATATCACTGTGCAAAGTTGGAATGGCATTTGTGATACAGAATTAATTCAACATCAGTACCTGACATTAATAATGCTCTTCTGACTGAATACAATCAAATCCTCACAGCAATGTTCCAAAACTAAGTGTAATGCCTTCCTAGAAGAGCAGAGGCTACTGCAGCAAAGGATAAATGTGCCATCTAGTGTTGAAGACAATGACTCGCAGTCAAGGTTCAGGTCAAAAGGTGGTACAAATGATGATGGATATCAGGGCTGTACTTGTAAAGTATCTCAGAGTAACAGTGCTCACTGCAACTGGTAGTTCTACTTATATTATAAAGAATTTGGTCACAATATCTAGCCACTGTGAGATGCTTTGTGAAGGTGTACTTTTCCAATTTGACCCTTGAAGAAATGAAGATCTATCAAACATATTTACCCACCATAGGGCACGGTGAATGCATAGAATTTTCTTTATGGGAACATGACATCTTGTGAACAGTTATGCAGAACAGACAGTGTACACTTGCCTACAGAGCACAAATTCACCATGTTCACCTTTTTTATGTATATCAAAATAAGGCAAACAAGAGCCTCTCAATACTCTTTCAAATGGAAAATATATAATGTTGGCAGTGTTGAATTTACTTTCAGTTAAAGGTGTAGGTCAACGTACAACACTTCGTTGTGTCCTTGTGTAGGCATGTGGTTAAAAAATAAATAACTGCAATACAGAACTTAAACTTTTAGCATTAGCTATGCTATACAGTCACTCAGACTTACAGGGAATGGACAAAGTAATGAAAATATCACATAAAAGGGGCTATTTGATCCCCTACAACCAACATGTAAAAAGCAATAACTACATGACATTCTCACTGATTATATAATCAATAATTAAATAATTAATAAATAATTAATAATTAAAAATAAAGCAGTGAACCCATACAGCCTTCTCCTGAACGTTCATCATCTGAAGCTGTTTTAAAGACAAGTCAGCTTAACTCAACTTATATCCATATATTACCTTGTGTTTCCATGACTTTATATACCCCCTGTAAGTCACCAGCTTATCATATTTTTATGTTCCAGAACTATTACACTCTTTAACATACTAGCTTAATATCTGAATGTAACACTTCTTGTTCAGTAAACTCTAACAATTACTGACCACTCTAGACATACAAAAAATATAAGAATCTTTCTAGTTCACATAAAAATTTTCTAGACAGTGGTTCTCAAACTTGGGTCAACAAGCTTAAATATAAACTACACATACATAAATGTCTATTAAAGAACAAAGGGCTTCATTCACCAATATCTTGTCCTGTTCTTGAGAAAAGTTCTAAGAAAAACTCTACGTCAGACTTATAATGTGTTCTTAAACCGCAGAATTGTTCACATCATTATGCTCTTGAGTGTGCGTAGATTCTGTTCTTACCCAAGAACAAATCCAAAATAAGTAAACATTGGTGAATGTCAAAATTTTCATGAAAAACTGCAGAATTTATCCTTAAGAACAGTTGGTAATGAGGACCATTGTTTTGGTCTGTAAAAAAATTAGTCCACATTAGTAAAGTTCTGCATCTTGAGTGTTGGTCTGCAAGCTGAAGATCACTTTTCCCTCCTCTTGCTCAGCTCAACCACATCCCACAAAGCTTTGCATCTGACTACAAGCGCATCTCTCTAATCAAGCGAGTATGCTGAGGTTCACATTTGCTAGTGTAATCATTTTAATGCTGAAATTAAAAAGTTTGAGGACCACTGCCCTTGACATCATATCTTAAAGGAGGTCCAGTGATTATATTCCTGACTAACAAATGCACTTTTACTCCTAATAAACAGACACAACCATCATCATATCCTATACTTGACCACTCATTTACAAATTCAAATCGGTCACTAATCTCTTTCACCATTTCACACTCACCCCTGACCCTTCACCCCCAAATGGTTACATGGCAGATGTCTGTTGTTTGGCTGTACATGTGAAATAAAACATCCCTAGTCTTAAAGTCCAGTCTTTAAATTAAAATTATTGCTATGATTGCAAGCAAATGGACAAAGGCTTTATCATGGCTCAAGGCTTAGTGGAACACCAAATGTCAGTTAGGGCTGGGTATCAAAAATATTTTCGACATTGATACCAATTCAGATACCTTAATTTTGACATTGATTTTAGAACAATACTTTTTCAATACATTCTTTCAAATTACACTGAAATATGAATAATATGAATAATATGACTACTTAGGTACTGAAATTCAGTACTGAATGACAAAGAATACTTTGATACTCGGCAGTATTTTAGTAATTCCGTCGGTACCATAAAAGTATTATATTTTGATACCCTTTTGATACCCTAGCTGTGATCACTGTGAACAAAGCAGGACGCATCATTTTTCATAAAACATGTATTGTGCTTCTCATTACTCAGTTTATGCAGATGAAAGAGGCCGCTGTACTTATTCCTCAGATCTGTTTGCTGTTTCACAAAATTGTTCATTAAAAGTCTTAAGTCAAGAGGTTATTCTCTACTTCTCCAAAATGGCATTTCTCCTGAGAAAACCCTGAGTTAAAAAAAAAAAAAGCCTTCTTCTCAGCTACCTGGTAACAGTACATGGGTATTCACAGAAAAAAGAGTGAATGAACTGTGCCGTGTCTGCCAGGGGTGGTTTAGCTATCCTCAAGTCAGTGGGATAAAGCCAACATCAGGAGCATCACTGAGAATGAGAGGGCTATGGCTGAGCGAGTATGGTGGACTGGGCAGACGGAAGCTGGCTTTATGTGTGTGGAGGGAGGCCCGTTTGCTCCCTCTCGGAGGGCAAGACTTGTCCATGGGGCGGCGAGCCTGTTGTCCTGAGCAGCCAGTAGGCGGGGGCCTACTAGATGCTGACAGAGTGCTGGAGACAGTACTGAGGAGACTCTCCTGGGTCACCAGGGCAGTCTTAGGTGTTGCTGGGGTGCAGGTGCTCTGGATCAGTGAAGAGTGAGCAACTGACTCCAGAAGCTCCTTAGTTCCCTGTGTGCACTGCACACAATGAGGGAACAAGGGAGGGAGAGTGAGAAGGGGAGAAGGTAAAAAAAAAAGAAAAAAAGAATCAGTTTACGAACAGTGAAACCAGGGAATTCAGCCTCTTAAAGGACAAAGACACATGGCAATGACATATGGTGCATAATTAAGAAAGCACAACAAAACATGCACTGAAAACTGGAAAGACAACATGGTAAGGGTGAGGCAGCATGTTTTATCATAAAGAATGTCAGCACAAAGAATGGCACACACAAGCAGTCTCTCCAAGAATCACCACATGAAGAAGAGGCAGTACTGTGCAAGGTAAATGGTTTCCCCAAAGCCACTAGGGGTGAAAAGACGGGCTGGTTTATGTCAGGAAAAGCATCCAGCATTTAGATACATGTATGATTACTATGCAAAAGCTTCAAGCTGTGAAACCCAAGAGCCCAGCAAATTGAGCCCTCTGGAATGTCTGAAAGCGAAGAAGAAAGTGGATGAGCATTGTCAGTATGCATTTACTTGAAAACTGTTATTACACAGCACACGCCTGTAAGGGTCTGATAGGAAGTAAAATCAGGGTTTGGAGTATATGAATAGAACATAAGAAATGGAGAAACAAGACCTATGCCACTATTGCACAAGTCTGATTGCAATTCATTTTAAAAGTGCATTCGACAATTTGTTTTTTCTTTTCATACTAGAACAAATAACCTTAATAATATCTAGAACATGAAAAAAAATAGCTTTAGCAATGTCATCAGCAGAAGTGTATTATGTGCCTAACAGTGTTAAAACACAAATATTTTAGTACTTCCCTGAAAAGTTCTTACAATAGCAACATGAAAAATGTAGAAAATGATAGAAAAGAAAATGATCACACTACATATTAAAGCTGGACATTCAGAGTGTTAGTAAAAGTCACAGAGCTAGGAATGTAGAAGAAAGCTGCAACAGAGAAGGTAGGAAATGAATGTACACTGAGCTGAATATGCAGTAAATGGTAGTTAAGTCATGAGAGGAGCAGAAGGTGGCAGAGTTGCATGCAAAACGCCCAGTAATACACTCTTACCATCCATACTCAGACACCTGCCAGAGTGTTCAGGCAGTACAGGAGACAGCAAAGTCCTGACAGTTCTCCTCCTGTTGAAATCAGCTAACATCATGTTACACACTGCACTGCTTTAATCATTGCATTGGTAATCAGGAATCCCTGCAACTGGCAGGCACACATACAACAGCTGGAAATTGTATAAAAGTTTTTTTTATAAAAATTAACCATTGTTCTCAACACATACATGTAATTTGGTTACATATAAGTTGTAACAATTAAAAAAAAAAAACACTAGTGAGGGGGACAGAGTTATTTAACCTGGGCATTAGCAAATAAAGCTCCATGCACTGAACAACATCAGCCCTGTAGCAAGATAGATCCTGGAGTTGGTATTGTGTATGCTTATCAAATTCCTGTTTGATTATTATTATTACTATTATTACTAAGTTCCGGTTCAGAGCTTATTTGCACATATTGCTACTATGTCATTTTGAAATCCCAGTGAAAGCACTTTGACAAATCACACATTTGGCGGAACTCTTATTTTAGTGTTTAGGTGTGAAAGTCCATCAACTAAATCTTAAAAGTAAGAGGGTGTTTCTTGGGTTATAAACATTCTTACATTGGCTTGGGACTCATTTTTAATATCACTCATAAGTGCTGCACATGGCCTCAGATACATCAAGCTATGATGTCTGCTGTTAGATCAACTCTCCTGTTCCTCTAAACAAGTTTAGCTTTATATGCAAGGCCAAAACTCATCTTAAATCAAGACTCTTTTGATAAGTCTGGTACACAAGACCCCAAAAGTTTAATGGCTCTCTTTCATTTAGATTTATTTGCCTCAACCCAACAGATGAAAATGCATCCAACTGACATTATGTATGTGAGCCTTGTAGCTCCATCATTAAACTAAAGAAGTAAAATTTGGACAATAAACAAGCCGATCGACTACATTTGCTGACTGACTACATTTGGGATAAGTGGAAAATTGTGTACATTTAATTTTTGTCAGGTATGACAACTCTAGAAGGAGTCTAATGAGCAAGGAACTGACATTCTTACCATGTTGGTGTCATTCTTAGACATGAAAGGATGAAGATCAGTATCAGAGTTGACAGTTTGAGGGATCACATCCGGAGGTAAAAAGCCTCTTCTGTCAATCAAACTGAAGCACAACAGAAATCATTAGGAGTGATTATAATTGTGTAAAGTGACTGATGCAGAATTCTCTAATACTATATCGAGAACAAAAATCAGCTGCTTTTTTTTACTGCAATAATTTGCTATTCTAGTAGTTTTTCTACCTTAACACCTTTACTGATCACTCATGACATGACATTGTCATGCATCTCTAGCCTCCTTATTACAGTACTGACCTGGGAGGCATGGGTCCACACAGCACCACACAACAGTTAGTGAAGATACTGTTGTAGGTGTAAGGGTTCCCTGAATCTTCTGCTCCTCTTTTACTTGACCAAGAGCCTTTTATCTGGGAAGGATTGCCAATTTGAAGAAGTTGTCAGAGTTCAATGACATGTAAATTTCAATTTCAATAGGTGCCTCTGTGAAATATACTTCCAACTCCAGAGACTGATTTAATAAATATCAACACAGGAAACGTGATTTGTACCAATCTTCCAGAATCTGTGCTCATAGCAAGTGATTGTATGGCAATACTTACATCTTCATTGGTTGTGAGGTTGGAGGCTACCAAGTATGTATGGAAGCCAGAGAGGCCCAGAATAGACCAGATGGAGAAGAAACAAACAACCAGCTCGACGACAGTGACAGAGGAGTTAAGGTGTAATGGAGATATCAGTTGCAAATTATTAACATGTAATGCTCCTCATATCAAGCATGATCATATTTAAGTGAATCTGCCATGTTCCTCACTGTGGAACTACAAACAATATATAAGCATAATTATTAGACAGTACTTATATATATACAAAAAACATGTTGCTAGAACAATACAGTTTGCTTAACTGCATCCTAGAGCCAACAACTCAAGACCCCTCTGCTAAACCATATGGACCAACAGGACACTTTCCACCAGCTACGTGAAACCACGCAAACACACAAGCCATGCTGCCTAGTCAGTGACATCATTCTGTTTTCTTTCAGGAGACTGGACACCTGCTTGGCAGTCAGTCTTTAGAAGTAGCAGCAGCTACATGTGATCAAGAGTGTACGGCCCAAAGGAGTGACTGAGCCGATTAGGGATGAATGGGATTAGGAGTGGAAGAAGCAGCAGCATCATCAGCAGCAGACTGTGATCTGGGAAACAGACAGCCAAACTCCCTCAGTCTGCCCACAGGGTGAATATGCGGGACATGAATGAATCATCAATGCCAGGTAGCAAGGTAGCGAGATAGTACATATGGACAGAAAGGATATCTGGCTGGGCTTTCCTGTAAGGCTTGAATAAAACCTCTTCCACCTTGTGATCCTGTTTGTAAAAGAAATGATTAATCAGCAAACAATCAAGATCGGGAAATATCAAAATATAAACAACTACAAACGTCATTAATAATCGTGAAATGCTTCCACCATCATAACTAAACTACTATTTTAGTGTTGAGCTCCTTCAGCACTACTCAGATCCAGCTAGAAGAAAGCACCTAATGTTATCTGGGCATATAAGCATAAATTAGGGTTTATGAATAGATACTGCTTTCATCACCCCACAAAACACAACAAATACTCACAGACGTATACTTGTGTACTCTGTGTAAGCATTTGATCATTCAAATCTGGCAGCTTGATGCCAGAGTAAATGACAGAACACTACCACCTGTTACTCTAAGATTAGTGCAGATTTAGAGGTACTAAGCCAAACATTTTCAAAACTACAAAGCTAAATATAGAAGTCATTCAGCAGCACTACAAATACCAATGTTGAGGTGATTGTATCATTTAAAGCATGAATCCCAGTGTAAACCCATGAACAGTTCTTTCTTAAAGTATTTGAGAGACTAACAGTGACAGTTTGGTGACACACATGAGGTTGTGTATGTACGTATATGTAAAAATGTGTGTGTGTGTGTATGTTATGTATGAGTCATAACATGGTAGCTGGAGATGACTTACGTAAAGTGAGATGTGTGATCACACATCCAAAAATGAAGGAGGTGAGAAAGGACAATGAGACTATAAAGGTATAGAAAAAGCGATAGTTGCGCTTCCCAACACAATTCCCCACCCATGGGCAGTGGTGGTCAAAACGCTCTGTATGGGGAACAAACAAGCATAAGTAATTACATTAGAATTTACTTGTGCCGTAAATCAGTGATTCCCAACGCCGGTCCTGGAGACCCATTCTTCTGCATATTTTAGTGTTTTCCCTGCTGCCAACATAACTAATCTATCTTATCAGGTCATTAACAATGCGTTGAAGTGGGTGTGTTAAAGCAGGAAAACCACTAAAATGTGCAGAGCAGTGGGCCTCCAGGACCAAAGCTGGGAAATACAGCCATAAATACACTTATTATTAATTCAATGTTCTATTTGTTTTATTAGACATAAATAAAAAGACTTGGGTCTATATAAAGTATTCTTAGTACAAACATTTCATTCTTTTTTTAGATTTCAGTTGTTTGAGTAAGGTCTTACCTACACAGTTGTCACAAAGACTACAGTGAGAAGTACGGGGTGGGCGGAACATCTTGCATGTGAAGCAATATTTGAGTTTGACCACTTGTCCGTTAATAAGGATTTCCTTAGTACGTGGTGGTGGCCTGTATGTGCCCGACCCGGAGTTATCTAGGAATATGAAATACACCTTGTATAAGTATACACACATAAAGAATACAGAAGTCAATCCCATATTGACCCGGTTAACATTTCAAACTAATCGTATCATAACCCATACATAAACATTATCAAATACTAACTACAACCACACTCAGTCTCATAGTCATCTACCCATCGCGGTTTACTCAAGACTCTTACCGATTTGACGCTCTATGTCAGCAGCCTCTTCTGGTAAAGCCCTTGGTAAGATCCCTGGGTCTGTAAAGCTGGTCTGAAGAAGAGTGATGACCACAAACAAAAACAGCACGCCGGCAATCACAGGGATGCAGACAGTGAGGTGAGCCACCAGAAAGGGGCAACTGTTGGGAAACAGATGTCAGAATGTCAATAACTCCACAAACTGCTGGATGGCTAACATGCCACCACTTGTCAAAACAAGCCTGATTTCCCTGCAAGTAAGTATAATTACTATTGCTAATTTCAACATTACTTAAAACATGAAGCAAATACAGAATATACTCCCTTATTATTGTTATATTATTATAACAAACTGCCAAGAATGACACAGGGCCTCACGGTACTCACTCAAACACGAAGAATAAGCCACTGGTGAGGAGAATAAGGCCGAGTGTCAGAGGCAGTACACCGCACTGCCGGGCGACGATGATGCGTCCATCACAGTAGAAGCGATTTCTGCCGGGGAAAACTTCCCATTTTCGTCGCAGACGATGAGCATTTTTCTTCGCACATGGCAGAGTGGAGCTTGGCGTTGAGGCTGGTGTTCCGAGAGCTCGGGGGTCGATTTGTTGATATTCGCAGTTTTTCATTATAAGCGACTGGGACCAACGAAGAGTTTAACAGAGGTAGATGGCTAAGCTAACCAACTTGTCAAACCTGACAATGTTATCCTAGTTTTACAAATAAAGATTTGCCCCACAACAAAAATCCTTAACTGTTTTTGAATGGTAATAGAGCAGAGTAACCTGGATGCCTAAACATGGCTAGCAAAATGCTGCAACATAAACGCATTGACAAGTTTCACCAGCGAAGCTAATTAACGTTAGCTATGGAAGCTACACTAAAACAGCAGCATTTTCTCCCCCAAATAAGATCCCTGCCTGTCAAAAAATGTGTTTCCAGTCTGTTAAAGAATCTATTTAGTCTTTCATATACTGTTTAACAATACTTTAGATAGTCGGCGAGGTAAGTAAATACGACGCAGTATTAAACACGAGCTGGCTAGGCTAGCAGCAGTAGCATTAGCCAGTAAAGAATACTGGTTGGCCCATTAAATTTTTAAGACACCGTTGGGCTTTGCCTTGGGATGTAATACTATAGCTCGTTAAATGTTGACATTTCACAATGAGTGCTACATTCAGTACATGCTACTGAGTCAGCTCCGTTAACCGTTGGTTAGTTATCTGAAACAGCGCTCGGCTCCAGCCCCGCTGTCTGTCCGGCCGACTCATCTGACCGCGGACTCCATTCGGACTTCTCCGCTTCTGCTCAGCCACCGTGTCGGCTCACTCCACGGCTCATCACTCCGCTAATCGCCCACCTCCAAACTTCACCCACTGCGCAGAGGGAAACGTTATGTGTCGTAGCTACGGGTGTTTTGAACAAGCTTCCAGTGATCGGCCTTTATAGATATCGATTAAGTTTTCAGTTTTCCAGCAGGCGCTAGCAAACCGCTTGTTGTTGTTGACACTCGCGTCACTTCCCTATCAGGAGGAGATTTACCTGAGGTGACTGATGAGACAGAAGCCCAAGGGAAAGGTGCACGTTTTTCTTCCCTGAGTATCATCATAAAGAAGAATCATTTAACCATGCAAAGAGCTATCCATAGAGATGCTTTAAAAGCATCCATATGTACATAGAAAAACACTAATAAAATATATATTAAAAAAGGGTATAAACTGTCCAATCATCTGTAACCTTACCTATTCACCAGGCTATTGCTGTGAATTGTGCTGCTCAACAAATTACGGATGTTTCAATAAATTACAGGTGTTAAATTATTAAAACAAACAAATATTAGGCCTATCACTATATGCCTAGGTAGCGCCTGCATGTGTATTATGCTCCTGGCCCACACAGTTATGTAGTGGTCTGTTGTAGCGATTGGATGGCTGTAGATAACACTGTTCCAGTTCATTCTCCTCCAGACAGAAACACCACTGCTCCACCAGTAACATTCACTCTAAATTGCTCTGGTTAATAAATGTAAGTAAGGCAATTCATGCACCCATAAACCAATGGAAACGTGATGGGAGGAAGTAGATATGAATGTACCCCACCCACTGGGCCTAACAGACTCGAGCTGCAGCTCGAGTCCTGGTAGTGTAGGTTTCCTCCAGAAGATCGACACAGTCTAAAAATCTGCCCTCTCGTTTTAATACCTGTTTTAACAAGCCCTCGTCCACTTAGTCTTGTCATTTCCCATTCAGAGGAATCCCCAGCACAATCTTAGTAGCTCAAGTGAAGGGTGTTATATCCTTCATGAGGTGAGGGATTGAGCAAACACCAGGGTCGACTTCAGCAGCAAACTGTTTCTTAGCTATAGCAATAAACTACTTTAAAGTGCTTAACGTTTTAAAATCGTTACATGCAATTTGCTGGGCTTTAAGTTACAAACTGCTCCATCTGTTATGCATGACTGCCAATCCAGCTTCATTACTTTCCTCTGCTAGCTGGCTGCTAGCATGCTTATGGCTACACGGCTAACAAGAACAAAAAGTAAGGCACACTACACTTATAAATCAATTATAGCCAGACAAAGCAATTACTAACATTATGTACACTTTATTCACTTCTTTAAAAATATATTGCACTGCAAAGTTTAGCCGATTAGCCCACTGAGGCTAACCTGCTGAGGGCGAGTGCGTTCCGTTTGAATCATTCGCTCCTCAATGTCCCCTCATCCGCTTCTGCCACAAGTGGCCACTTCTGTAATGTAGGTGTAATGTACATCCAAGTGAGTCGATGTGGATGAGGTCAAGTCGAAAAAAAATAATTGAAACAGGGCACTGGGTCATGTAGGTTACTGTACTCGAGGAGCATTTAGTACACTGTATAGACTAAGTGAAAGGCAACATTCATCTAAGCAATCAGATATCAATAGAGCAAATTCAGTTACACTACTACTACTAATAATAATAATAATAATAATAATATATTATTATTATTATTATTATTATTATTATCCAATAGAAGTAACGGACTTAGCCAATCAGCTTGCAGGACTGAAGTACTTTGATGTTGCTAGCCAATGAGATTGCAGTGTTCCACTTTTTGGGTAAGCTAACTGAATAATAATAACAGAATCATAATCAAATACAACAAAAGTCACTTTTCCACTGCATCCACTTGACTCGCTTTTCTTGGTTTTCCACTAGGCAAATCTAGTACATGGTACTGGTTACTATTTTTGGTATCACCTCCGTTGAGGTTCCAAGCAAGCTGAGCCGATACCTACAGGTGACATAAAAACACTAAGAGAGAACCACTAAATGCTAACAATAGCTATCAAGTTAGCGTACACTCTTGCATCATCTTTGAGCAACCAGAATCGTCTTGTCTGGTGTAGTATTTCCCAAACTCCCGTTTTTTTCAGCAGTATTTTATCTTGCTGCCAGTCCTCTATTCTGAACAAAAAATTGTCTTCTTCATGTCTCAGCAGTTTCATGCAGCATCGCCTTGATGACCAGCTACATTGGGTGGGTTCTGTATCTGCAGTGGAAAACGAAGTAGCTGGAACCAAAAGCGAGTAGAGCTGAGTTGAGTCAAGCAAAACTGTACCATTCAGTGGATACACCAAGAATATTAAGTGAACTACAGGCCTCTGACAAAGAGCGTTTGTCTCTGTAAGTTTTAGTGCCACTCTTAGCAAAACTGTTTTTTTGGTGCTATATAGGGCGTTTTTTTAACGACTCTTTAAAGAAACATATACGAAGTTTGGCTCCATAGAGACGAACCATTTATTCATGCAAAGAACCACTTGTGTATTCAAATATTTCTTTGAGTGTTCACGGTTGTACATATAACCATCGCTAATCGCTCACATTTGGAGTCACATTGCTTATTATCAAAATGTTTTTATTCAGTCAAATCTGGCATTTTACGTTTATTTGTGGCTTTGTAGATGAGTAGAAAACAAGACTCTCCATTTTGCCATGGTAGCTTTCAAAATTCAGCAGGCACATCTCTGGACCAAGATATCCACCTGAATAGAGCTGAAAAGCGACTAGCAATGGTTACTGTTTAGAGAACTGAAGAAAAAAAGGGGCAGGTCTGGAGATGGTATGATTGGCTCAGTTCCGGATATTTACAGTCTAGTCGCAACCCTGTTCTGTAGTCCAGCACATGGCTTGTGCCGTATACCTGATACTGTACAGTGTACTCCTATTAACAATAGTGTGCAATATACAGTATTTACTAGTGCAGCACGCATTATGTGGTAAAGTAGTATGCCATTTTGAATGCACTCATATTTTCACAAGAGGTCGCCAGAAGCATCATATTGCTAGACCTTTATAATAAGAGAAAACATCAGCTGAGGTTTATTACTAATGCTAATTTATTAAAGTGGTCTCTGTTTTATCAGGAAACAAGTTTCCTGCCATGAGACCAGGAACACTGCAAAGTCAGATGATGAAGTCATATTCAAAGAAATTTATAATGCAGTGCCAACTGGCCGAGACCAAAAGTGAAATAACGTACAATTATTCCACATCTTATTTCTGATTTTGTGGTTAAAACATCTTAAAATATCTGTAACATCTCTAAAATAGGTATTACATATTTAAAATATGAATAATATATATCGTGGTGTCAGCCACAGGGCGCACTGCTGAGGACCACCACACCACACTCCTGGCATAAAAAGAGACATTTGTTGTTGTTTATGCTGCTGCTGTTAATGGTATGTGGTGTGCTTGCCGCACCAGCCAGCCTTCAAGCTGCTGCTGCCAATGCAGAGAGGACAGAACTCATCCTCAGAGCGCAAAGAGCACTACATGGCCGAGGAGCTCAAGGAGGAGCCTGCAGACCCCAAGCAGGCCACACACAATCAGTGGTGGAGTGACTGGTGTGCAGACACTGTAGGAAGAGGGGACACAGGGCTAGTCAATACCACAAACCTGAGCCAGCGGGGAAACAGAGGCCAGCTAGGAAGATTGGTGGCTGCCACGGTTGTAATATAGATGGGAAACAGCGCACTGCCCTCACTGACACTGGCTCATCAGTGATACTGCCACGTCCAGACATGCTCCCTCACATTGAGAGCGGCACACCTGCCATTTAGGAGGTGATGAGCGTCCATCATCGGTGGCACCACAGCTTTTTGTGGGTAAAGCCACCAATGGTGGAGGAGCTGAATAAACAGCGCCAGTGCATGGATCCTCGAGGGCCACTGGTGGCCTGCTGCCATGAGGAGCTTAGGGGGTGTGGCCATGTAAAGTGGTTCTCTCACCACAGTCCTGGCATAAAAAGAGATATTTGTTGTTGTCTATGCTGTTCTACTGTCAGTGTGTAGTTGCCTTCACTAGAATAATTGTGGCCGAAGACATGGGCTTTGTATTGTAACAAGTGGTTATTAGTGTCTACCCTCCTTGGATGCTGTGTCCTCCCACCTTACCACCTCCCTGTGTTTCAGGTAACATTTATACACAGAATTTGTCACTCACATTAAGAGAAAACTATCCTCTGAATGTATCAAACACTAAAAAAGTAACAGGCAGAAAAGAAAAAAGAAATTATTTACCCGCCACTTAAACCCACACATTAGAATTAATTATTTAATGTTTGTATTTTTATTTATTCATAGACAAAGTTTACTTGTCTTCTCCTCTTAAATATTTTATTTTCTTGCGTACAAAATAACGTGTGGAGTTCTTTCAACTATGATGTTGCATCAGGACTCCTGAATTTTCAAAAACAAAGCTACTTCCCACTTTACTCTGAGAAAAATCATAGAAATCATTAGTGTAAAGTGTCTGGGACATACAGTGTAAGGACTAATGGTTTAACGTGTTCTGAAACTGATGTATTTAAAAGGTATCCAATGGGATCTAGAGGTGTCCTACAGGAAACTAGTGGGCTGTAATAGTAACCATTAAGCAATTCCTGTTAGAAAGAAAAAACATCAGGTTTTAATCCTAATAGTTGTAATGTTTTTTTTTTGTTTTGTTTTTTTTTCCAGCAGGGTGATCATATGAACGGGATCAGTCGGGTGAACAAGTTCTTCCTCATCACTTCTTCTTCCTCATCGTCAATGACGCTTAAAAGCAGCAAAACGGAAGAAGGTCGAGTTGTTTTCATTCTAATCAACTGTCAAGAATACCGACATACAGCTGACCACGTAGTTACCCCGAAGAACGTGGCCCTCAAAGACGTTCTTCTCCTCCAAAGTCTGACTACACGCAAAACCTTTTAGTACCACGAGATGGCGACACTGGATAATCACTTATTCAGGCCTACAGAATACAGTAATCACCACAAGAGAAAAGCTTTATAATGATTTACAATGGTAACTTGGCTCTTTGACGCACATACTAGAAATCAGTTTCAAGAAATTCTTGATAATCGTTTTTTCACCAGCACTGTCCTTAACAACCCTACAACAAAGCTGCTGAAACGGTCATCTAGGGACAATGGGCTAACAGTTACCATGCTAACTAGCTTTTTTTTAAACCTCAATACTAGTTTTATATTACTGTTAAAAGTATGACAAAGAGAGAGTTTAAACATTACAAATTCTTTAATTCCAGCAGTTCTTCATTAAAAATCCACCCAACATTAAAAGAAACAGTAAAGTCCCGAGAAGAAACTCTAGACACTAGACCGTCCAGTTGAATTCTGAACATTAAGTCCAAGGTAAGAAGTTGCAGTGCAGAGCCAGACCTATCAGCCAGTATGAGATGAAGTATCCCAGGATGCAGCGTGTGGAAGAAGAGCAAGTCCTCCAGTGTATCAGCAGCTGAGTGACAGGGTTGTTAATGTACATTAAGAGAAAATGAGCAAAGCCTTGTTTGAAGTTGTCCAGTCGCTGGCCATAAGAAAACTTTTTGTTCTCTCGCAATAAGGGCTCAGATGAGAGAAGAAAGTGGCTGCTGATCCAGTAGATCACAGGTGAAGAGGAGGCTAGGAAACGGGTCAGCACCTTGTGAGAACATATACAGTGAATTATGTTAGGAACATGTCTCATTTATGTTCTACATTTGCTTACATTTTACCCTAGAGGTGGTTGATAATATGGTGACAATATTTGTACCAAGTTCAAATTCCTAGGTATTTCAAATGTCATGATAGAAAACTATTCTCAAACATGCTTTAAACTAGGTGAAGCATTTCTTCACTTGCATGTGTCTTTGAATGTAGTTCATACCGCAGAACCTGTAGTAATTCATGCATAAATCAATTTGACCACAAGGTGGCAGACCGAAATAACAGATGCTTTATTATGCTTTATAGTAGTATATATATCTTATGTCTCTCTTCTTCAACCATTTTCTTTCAAATATAAAGGCTTCCTATTCATAAAATACATAGTATAGACCTAATTCTAAATCTTTAATATAGACCTGATATATTTTTATATACAACATTTTACTTGTACTGTTGTGTATTCTACTTTTAATATAACCAAATCCACAATTCTCAGCTGTTTGCCTTCAGCGGCAAAGTAGATTTCCTCAGTAGATGGCTGCTTTTTCAGGTTTCAGTTGGGGAATTAAAGGGGTATTCCGTTGAAGTTTAATGTTATTTATCATGTTATGCAGTACTCTGTAGCACATCGCAACTCTCAGCCCCACATGTTTGTCTCTCACTACAATACCCAGCATGCATTACACAAATATATCAGGGAACCTCAGAGAATCCCTGGAGTGTCAACCAGTTCTGAATGCTAGCTTAGTCAATAAAAAATACAATCAAGCTAGCATTAGTGTAACTCTTACCTCAATAAATAGAATAACTGTTTTCTTTATATATATATATATATATATATATATATATATATATATATATATATATATATATATATATATATATAAATGATCTTCCATTGCGGTCATTACTGAATCTTTCTATGACAAAAGCCTTATTAAGTATTAGCTGTCAATGTGGAGCATATAGCTACTGGCCTTTCTCATCATACTGAAAATAGTGTGCCCACAATTTTTTTTTTTGCATATTCAGTGATTTCACACTGCGATAACCTCATCAATACAATCCTTGGCTAGTACTGTTTAAGAGAAGCTTACCTGAACATGCATGCAGAATGTTCCAAATACAAGTAAGACGGAGCAATGAGCAATGTAGACGAACACCTTTGAGTTGTAGAAGTCTGTTCGTGGTTTTCCTTCTTTTTCTTTTATTCCACTCTGCCCCAGACCAAGGCGTAAACAAAAACGTGGATTAGCTCTTATGTATATGTATGACGCAGTGACACTCAGTGTAGCAATTGGCAGTGCCAGCAGAAAGTTGGGTATCTGTTTTAACTGGAAATAGCGGAGAAATCCCACATCCCAGTAAACATCTTGAATGTAAGAGTAGAGCACTGGAATGGGCTTCAAGCACCAGCTTGGAATGGGTGCTGTTTCATCAGGAACTTTGTATCCTTTCTCCTTGGCCAATTTAAGAAGCACAGGAGAAACCTGCTCCTGAGTCACAGAAGGTGTGCAGAATGTGTAGTAACCATAAAACTGGAACAGACAAAATGGTAGCACAACAACTGTAATACAAAGTAGTGATGTAAGCAAAAATCTGAGAGCTAAGAAGGTGTAGTGACGATATCTCCTGTGCCATGTAGATCCTTTGCTAAGGACCCGGGCCTGGGCAAGGCTCTGCTGCAGTGGCAAGTACAACAAGAATCCAGCATTAACCAGTCCATTAGCACGAGCACCAGTGGCTAAACCTAGAAGAAGACATGCTCCAAACATGAAACCGCTCTCCAGTAACCACAGACCTCCAAATGTAAGAGCTGCAAAGAGGGTTTCTGAATAGCCTGCTAACATAAAGACATTGGCAGGTGTAAGGCAGTAGAGAAGGCCTGAGACAAGGGCAAGCTTTCTGTCCTGTAGAACTACACGGCTTAGTCCATAAAGTGCCACTGTGCTCAGCACAAAGAGCGTGCTATTAACTGAGGCCACTGCCAAAAGTAAACGTCCACGAACTGTGAGAAAGGAACTCAGAGGCCACAGCAAAGTAGCTGCTACTGAACGAATCACCAGTGGAAACAGTGGAAAAAAAGCGAAGTTGTGTTCATACAAGTATCCTCGCTCTGCAATGAAGAGGAAATGTTCTGCATCCCAGTGCCCTAGGCCACCAAGCAGCAGCTCAACACCATAGTCCAGGAGTAGTGGGTCCTCTGCCCGGGGAGGACTGAAGGCATCTGCTATATGATCAGGAATAGCTGCATTTAGAACAGCCTAAGTTGGAGACAAAAGAAACAAATTCAAACATGCCTTCATTCGCATGTGCCTTTGAATGTGGGACATATCCAAGTAAATACAGTAATTTATGCACTATCAACTTGACCACAAGGTGGCAGAGCAATATACATATATGAGAATATACGCGCAGTTTATGTGAAAGAAACAGAATTTTAAAAGCAAATGTTTTATTCTCTTATGTCTTTTTTCTTTCTTTTACTATTTTCCTGCTCAAATCTACAGACTTTTCATTCATAAAATTCATAAAATGCGCGTTCGTTGCCACTCGCACAAAAGTGCAAGAGAATTACTCCTTGAAAGACTCAAATCTTACATTTTCTTTCATTTTACTTTTTCTCTAAAGTAGATTTATGTTTATGAGGTGTTAGGTCCTGGCTTAAACACTCCGTAACTTCAACTTGAACAACTGGATGTATAGAAATGAGTTGGTTTTCGTGCCATCACAAAAACAAATTCAAGACGAGCTGTTTTTGCAGATAGTCCTGTATAGACTTTGGAGTGAAAGGTACATTTTGAAACTTTAACAATGTTTACAAACTTTAAAGATTAATACAAATTTGTTTTTGTATTATATGGGTCCTTTAATGTCACTGAACTGATACAGCAAACAGGAAAACTGTACAACGGTGCTTTTATTCTTCACCTTTACTTTAAAATCAAGTCCTCTTACCTGTAAGAACAGTGATAATACTCGTGTAAAAGCAGCAAAGCGCACAATTATCCGCATGTCCAGTTTGGCATGACTGTCTGAGCCCAGCATATTTGAGCAGTTCACCATAGAAAGCCTTACTCAACTGAGTATCACATCTCAGTCAAGAAAGTAACAGGTCTTTAGATATCTAGCAATTTATGTAAGTTAAACACCCAACAATCACACCAGTACAGAAACAACTACACACTGAAACAAACAGCGCACGGTTTTAAACATTGGATCAGGACTGAGTTGTGCGTGTACGTCCGGTGCGCTGCGCCTCGACAGCGTCAAAATAAAAGTCTGTACTGGTTCTATATAGTTCTCTTTAAATGAGAGGCTGCATTTAAGACCGTTCAGAAATGATGCTTGCTCCAACGATTAAAGAATACTACGACAAATACAGCAGTGCAGTAGAAAAAAAAAACACGAACTCTACTGAAAGTGACAACATTTGAGATTCCCAGCTCAAACAGGAAACTGGGACAGACAATACCATTTTGTTTTCTATCTGATACCAGAGGTAATACCAATACCAATGCGTGTCTTTTTGTACACAGTAAAGGGAAATTTCATTTCTACAGTCTAGTTGGTATCAGGAGCATCATTTTTAATTAACAATATCCTTAGCAGTGTTGTAGTGGGATATAATCACGAAAAAACTCAAATCTACTACATTTGTGTGACAACCGTCTGTGTATGAGGAGCGGAACGAACCAGCGGAAGAAAAAGTAGTTCCAGAGTAGTTAGCTACAGTGCAAATTCACACGCCACAGGAAACTAATATTAAATTACTAGTAAAAGAAAACACTCCATATCAATATTTACATGTTTGTGCCCTCAAAAGAAAAAGTCAGGATTGAACGTATGGAGGAAACAGCACTAATATCATCTAGTTTCAGTAACCGCCGAATAGCGAGTATGGCCACTGCTCGGAGTGAGACCAGAGAACCTGTAGAGACGGATGTACGTCTTTATAACAGATCAAAGGCACAAAAGGCGGGAATTCAAGTTTCGTTTAGAAATCAATAATCTTAAGCAAATGTATATGATCACTCCAATGAAACCTATCAAATGAATCCAGCAACCATAAGAAAGGATACCTTTTAAATGAACATTTACCTCATTAATATCGACTTTAACTGAAGCTAACGCAGCTAGCTACGGCGCTTGTTCGAGGCGGGACTTCCTCAGAGTGAAATGTCATGGAGTAGAGAGCCACTCTGCTCACTTCTTATAAACTTACATTTTTCCCATATTTCCTGTCACCAGACGTTCCTGAGAAACTCGGGTACCAAGTCAATTTTCTCGGACGGCTGAAACGTTGAAACAGATTTAACCTTGACACTTTCAGTGGTGTATATTAGACAAGGCACAGAACTGTGGACTTGGCTTTGAAACACTTCCCAGCCATTCACGCTGAATTCCTGCTCTGCTGTTCACATATAGGCCGGCATGTCGCGGCACAGATGTATTCAACAAGTAATATCTCCGTAGAAAAGTACTGTCTGTAGAATGGGGCGCTCAGCAGCACCAGCACAACAACCTAAGGTCACCTTGCCCAAATGCTGGCTTCGGGCTATGGAGCAGGGGAACTGCATTCTCACTCCATGGAGTGATGGAGCTCCATAAAAAGACCTCTGGGATGAGCTGGAGTGGCGCTTGTGATAATTTCCCTTGATTTCAGAAGAAACGCTGGATGAACAGGTATCTAACTTGCATAGTTATGGACACAGTGTGCTCCGCTGTTGGAAGTTAAAGTTAAATCCTGTATATAATACTTTATATTGTACATATAGGTGTAATTTTCACACTGATATTACAAGAGTTGCTTAATCTACCAAAACATTAAGTCAAGCCATTATATTTGAATTCTTTGGGTCTCCCATAACCACCCATTCAAATGAATAAAACAATCACAAACATCTTACGAAGATTTAATGTACATTTATTCTTACCACATGGAACATATAGTATAAAGATTTCATACTGAATAAATGATATTCATTGAGCCAAAAAGGGGAAAAAGGAGGAATTTACATTAAGTTTTAGCTACATAGTCTGAAATACAAATATGCAGAATTCATATCACTGGAGAAAAAAAATATCTCAACTGTGTTTCTTCATCTAGAGTTTATTTTGTTGTACCAGGAGATGAAATTAAAATATTTAATTTGTGTTCGCTGTACTATGGAGAAACTGTGGGGAGGCCAAAAGGTGGTTCCTTTTATATACCTAAGGATTTTATGTAATGAACCCGACTCAAGTGTCCACTTTCATTCTTCATAGATAAAAAGTGTGAAGCATAAGAGTGAAAGACAGAGGGAGAGAAAGAGAGACAGAAAAAAAGAAGTGTAATGTACAACATCTTATATACATCACAGCCTGGGCTGTATCTTAAGTTGAAAATCAGTCCTAGGAGGTGATTTCTTTATAAGGGTCAAGTCATACAATCAAGGGGTTAGAGAGAGGAGGTAAGAATGTCCGAGGTTCTCGATACTTTGGGGAGAAAGCCGTTCTCTCTTTACCATCAAACTAAATTTTAAAAACTTTTTAAAAACTAGAGTGGAGCTGCTGAGCCAACATTTCTCCACATGAAACAGTGCTGCAGTATGTTTACAGTCATAAGGAAAATGGAGTACAGATCTGCACAGAAAATGTCTACAATCTACTGCACAGGCCTCCATTGTAAGGGTATCCTGCTCACAGCTGACAAGGTGGCTCCTGTGGGGCTGAATGTGTAGCATCACAACACAGCAACATCACCACTGGAGAGTTCGTCTGTCTAATCAAACTCCAAATATGAACCAGAAACGTGCACTCACGGTGCCCGCTAGGGGAGAGCGAGGGCACAGTTAACCCCAAACTCACTGTAAACGAGACAGCAACTTTGGTCAAGAGTTTTTCTGCTATTTATTTTATTCATTTATTTATTTTGCTATAAAAAGTAATCCCCCACCACCCTCCCACTGGGCAGCACATAAAACCTGGGGTCCATGGCCATTTATTTTGTTGGCATCATGGTTGCTAACAGTTTGTGTCATTATTTTTTGAGGCTCTGTTTCATGACCCGCAGCTAATTTGTGATATCCTCCCCAAAGTGAGACACAGCAAAAAACGGGGATCGAAGGGTTGAATCCGAAGGGGCTTGCATAAATTAAAAAAAGGGAAACAGTCATTTTTCTCTGTTTTTCATTCCCTGCACACTGAGGGACACAGGCGGAGAGGAGAGAACGAAAACCAGAGAAGATGGAGCCACCGCTCCCCACAGCTGTCATGACTGGCCAATCAAAAAGAGTACATCACAGATGACATGGGACACTAAAGAGTTCATAAGCGGGGAGACAGAGAGGTCCAGTAGCCGTGACTCGTAGAGCGTAAACTCAGAGTGGTTCTCCTCCACCTTGGCGAGGGCGTGCAAAGCCCGAGCAGCCCGGCGCATCATGTCCACACTGGTAGGTTCAAAGTGTGCCCCCTGCATGTGCAGCAGGGAGCCTTGGCTCTGCTGGAACTGTGTGGCTGCTAAACTGTCCTCAAGAAAGCCTAAAAGGTTCCCTACACTGCCTTTTTGTACCGCAATGGCACGTGCTGCCAGGCTGTCTCCCTTGGGCCAGGTTGGCCAGCAGCACGACTGCCATCTCCCGACATACAGGTACCTTTCGGTCCCCAACCAGGCGTACAAGGTTCCCAAAAAGCTTCTCTAGTCGACTGAAGGGAGGTGTCGCCAAAATTAGGTCCACATTATTGTCCTGGATGCTGAGTTTACTGAGCGTCTCCAGGACAAGTCTCTGAGGAGACAAAGCCCCATTAAGCCCAAGAGTGGGGAAGGGATCCTGGGCTTCTGCCGACGGACAGACAGCCCAATGGAGCAGGCCATCAAGCAAAGGCAGGCAGATACTTTCAGAGTAGACGGAGAAGTCAAGCTGGCCTGAGATGTTTGCCAATGTGACCAGGCAGTTCTCTCGCAGCATCTCCAGACAGTCCCACCACCATTCCTCCTTGTCATGACCTGTGTCCTCATCTGCCTCCTCCTCCTTCTCGTACGTTAAAGGCGCCTGCTTACGCTCAGGATGCCAATGGTGAAGCAGCACAAGACGACCCAGTAACAGCAGCAGTCCTGGGTGCTTGGACATCTCCAAGTCATTGCCAGGAATAAATGAAAGACTGCGGACAATGTTGGAGACACAAACACAGCGACGAGCAAGCGAGTCCTGCCAGTCTGAGAGCGTGATTAGTGGAGCTTCATCCTTGCTGTGAGGTTCATCCTCCAGAACGGTCACTGAGCGCTGAATCGGTGAGGAAGAGCTGATGTTGGGGAGAACTGGCTTGCTGCTCTCCTGGTTTGTTCTCTCAGGTCCCTCTGTCTCTTTTTCCTTTTGTGATACTGGCTCTGGGGCAATCTCAGGGCCATTAGAGGGCTTTTCTTCCCTTGCTTCAGAAACGCTGTCTGTCAGCTTTCCTGCAGGTGACTGCTGAGAGGGCCTCTGGTCGTCTTCTTTTCTTCGCTCTACACTAGATGAGGGCACTACAGGTGCTTCGCTCTCTCTCTTCTCAGACATTTTCTTCCTTCCAGATGCCTGGTTGGTCCACTTTCGTGGCTGCAATAAATCCGCTTTGCTCTCAAAATGGGTTTGAATGTGTTCTGTGGTGTCTCCCCCTCCAATACTCCAGTGCACCAGGCCACTGTCAAACTCCTGAAGCCTCCCAAGCTTGCCAGAGCAGTCTACCACAAAGGGGTCCTTCTTCTTCACCACCTTCAAGGGAAGTTTGTCAAACTTGCTGGCCTGTTTCGGCTTCTCCTGAGCTACAGCAAGGTCCTGAACAGGTGGCTCTGACGTTTTGGGATCTGTAATAGAGGCTTTCTCCATGACTTTACCATCTTCATCTTTTTTTGATTCGCTTGTCCTCTGTTCCGACTTTATTTGAACCTGCATTGCTGAAACACGTTCTTCTTGCTGCTGTGATGACAAGTTTTCTTCTTCTCCTTCATCCTCGTCTTCTGTTTCATCATCTTCATCCATACCCTCCACTACTGGCCCCTCCTCATCCTCACCAGTCTCTTCTTTTCTGAGAGCATTGGGGTCCAGCAGTGTTCTCTGTCCTGGATCACCAACTTCATATTCCCTCAGAATCCCAAAGATTTCAATGAGGCAACGCCTAAAATACTCCACTATTAGTTCCAAGAAACCAGGGAGCTGCAAAGGAGACAAATGTGTAATTAAGATATTGTGCCTCTGAACAGAGAAGAAAAAAGTGATTTAAAGATGCTTAGGGAGGACTCACCTGAATAAGATTAAAATTGGAGATACTGTTGTCATCATACAGTAGAATGTTGATGGTATCTAAAGCCCATGTGCTCTCGGCCAAAAGACCTGATTTCAGTGACATCATGACTCGCCATGCCTCTGGTGTGCCTATAGAAAAATAAAAAACGATCTCTCTGATTAAAACAGTTGTGGGTGATAGATTGCAAGACAATTATTGGCACAGTATAGAATCAAAAATCTTGCATATCTTCTCACATTTAAAACTAAAAATCTATTTTAAACTAAAATGTTCATCTTTCATTTGAATTTAATATAGTGCAATTGTTGCAGGACAATGCAACAAGACCTTAATGCAAGTTTAACTTTTCTGTGTTATATGAACATAGCCTTATAGAGAACTGCAAACAAGCTAATCTTCAACTGAAAGTAAAGATATTGAACATTTTAGAAATATGGGAAGTATAGAAAAATTACAAGACATGACAGGCTGTACTCCTTTTTTACAGAACATCTCAAATACCTGTGTGATACTCAAAACAATTAGACAAATAAACATGGCAAATGCAATGTTTTGAAAAAAAACAGCCAACTTACTAATTATGTAATCTGTCTTCATTCAAGGGCAGACAGAATAACCTGAAGCAGACTCCTCTGCCTATACTTTCAGTTGTACCTTGAAATATGCTTGAACCCTCATACATTCCAACAAGGAATACTTACCAATATCTTTCATTGTGAGACGCCTACGAGCCTTGAGAACAGGTTGTGTGGCCTCCACAGAACCTGGCGGGAATGGTGGGTCTCTTCTCATCAGTGGGGGCTGTACAGGGGAAGGGATGATGTGGGAAGCAGGGACTGGAGGACCTGCCTTCTGCATCTTGATGTTGCTGTGCATGTAAGGAGATTTACTGGGGGAAGTCCTGCTCTCCATGGGACGGGGCATTGGTGTAGGGCTGGACACCTGCGGAATGTGGTTCTGCATTGATTGGGGAGACTGGTAGTTGGACTGCAATGGTCGGCTCATGGGTGGGCCAGCCCCAGCTGGGCCGTAGGGGGGTTGCCGTGGCCCTGGCCACTGCCCCTCATGGTTCATGCGTTGTTCAGATGACATCATCTCATCAGATCGATTCATGGCATGGTATCCAGGGCCCTGCGCAGGCCCACCAGGAGGACCTTGTCGGTTAGGAAAGTTGGGATAAGCCATCTCACCTCGACCCTGCCACATCCCAGCCTGGGGGCCATCAGGGGCTGACTGTATGGAGCTACTCATCATCTGTGGGGGCATAGAGCCCTGAGAGTTAGGGCCTGACCCAGCCTGCATTCGATCTCTTCCAAAGGGAAAAGGAAACTGGTTTTGTGGTACAGGAGGACGCCGTTCTGATCCAGGGTAAGAACTGCCATATTGATTGAACATCTCCTGCTGACCTGATGAGGGGCCAGTAGGAGGAGCCTGAGGTTGCTGCTGTTGCTGCTGGCCACTGAACGGTCCGCTGTACATCTCACCATCATGATGACGTTTTGCTGGAGGGTAACCACCCTCACCTGGTCTCTTGTAGTTCTGATTGAAAGGAAGTTGAAATTTACAATAATGCCCATATAAAAAATGAAAAAGAAAATCATATACACTTTGTTGCTACAAGACTGGTAACAAAATCACTTTAAAACTCGAGTTAGAATAGGATTAAGTTGGGTTTTTCCCATGTTGACTTTCCTTTCATGTTTCAAAAGAGCGTTAATAGCAGGAACACCACCAGCTTTGGTTTGGTCCCAAATTAAGTGTGGTCATTACTTCCACACAGCTTCTTTTAAATGTCATAATTTTACATATCATTTAACAATTAAGACAATTGTTAATTTATTGTAATCACTTACTGACTGCTGCTGCGGGAACATTCCTGGTTGCTGATTTGGGTAAGAGCCACCAGGAGGCGCACCCTGGCCAGGATATTGATTACCATAGGAATCATGCCTGCAAAAGACACAAAGCGTTAAACAGTTCAGTGACAGTATACAACATTAAGCAGCAGTCTGATTAACAACTTTAATTAGACACACATAATGAATGCTTAAATGTTTTAAAAAATTGTAAGCTGACCGCTGTTGTTGTGGAGGGTAGCGATTTGGCGAGTACATCCCAGTGTCAGTGTTAGAAGGCATCATGCTTGGCTGTGGTACTCCAGGCCCCATACCACCTTCTGGGCCCATCCCTGACTCTGGCCTGCACAACCCAAATAGTGAGTTCCAGTCTCACTGCATATAACACACACACACACACACACAAATTGTTCATGACTAAGATTAAGCAGGTTAAGGTTTTCTGTGGTTTACCTTCTCTCATAGCCTGGGCCGTATGGATACTGCTGTCTCTGTGCCATGGGCATGTTCCCAATGGCACCTCCTGGTCCACGGTTAAACTGCTCTCCTAGAGTGCTGTTGGGACCCTGTCCACCAGGCATGAACTGCTCACCAACTACAGCCAAAATTTTCACTACTGATAAGTGCCACATTAACTTAGGGTAATGTTCAAATTCAAAAATATTGCCAGCTACACTACACAGCATTAGCAATTGCAAAAGAAAATCAGTATCCTAGTTGTCAAGTGTAGTTTGTAATGTTTCACGAATAATTTGCTAATATGGCCAATGAAAATGGTAATATTTCCAATTAATAAATGACATAGCTAGTGCGGACAATACAGCATTAGCATTATCATATTAATATTAGTATTTTAGAATGAAGTTCTCTTTTAATAGTACCAATAAGGTCCTTGCATCATTGAACTATAAATTATAGTACTATACGAATTTGACATCCTGTAGACATCACGAAAGTCAAGTTACAACCCCTGGTGGTTAAAGTTAAAATCTACTTTCTTTCAAATCTTTATTACGCAAGTTAAATTTAAGTTTCACTTTAACATGTCTTCTATAGGAAAGTTAGCTATAAATTCCATCACTGTGACTGTGATTTGGAAAAGTAAAACAGCCCAACTCTACTCCCTAACAGTTATAAGGTGTGTTGTGCAGCTAAATGTAAAAACTGTAGTGTAGCGTGTTTGGTACCACTACTGTTAATTGTTACACTATTTTTGCATTGTTGGCAACTAAATAAATAAATAAACATAAGATGAGGGAAGTTGAGCTTCTGACTAAATTAAGACATTTGCCTACTCTAACGTTGTATGGTTGTGATGACACATACCATTTCAGATCTGACGCAATTTTCAATTCTAATGTCAAGATTCAAAAAGACTGCTGAAATTGTGTGTTAAATATGAATTGATTTTTACAGATCTCTACTTATATACTAACACACTGGTTCAAAGAAAAATAATTTAAAACCAATTTTAAAACACCCTGACAAGATTAGCAGTTCTTTTTATTTTCAGAGATATACAGACTTCACAGAATCTTTAAATGCTTATAAAAAAATCTAACTAGGGAAAATGACAATCCAGACAGCTCAAACTCTCTTCTTACCTTTGCGCATCCCACCAAAAGGGTCCTTGTTGGGCTCATAAGGGGCCATGCGACCAGGCATTTCTGGAGTGCTCATTCCAGACTGGTAGCCAGAGTTAGGGGTCATAGTGTTTCTCCTGGAAAAGGCTGGGTCATTACTGTCAGCAAATGGATCCTGAAGGTTCACACTGCTCCTATGAAACAGACCAGTTAAGGAGATGTTCACGGTCAAATAAGACGTACAACAATGACATATGGTGAATGACCTGGACTCACCTGCCACTTTGCATTGAGGGCATCTGGCTATGCGGTGTTGAAGCTGGAGTAGGAGGCTTTAAGTCTCCACTCTCCGCCATAGAGCTGCTTGTGGACTGTGGGGTCTGTGGACCCTGTAGAGAACCAGACCCAGCTGGACCATGAAGAGAAGGGAAAAGGTCAGTTAGGTAAGAAAGAAGGATCATAGCATGATTTTACAAGGCATAACCAACATGTTCAAGGAGCTAAGCCCTTACCTGGGGAGGGTGGCTGGATTTTAGGCTGGTTCTTCTTTCCTTCTGCAGACAAGATGTCAGGTGGTGGGTCTTCTCCACGCTCGATCTTGCATTCAAAAGCGTACAGACACTGAATGTACTGCTTTTTTAGAGAGCTAGCTGCACTGCTGGAAGTGCCGACATTCAGGCTTGTGGCAAGCTCCCTCCACTTTTTATTCTTGTTCACCTGCAATCAGGCATATGCCAAAGAAAATCATTAGCCATGTCAGTAACCAACACTGTCACAGGAGTACTCATACCTCACACGTAAACCAATAGCTGTTTTGGTGTGCAAGATCTTTCTCATACCTCACATTGTCTGCTGGAGTATATGTAAGCATGGGTGGAACCTCACTGCCTGCTTGTATTCTCACCTGTGTGAGACCTCCAATTTCCTTGACGGACATGTAGAGGCGGAAGAGATCTAGTGGCCTGCGGCCCACGGCGGGGAGGTTGCTCATGCCCATGGCTTTCTCCTCGATGAACGCTAGGTATCGGTCCACCCACATCTTCCGCTCTGGCTCAGAGCCCAGCTCATACAAACGTGTGATCTTCTCATTGGTTGTTGTGGAGGAACTGGACTTCTAGGCATAAGCAAATTTTTTGGAGAAATTACACAAGTAGCACAACAAGTTTTCACAATATTTTTTGGCGTTGCAATAACGTAGCCTCTTAAACACACATTCACACATCAGTTGTGTACCCAAGACTGAAATGATCACACAATGAGTCAGCAACAGCAGCAACAAACACAAGAATGAAGGCCAATTGGGAATGGGTCCTGTTAGAGGTAAATTCATTAATGCAATCACAGACTTGTTAATTTTGTGATTTTAAAAGTATGCTTCTACAGGGAAAAATAAATGATAGCTGTGAGGCTGATCAACACCAAGCTTTCAACTCACGTTCAAACCACAAGTAAAATGTTCATGTGAATGACCCTAATCTCCACAAACAGTGAGCTAAAAACCTAGCTCGCTAGAGCACCAAAAGTTTCGTTAATATCCATAACCTAACCTATATCCTAAATGGCATTGTGCATGTTTTCAATTTTCATTAGACACCCTTATATTTGCAGTCCACTAAACAGCAGAATTGTCACTGTGCGTAATCAACTGTCCTTTTTCTGTCTGTATCAAGTTCATCCTAATGCAAGTCTCTCTCATCACAAAAGTGTACCACCTATTTTGAGAGGTGAATGCCTGTATCAAGCACAACTCCGCTAACTTTCACATTGTATCACAGGCACACAAACTGAAATGCACAGCTGTTGAGTGCACCTTGGTAAAACTAAGCAATGTAGCCTAGAGTGAAATTGGTGAACAATTCTAAAATGGTCCTTGCAACAACCTATGTTGCCAGTAACACCTATCGCAGGACTGACTCCACTACAGCTGTCAGTTAGCACTCACCACCAACTCAAAAGAGTGACACCCTTCCCCAACTCACTCACTTACGCACATTAGCATACACTGCAATTAGGGGCTCTACAGGGTGACTGGATTTCTTAATTGCCGAAACATTAAAGTAGTTATAAGGATATATTCAGTATCGATTAGTAAAAAGGCATTTCATGTCAATATAACTTTTCAGAAATAACAGCGCTCATCCTTAGCCTTATATCCTGAAATACAAGAAATACATATCCTGAGTTTTGAAAAGACCCACTACAACAGTTGGTTAGCTCTTCCAAAAATAATTGCCAACACCAAAATGGCCAGTTCTGACCATAACTGATCATAGGGAACAGTAGCACTACACTATGAAAATGAGTTAAAAACAGCGGAAGCTAACAGAGTTAATAAAATGGGTTCTAGGAGACTCTGTCTAACAAGGGTAACTATTGGCCAGCTTATGTTAGCTGACATTATTTAGCCAAGTAGCTGTGTCAGGCTCTGTGTTTTATTTATCACAATCAGCTGCAACTCAGCGGCTACTAGCATTCTAGCCAGGGCCATAACTAGGATCAACATTTTAGTGAGGTCCATTTTGCAAAAATGTCACCTACATCTCAGTAAATAAACTAACTGCCATATATGAGTATTACACCAACTGAAAGTTTCTCCTTCACCAAATCATTACTCCTTTTTCACCCATTCATAACATTTTCCTTGCATTTGTTCCTTCCCTGTCCCTCCATTCTTCCATGACCTGCTATTACTGATTCATACACTAATTTGACTCCTACCCTGTTTATTTATTTAATCATTTAACTATACTTATGTCTATTTTAAGCTGTGTTGAAACCTACATTAAATCAAGTGATTGTTTCAAATTGATTTTAGTTCACTGATTACTGAAAAAGCATTAAACATTAATGCTCATTAAACATACGCTACAAAAGGCTGTCTATACCAAACCCCAGAAAACGGAAGCTAGTGAGACAAAACACAGTCTAATAAGAAGTCAGCAGGCACATTAATGTTAGATACATTATGCTATACCATCAATATGCTGGTTAACAGTGAACTCTCATGCTGGCTGTAGTATGTTAAGTAGGTAACAGTACAACTAATGTCTCATCATATCACCATTATAGCAGGCTACAGTGTGTAATGTGTTGATTGTGCTCATAACCTCTTAGCTAGCTACATTTTTACAACAGCGATGTTATATGTTAGCCTATAGCAAGTGTGCTGCATACCTGAAAAGTCAAAGTTACTCTGGGACTCAGGGCAGCATAGCGCCTCGTGCTGAGATGAACGGAGTGGGCAGTTCAGTCTATGGCCGAACCACAGCTGTTCTGAGGTCAGCTAAGAACCGGTCTCTGCTCATTGGATAGTTGCATCGCTTCCCCCCCCCCACACTAAATCTCATAACACCCGTCAGGAACTTCAGAGGACCTCAGTGTCCTAACACTAGTCACGAACATCACAGGAGCTGATTACTGAAGTAACTGTGGATAGCAGTGGATGCTAAGCAGTGATTGGAGGGTTGAGGAAAATAAGGTGGAGCTTGGCAGATCTTGATTGGCAGTAATACAGTAACAGCGCTTACAGAAAACAAATCAAATTATCACAAAAAACGACTCATTATAAATATCCTGGGTGGCCTGTGACACCATGGCTACCTCTGAGTAGATTGTATTAACATAACGCCGCTGTTTCTACGTTGCAGCGGATTAATAGAGAAACGTAAAAAATTAAATAAATTAAAAAGTAAATAACACTGTGTAGGAAATAAGCTGCAAACCTTGGATTTGGAATCTGTCTTAGGTGTCCCCTCAACCTTGTTATTCAACTTCTGTGCCTGGTTCAGTTTCCCATCCATGCCAAATTCTGGACCAGGGGACATGCCTACAAACAAAAGAACAGGCAACAATTTCAACAAAAAATAAAAATGCACAAAATAAAATCAAAATGAGGTTACTGCCAAAGAAGGACTTTTGTTGAATAGCCAGTGGGAAAAGACATACACAAATCTTTTTTTATTTTATGTAGAGTGCTCACCACTGCTGTTGTTGGGCATACTTCCACCCAGAGGGTAGGGTGGTCCCTGGGTGTTCATCATTCCTGGCATATTGTTCATGGAGGGCCCATATGGAGGTCCTGAGCTCATCATACTAGGAGACATATTGGGGTAACCAGGCAGCCTGCAAGCCAAAATACCAGAAGTTACAATACTAAGTACAAAAAACTAGAAAAAACATTAGGGACAATTCTGGACGTTTCCCCTCAAGTGAAAAAAGCATCATCTTTGAAGCGCTCCCTGAAATAGTTCCTATCAAGTAACAGAATTACATGGCTCATGTAGCACCTGTTGAACAGCTAGTTGAAGACTTGACCTCTGAAGAAAGATACCTGTCTGTTTCTTCCTAACAGCAGTGAGAAGAGTGCCTAGGGTGTCCATCCCTATACACTGCAGAGCTGTCTGTCCCTTAGCTGTCTATCTCGGAGCTGACCTGCTGATTTGGTCTAACTTTAGACCACTGCAACAAAGCCTTTAATACACAACACAATTTGAGAATTTGAGAATTCTCACATTCTGTGATGTCTTTTAGAATAACCCTATAAGACACCATTTTGTAGCTGCTAAACTATACTGGCTATTTGGATAATGGTACTGGTGTGTAGTAATGTAGTTATGCAGGCTTACAAAGTGGGTGTACAGTTGCTCACAAGCCTGCAGATCACCCTCAGTTTAAGTGCTGCTGTTGCTTAGACTTGATCAGTCCTCTGAATGATGACAGAACTTTGATAGACATACCTGTTGTGTATCGAGTTTGTGGCTCCATGCTGCATGGCTGCTGCTTCCTGTGGTTTCCTGTTGAGGCCTGGTGGTGGGCACATCCCAGAACCCACCTGTGGTGGCATGTTGCCCATATTGGGCCCCATGTTAGGAGCCATGTTAGGCCCCATATTAGGGCCATATGGACGGGCACCCATCTGTCCATGAGGCATTCTACCAGGAGGCATGCCAGTAAAAGGTGGTCCTCCTCCTTGGCCAGGCATGGGATTCATAGATCCACCCATGCCAGGGCCTGGGTAATTGGCATTGGGCATGCCAGTGTAGCCTGGTTGCCTGGGGTAACCTACAGAGACAGGAGGACGGAATATCTTAATATGTGATATGAAAATTGTCATAGTAGGTTTGGGTTGATATGAGTAGGTTTGCTTCACCCACCTACTAAAAGTAAGCTATACAGAGTCAGCTGAAGCTAACACTAACATTGCTGAAAGCAGAGAGCGCTACATACAAGATTAACCACTCACAAGTAGCCGTAAAAGTTGCACAAGAAGTAGGCATGGTCATTATTTGTTAATGAAATAGAGGATTGCCAGTGAAATCATCTCAGAGTCTGAAAAATTTACAAAATAGACAGCAATGCAACTTATTCATTGCGCCAGTTTAGACAGATAGCTAGTTAAACCTGTGTTTGTGGATTAAATCATGACATAGCAGTGGATTTGGTTAGAATAGTGAAACAAAACAAATTATCAAACTCAAGAGGAAAAAATAGTCTAGTCTCCTCTGAAAATAAGTGAGGACATTTAGACAGCATAATGGGGAACACCACCCACCTATATAAGGAAAAACAAAGCAGGAACACCACTGCCATCATGACAAACGTCTGAACAATGACCAAAAAAGTTACTTAAAGTGTTGAGCGCAACTCTTTCCTGCCTATTTATTTGGTGACAATCACCATATAAATTTTTGTGCCTAAAGTGGCCAGAGCTGCTTCCTAGTTGTTGATACTGAGTCACTCAAAAGACAGACAAGCTCTAATAAACAAACATTCACTGCTGCCATCTAATGGTGATACAGCGCCACGTCAGAAGTAAAAAATATTTTTCTGAGGACCCACAACATGTATCTCTAAACGTGTAGTAGCTTGATAGATACGTTTTATATTAAATCAACTACGTCTACTAATGAACAAAAAATAAGGCTGGTAAAATTTGGGCATCCAGCAGGCACTGTGGCAGGTGGACCAAAAGGTTAATTTAAGGTACCATATAAATCAAAATCAAAAGTAGTTTTGAGCAAGTCTCAGTTCACAAATTATACTTCCCTTAACTGGAGAGGCAGCACCCAACCATACACACTCTAGCTAGCAATGAAATGCTATTTAGTTTCAAGGCAGTAACAATATCTATCCATCAACTCTGTCAGTGGAACAAGAATCACTGGTTATAATTGTATTACAAATCCTTATTTCTTAATATTAATAACAATATATATTATATCAAATATTATGCATTTCATTATGCATCATGCCTCTCTCAAGGCCCAGTGGAGTCTCAGAGTCCCCTGAGTGTACTAGCAGGCTGGAGTGCTGCTGTAGCACACAGTCACAGTGGCAGCTCAACTGACGTGGGCTGTGCTACGTCAGCTGCCTCTTTTCACCCAGGCTAAAAATAGCTGCACTGTGATCCACTGGGCTCTCAGAGAGCAAGGCAGAGACAGAGAGACAGAGAGAGAGACAGAGAGAGAGAGAGACAGACAGACACAGACAGACACAGACAGACAGACAGACAGACAGACAGACAGAGAGAGAGAGAGAGAGAGAGAGAGAGAGAGAGAGAGAGAGAGAGAGAGAGAGAGAGAGCAGTCCAAAAAATAAGTTCCCCATGCTGAACTTGATAGACCTGCACAGACCTGCTTCAACCCCATCTTCATGACTACATGCCAAAAGAAATCTAACAATCAGAATTAGCTGTTATTATTCAGATCTCTTAACTAAGACAATGTAGCAGCTGTCTATATATGTTAGCACACCAGTATGAGACAACAGACAAAAAAGTGGGCTCAAACACACTGCATTGAGTTTTACACTTCTGTTGAAACTACGAGATAAACCTTTCAACTGTCAGTATGCTAACAGGGTTTGAAGCAATATATGCCTACGACTGCGCAGCATTAACAAAATATACTGCAACTAGAATAGTGCATTTCCTGAAGAAAATAAACAAAAGAAAAAAAAAAAAACACAACATCATCACATAAATGAGTGTGGGTTACTATAGTTGTGAATTAGAGCTTGGGGACCTGCCCTGAGTGAGTACATATAGATTGGTAGCTTTCTGGCAATGGACCTGACAGAGCTTGTGTGGAGGCAAAAATAAACAGGAGTCTATGGGAGGAATGAGGGATGAAAAAACGACACATAGAGGACTGCTGGTCAGCACTGCTGCGGATTAGAGCTTGGAGACCTGCCCTGAGGGAGCACATGCAATTTAGTGGCTGTTGGGCTAAGAAATAGAGTTTGTGTGAGGGTGAAAATGAATGGGACTCTAAGGGAGAAATGAGGGATTCAAAAAAAATAAAAAAGACTAACAGATGATTGTGGGTCAGAACAAGATTGAATTCATGCTTGGGGGCCTGCCCTGAGATAGCATAGGCAAAATAAGAGTATTTCAGTCAAGCAGAAGTACAGTAGATGGGTGTGCCATTTTTGCACCCATTCATTCCTATAGGATGCAAATTCACAATTTAACAAAGATTATACGAAAACTGTACATCAAAAAGCACACCATTCCAGATCAGAGTGAACATTCCAGAGTTGTAACAGAGTTAATATCTCGAAAACTGCAGAACAAGTACAGCAGACTTTTGTCTGGCAGAAAAAATAAGAAAAAGATATCATTAATAATGCTAGAATACTGCATTTCTAAAAGAAAATGCAGAGTGATTGCACAGCTAAAGCTTGTTGCTAGGCAGTTGCTATAGCATTAGGGGTTTGAACTGAGTGGTTGTTAGGGGGCTGCCAAGTGGTTGCTAGTTGTTTTGAAAAATCATTTAGTCTATGGGAGGAATGAGGAATGAAAAAACATCACATAGAGGAGTGTGGGTCAGTATGGACCTGCCCTGAGTGAGTGCAGTGAGTCAAAGAAATAGAGTTTGTGTGGGATCAAAAATGAATGGGATTCTATGGGGGAGATGGGGAGATTAAAAAAAAACAAAAAAAAACAAAAAAAAAACACGATGTATGCAAGATCAACATTGAATTTGTGCTCGGAGGCCTGCCCCGAGATAGTATATGCGAAAGTGTCGTTTGCTCGAGCTGAAGTACAGCAGATTGTTGTGCAATTTTCACCCCATTCATTCCTGTGGGAAAAACATTCAGAATTCAATGCACCGTACAAAAAACGTACGTCGGATCAAATAGTTGTATACAAGCACACCGTTCCCGATCATACTGAACATTTCAGAGTTGCATCAGTGTTGATATCTTGAAAACTGCGGGACAAGTTAGTAAAATCTGGCAGAAGTTGATGATAAATCGGACAACAACAGTGTTGCACATTGGTTTATTGGTTTGCAATGCATGACTAATTATACTGCTACGTCCTGTGATTCTGACAACAAAGCACATCATTTACTGTACAATTTCTGTGAGTGCTTTTTGCATGTTGTGGCCTTCAATGATATCTTACCACAGGGGTCAATACTCTTATGGTGTGAAAAAGTAAAAACAGCTTTTTTTTCTCCCTCCATTTTGCTATTTATCAAATTCCTCTCCTCTGTAATTGTGGCCAGTTGACTTGTGCCAAATCTTGACTGAGTCCCCTCTCAGCCACTCAGTCCAAACCTCAGTAGCTGAGGAAACAAGCTACTGAGGAACACATAATGCCCGACACGTGCCATTCTGACCATCTGGAGGATGGGGTTGCTTTTATTTTAATTTTGGATTAACCTATGTGGATGACCAAACCCTTAGCTCAGAGGCAACATTACTAACGGGTAGTACTATGGATGCTATGGAGTTTGACCAAAGTAGCAACAATAAGGAAGGCAGTACTTATCAATTTCGCAAACATCAATGCCATTGAACAGGCAAGGTGAAGACTAGCACATATCCCCTCCGACACACGAGACACCAATCTTTTTTTTTCTCTTTAAAACTGCCACTAACGTAACATCACTGGACAACACGCTTGAAAAACTATACTATCTACCAATTCTGCTACATCAGCTAACAGACACCCGGCAATCTGAACTCAAACCTTGACACAAGCTTCCTCACTATGGCTTCAGTTTTCAACTGCTCACCTTGTGGGCCATATTGGCCACCCTGAGGCCCATAGCTGCCCATTGAGTTATTCTGCTGATAAGGCCCCATGCCACCATGCATCTGACCTCCAGAAGACTGACGAGGAGACAGAGCAGAGCCAGACTGAGGAGAGCCGTAAGGTGCCATTTGAGGGTTCCTTTGCATGAATCCTGTTTAAAGGAGGGAGAAAAGATTGTAAAAAAAAAAAAAAAGCCAGGTGAATGGAATAATGACATTAATACTTTGTCTAGAGTTAGCTTTACCTCTCTCCTGGCCCATACCACTAGGCTGATTCATAGCAGGGTGCATGATGCCATCAGACTGACCACTCGGGGGGCGAGGAGGCATCTGATTTCCTATTAGTAAAGAATAAATAAAAAAATAAATAAATAACTATACGCATGTAACACTGTTAGAGAGCAACAAAAACGTATCTGAAACAGGGTAAAGCTCATTCAAAGCAAAATTAACCAACTCATACTGATGGAAGTTATTAGCTGTTATGACCAACATTCTTGTATGGCGTTACCTGGCATGGCAACTGGAGAAAGGGGTCCAGAGCGGGACGCCGTGGCACTAGCAGGTGAGCTGACAGGGGACGGGGATGGACCACGGATGCCTGGTAGGTGAGGGGAGGTGTGGGGGGAAAACGGGGACTGTGCTGGATTGCTCTGTTCCCCTTGACTGCTGGACACCCCAGATGTGCTGACACCAGGACTGAGGGCTCCCTCTGTACCTGTTGGTAGGTCATCAATAGACCCCGACAGGTCCTACAGAAAGAGAGGGTCATATTGTATTCACACAAGAAGAAAATGCTTCAGCAAGTAGAGTACCTATTATACAGGGCCTTCTACAAAGCACAGAAATTGTAGCTAGTTTGAAGTTAAACATGGTCTCCCTTGTTGCCAAATTTAAATAAATAAATAAATACATACATACATACATACATACATACATACTGTAAGACTATTTCATCAAGTTCAACATTTTCCTTTAGGACCTGTGACACTGTTAATTCAACTGAGCTTAATAATACCAAATCATCCAGCTGAAAATGAAAGAAAACTTTCTGCCTGTTGGTGGATCACTAGACAATGACTTTTGCTCTTCAAAATCTGAAAGACTACTGAGAATGTTTCGACAGTGTTTTGCCCTGCAAAACTTCCAACGCTGGCCGCAAACAGCAAATTCATACTGCAGAATTGAAATCCATGTATTCACTGCATGTTAAACATGAACAAAAAGTAGAGAGGAGGTTGAGAAAAAAAGAGAGAAAAAAAAAAAAAATTCAGAGGTTAAATGCCAAAAAACCCATGCTACAGTTTTATAAACAAACAAAAAACATCTGATAAGACATTAAACTGGAATGCCAATGTTAATCCATAAAACAAGATAAAGCATTTTAATGAACATTACAAAAGGTGAATCACTCATCTTTACTTTTACCATCACAACCTCCAGTACATTTTCCAAAAAATTAAATCTGTCACTGTTTCTGCTGAGCCACACACACCAACCCCAACCAACCCACTGGCCTTATTTATCTCATCTGGAGAGGGAAAAAAGGAAAAATCCACAAAGCGTTCCGGGGGTTGCCATGGTTACAGCGGTTAACTGCACATATGCTGAGTCAGCGCAGGCAAGTCTCTCCATCTGTCTAAGACTCAGAGGTCAAAGCATCCACTTTCTTGCTCTAGCCTTAAAGTTTCAAAACAACAAGCAAAGAATCCATCACAGGTCTCCTGTCTCCCCAGATCTAGCCCCTTCACAGCCTTACAATCTACTAGCAAACAAAAAAGAAAATCCTCAGAATAGAAATTTCTTAGGAATACCCTTGGCTGACACTGCAGTTAATGATGAGGTTCTTTAATGGAATCTCACCCTCTAACCAACTAGACAGAAAAAGAATCACCTCAGAGGTGCAAATTCACAATTCGCAATGCATTCCTTAATTACACTACAAGTTCAGAATGTGTGAGGCCCACAGTATCGACATGAGGTGAACAACGGAGAACACTTACGGGTAGACTGGAGGGCCTGCCCTGCATGTCCTCAGAGCCACTTTTGGAGGAGGCCACAGGCTGACTGGAAGGAGGAGCACTGGACTGGGAGCTGAAAGACTCCTGGGAAATTTCCTGTGGTACACACAAGAGCAACCTGAGTCTAAAGATAACTGTAAAAGGTGAAGTACAGAGCTCAGTGAACTTCATATATTATGGCTAGCCTTTGATGAAAATGTCGACTCTTAAGCTGGGCCTACACAACATGATTATTAGCCCAATTTGCCTGTTCCAACAAATTTTCACAATCCGAAGCAATTTTCCAGGTTGGGAGCTCAGCTAGAAGCAATTGACAAATGATCTGGTGGTGTGAGAAGTGAAATTCTTTAGCCTTCAAATACAGTTCCAAAGTGATCTGAGGCCTTCTGAGATTTTGAAATATGTTTTACTACTGAAAATATGTATCCTGTAGTGTGAGATGGCCAGTGATGTAACTGAATGGATGATTCAGGCAACAGCAAATCAAAGAGTTAGAGGAAAGAAAAAAAAATTGAGAGACATACATGGATGCTGCAAGTGCAGCTGACAGCAGAGATATAGGAGTTGCTTTTGGAACACAGGAAGAGAGTCACTCTTAACAAATTCAACTCAGTTGCCAGTTTGCAGAAAGTACTTCTTTGTCTCTCACTATATCTGCATTTCTCGAGCCCATATTCATGCCCAGTTCGCGTTTTCGCTATGCTTCTTGCATGTGCATAAAAACAGAACCGATCCAGTTTAGCTTTGTATCATGTGATAACAGGGAGATCTGCGCTTTTTTGTGTCTTGCTAGTTCAATGTTTAGGATTATTATATTACATTAGGACAGATTTCAAAGTTGGCAAAGCAATATTTATTGTGACATGCTCCGACTGGATTGCAATTACTTTTGCAATGGTGTAATAGTACATGTGTTTATCGGAAACCATCATGGTACAGAAATTGCAGTTCAGTGGATGCAGTCATAGTGAGAATACATTAGCCTACATAATAATGCAGAAATAATGCAGAACCAAATTTAAGAAGCGCAAGTTTCACCTGGAAACCTTAAGCTGTAGGCTGTTAGCAAGTTAGCAACATGCAATGCTAAGCTTAGTTCAAGCTGACTGGTGTCTGACTGAATAAGTAACACTATGACGAGTGCAAATGACACATAGGAGCTGGAAGCCTAGCTTTATACATTTGGGGGGTTTTGTCTCCCTCCCTTTTACCAAACATAGACCAAACCGTGATGTTCAATCTGTGTACTGTTACAGCCCCATTTTATGGTATATAAACATCCAAGTTACCTGTGGAGGAGGAAACCGCTGATAAGAAGACTGCTGCTGTTGCTGCGAAGCATTCTGGGGGTACGATGTGGGCTGTCCCTGTGGCATCTGGCCATGTACTGTGGGCTGCTGGGTGGCAGATGTGGGGGCTTGTGTTGGCTGCTGTGAGGGGGTCTGTTGGGGACCCTGACCTGGAGGATAACTGGGCTGGGCCTGTGACACTGGTGGAGCCTGGGAACCACCCTGTTGCTGGGGCTGGGGCTGGGATGGGGGCACCTGTTGCTGTGGGTAGGGTGACTGACTGGACTGTGGAGCAGTAGGCTGAGAGTATGGAGGCTGAGACTGGGATGGGCCCTGTGGGGGTCCTGACATAGGCCCCTGGGGCTGCTGGGGCATGTGAGGCTGTTGATAGGGAGGGCCACCCTGTGCATGAGGGGCAGATGGCTGTGAAGGGTGGGGCTGCTGGGAGTACGGCGCCTGGTTGCCCGGCTGGCCCGGTGCAGGCTGAGGGTATGGCGACTGCTGCTGACCAGAGTGAGGGCCCTGGCCCTGTTGACCATAATAAGGCTGCTGCCCTTGCCCATAACTGCCTGGTCCCTGCTGTCCATATGACGTCATCTGTACAAACATGTCGCACCACAGTCATTACAAAGCTGACTTTGAGGACTTACAAAAATGTCTATGGCTGAAATTCTGTTATTACATATAAAATGGCCTTATTTGAAATTCAAATGCAACTTGTATTAGTAGCACACACCCCTACATTAAAACTAAATTAGACTATTAATTGTACAGACGAGCCCTATTTGTTTTGAAAGGTTGGTACTGTTCCTGTCTACTTAATAAGGATAAGATGGCCTCAATGGCAAAAAACTGAAATCCATATTATTCCATATTATCACACTTATTCAGGTGGAAAATATAAACCAAAAAGCATGTAAGACATTTTATTTTATACACAATATTGTATAATGTTGTCCAGTTTAACAAGGGCAGTCAGTAACACTGACCTGTTGGCCATACTGCATGCGCCCTTGCATGCCCAAAGGATATCTCTGAGGACCAGGAGGCCCATAGCCCTGGCCTGGATATGCAGGTCCCTGCTGGGGCCCTGGAGGCCCTTGGTGAGGCTGCTGGGAGTAAGGGCTGCCTGCTCCATATGGCTGACCTCTCATTTTGCCAATCTGATCCATAGAGCCTGGAGTCTGTGAAACCAGAGACAAGTTTATGATCTGGGCATGAATTCAACACAAACTTATGTCTACACATGCTTACAAACACAATCAACAAGGAGGTGATATTAAATGGCTGTTTGCTGTATGACACACTAATAGGATCCGATTTTGTGACAAACATTTCTTAACTTACATACTACTATTTTTCAACTGCTTTTTTCACTAACTAAGCTTTTAAATGAACTATTTTTAATTGTAGCACTTAAGATGACCATTTATAAGTAGACTCTACTAGCCCACAGAAAAAAATACACAGCTAATATCATAACATTATACAACGTGATTGAGTATTTCAGGCTAAATTTGAACTGGTTTGAAATCTTTCCTGCTCCATATCTAATCCAGCATTTTCTGCTGCTAGCAGTATGACACCTGGTAGCACCAATCTGATATTTCTAATACTCACCATCAATGATTCTTATATAGCTTCATATTCTTAGAGCATGACCACAATTCGCATCAGTTAACATTTAAATTTTATGTGACCTGTTAGAGTGCACTTAATTATGTTCAAATTGTGATGCATCCCTTTAAGACACAGACAATAGCCATGCCAATGCACCAATGCAGACATGTGGCAAAAGAATCACTGCTAAATAACACTGAAGACAAGACAACAATTCAAACCATCAATTAAACACTGTCATTCAATAAAACCCAGTCTTAGCACCATCTTTTCAGGTGCAACAGTTTTGAGCTTAGTGCAGAGCTATTTTTCTTTCTTTAGGCTCCTGTGCACTGAAGCTTAGGACACAGAAGACAACAGTTTACTAAGCTACCTACCTTCAGCAAATGTAGTTATTAACAGCCTACAACAACTGCCAAACGAAGAAACTGTAGTTCATTCCAGGCTTATGAGGTCTAGACAAGTTGTAAACCTCAGCTGCCTATTCTGTGACTATCTATTGACATAATACTAATACTTATTAGTACTTTATCGCTATTCTAATACTGATAAAACATACTATATGTTTTAATAGACACTTCCACATGTTGATAAGCAAAGCCGTCTTACAAACTTATCGAGTAAGAAAAAAAAAAGCATAAAATGTGATCACAGTAAGAAGGCAGAGAAGAGGGGGAGGAGGTGTGCAGCAGAAACACTGTTTCCCACGGTTATTAACCTGCATGTTACCTTTTTCTGCCTTAGTTAAGGAAGTGAAGAGTGCTATATATAACTCATTTCAAATGGAAGGCAGTCTGCCGAATATTTAACACATCCCAGCTGTACTTCTGTCTGAGACTGAGCCAAGTTGGCTTTTCCTTTTTTTTTTAATAAAAGGAGGCATTCTTGGCACTGAATAAATGACAGAAGCCATAGCAGTATAAACAGAGAAGCCCAGAATCTTGTGAGCAATGTGACTTGAGGTTGATGGTGTGCACATTTTTCAGGACAGGGATCGTTTTTGGGAGGTGTGTCCCTCAAAAGGACAACATACACTGACTACTCACAAAATGCTCAGAAGCATTTTATAAATGGAGGGCTGGATATTGGCAACTTCACGATACAACATATACACTATGATCAAAAGTTTGTAGACCTAAATCAATGTTTCTTCTGAAAACAAGGATTTTTACAGAAGCTGCTGCAACAGCCTCTAATCTTCTGGGAAGGCTTTGCACTAGATGTTCATCGTTGTCATGAAGATTTGCCTCACGAGCATAAATGAGATCAGGTAAAGTTGTATGATTAGTTCTGGATCAAAAAATGCCTCTCCAAAATCATCCCAAAGGTATTCAATGGTGCTTGATCAACTCCAGAGAACTCCTAATAAAAACAAGTTTTACTGATGTATTTTTAAACAGAATTTGAAGCAAACAAGAATAATGCATATGAAAATAATGCTGGACTTTTTAAGGACTGTATTACAAGTGTGGTTCACAAATTTTCAACACATGCCACAGATCACACACACTGCAGCAGCATCATCATCATCATCTGTGTAGCATTTAGCAGCGCTACAATACAAAGCAACGCTATAAACGAGTAACCAAAATGCTAACAGCACTAAATAATAACGTGTGTGTGCGCGCATGTGCATATATAATTGTTTTATATTCTATATATATATATATATATATATATATATATATATATATATATAGAGAGAGAGAGAGAGAGAGAGAGAGAGAGAGAAAGAGACACACACACACCTAAATATTACCACTTTTGGAAAAATAAGGCTGAATATTGTCTTTATTCTTTTTTTTTTTTTACAGCTTTGTATTTTTAGAATTAGTCATTTTATGCATTTTTCTGAAATAGAAATGATTTTATTTTATTGCATATTTATTGCGTATTAATTATAACTTTCCACGCACACACACACCTCTAACAAGTTCACTTTAAACTGTATCCTCTCCTGAACATATGACATGCAAAAGGGGCCAGAGTGAAATGTCACCTCCAGCGCAGCCTCTCTTTATCATCATCAAATTAACAAACAACACCAATAATAATAATAATAATAATAATAATAATAATAACAATAACAACAACAACAACAATAATACAATAATAACAACAACAACAATAATAACAACAACAACAACAACAACAACAACAACAACAACACCACCAAGAAAGGGCAAAACCTTAGCTATTGGAGTTGTTTGCTTCTGCTGGATGTTATGAATACTGCACTCAGACTTGAATGACAAGCAAAACTGAAATTGCAATGTAAATAAAAGTAGGCATTAAATTAACCGTATGAAAAAAAAATCAATAGCAATATTACAGAATTTTCTAGGAATTTCTCTAAGAACCCCAAAGTAAATTCAGACAATTACCAGTTTACAACAGGACACTACTCAAGCATCAAATTAATTTAAAGCCAACACTGCAGGAATATTTCAGAAATAATATAGATTATTATGCAAGTGCTATATACATTACTACTGAAATTTCAGTGTCAAACTATTATAGATCTTCTCTGTGATGGTAAAGATACAGCCATCACTATATATGCATATTGCCACAAACATATTCACAGTATACTGCCATAATGACATTCTGAACAGCCCTAGTTGAGTCATAAAAATGGAGGTTTTGTCCTATTTCAAGCACGGCAAATCCAAAACAGCTAACACTCACATAACACAAACACTAAAAGGTAGCTGAAAAATAACATACATAAAACACAACATCCAGACTGAAACACAAAGCTACAAAATGACTGAAGAACCGATATTCCACTAACAAACCTTCTTTATGAAAAGAGCAAAAACTATTAAAGCAATGGATGACCAAAACCAAAATTCATACAAATGTAGTCAGTCAAGACACATCTGATGTTCAAAGTTTGCACCTTCAGTTGCGACCATCATTGTACAAACTGCATACCGAAATCACACACTTGCCTCATCTGTAAGATTGTTAAGTAATCTTAAATACCATATGCAAGTATTTAATAAGTATATAAACTGCACAGTTTAGAAAAAGGTATGCCAAGTGAGAATCTCTTGTAGCAAATGAGAATCTCTTTCCCCCCCATGAAACAGACTCAAGTAGGAGGCGCAACATACACAGTAAGTTAGACACAATTTTGATAACAAACATAACTCCGATTTGACTTGCATATTCAAATAACATCTATTTTCTGAAACTGTTTAACAATAGCCAAACCATGTTTTGAGGCAAGGGTGCAAGAATTTAGTCATTTTAGGTAAAGGGAAAAATATGTAAACATCACCGCTTTAGTGCAGCATATATTTGAAGGTGTGCAACCCATCCTCCCTAAATTTATTTTCATACTTTTGACATCTGTGCCATTTCACAACCAGAAAAAGATGAACAGTCATCCCAAAAAAAAAATGTCATTTCAAACCAACTCAAAGTCCAACACACTTTGTTATCACAAACTGCAGAACAGTACTACTACTACTACTAATACTAACAATGATGACAACGACAACAACAACATTCTTATAAGGGGCTCCACAGACATCCAAATCTTTTTATCGATTCAAGCTGTTTTGATGTAATTGCAGACCTGACAGAAGGCCTCCTTTGGTAAACAAACTCTAGTTTTAAGTGGCTGAGCCGGAGCGGCTCTTGACATTTTCCAGTGTCCAAATGGAAAAATAAAATAAATAAAAGCAGCACATGGCTAATCTGCATAAGATAAAGCAAAGGCTCCCTTGGCAGGAGTCTCTGCTGGACTGGCTCTTTGATTGGCTGTGGGGGATGGGGTGGATACTGGAGCTCCAACAGATGAACTGAGGGCAGGGAGGACACCATACAGCACAGCAGCAACAGCTCTGATCAACAAAACCCACATATCACAGCTTCAAAACAAAACCAACTACGCTTATGCTAAGTTTATCAATACTCATTGGTATCTGCGTCAGCTATGTTTGGTGTTGAAACAATAAAAAAAACAATTTAATAGTACATGACTGTCAATGTATATGAAGTGTGGATAGAGAAAATGGCATAATTGAACAACACGAGAAATAAAGTATAGAAGCCTTGTATATAACTGGCAAATGCAGACGAACAGATTGCAAGCTAAGAATGAAATGCACAAGGCACACTGATAAGAGACAAGACTGTCTTCAAAGATGACAAAAAGCTAACAATAACCAATAAACAAGTGAATTATTTTCACAAAATTACAACAGGATCATGAAGATATCATGAAAAGAGTGCCAGTCTCTGTGAAAACTGTCAGAGAACGCTCTAGTGGACGTTAAGTCTCTGTTAACGCTGCATTGATCCTTTTTCCTGTACATATTATCTTATAGTTTTGTGTAGTGATGTTTCAGTCTGCTCTGGTTACAAATGCTCAGAACCCATACATACTAAAACTGGAATTTTAAACAGTAGAAAAACAAACAAGATCAAGAAAATAGAGCGACATCAACATCAAACATACATAGCAGTGCCAAATATGCAAATTACAACATACCTACCAAAAAAACAAAGCTTTTTAAATGACTTTTACTGATCAAACTGAAGTAAATGGCACCAACATACCTCGTACCTTGAATGTGAAATTAAACCATCTGTCTAAGGGCAGGTGATATAAAAATAAAGATTCTTGAAGATGTTTTCCCACAATATGCACCACAACGTTTAGTTTTCCTGAGGTTTGATAAATTTAAACAGACAAGAAAACACCAGCAGGGCTACATTAAAAATAAATAAATAAATAAATACCATGAAGAACTACGAATACAATGAATCGTATTGAACTTTTCACAAACTGTGTTGCAGTTTCCATCAAACAGGGCTAATCATGTTCTTTCTAGTAAAGCATGCAGTTGCTCAGAAATGCATTTTGTGATTTATCACAATGATTATAGCCACATCATCCACACCTACATTTGTCCGACATTTTCAGACTGATTTAGATTTAAATGTGAAAGTTGAATAAAACCTTTCTAAATTATAGTAAACAGAAATGAGGTAGCGTACTTGTGACTTTGGTGTAACTACGTAAAACCTTCAGATGAAACCTCACATACACCCTACACTTCACAGTGATAATGTATATGATACATATAATGCTGCAGAACATTAGAAATGTGATCATTTGTACAGGTACTGTTATAGCTTTCATTTTATTAAAACACTGAAAATGAAATGAAATCGACTAGCTTAAGTGTATGACAAGCCCACCAGCTAGCAACGAACAAACAAAGAATTTGTAAATTACCTTAATATAACAACTGAAAATCAAAAAAATAAATAAAAAAATAAACCCTCAAAAGATTCATTTTACTCACAAACATCTAAGTGTGGTTATCACTAATGTGACTTAAGAAACTAGCGAAAAACTGAGAAGTTATATAAAATGCAGTATTATACCTAATGATATAGTTAAAAGGCAATACTGAGTTTGTATGCCATTAACGATGAGTGTGCAGTATATTGCTTAACCCCTCTAAACAAACAGACAAACAGATGAGGATTTTCACCATCATCTGGTTTCTGTACACAGCTTGTCTGTCAGCCATGGACAATTTTTGTTTTAAAACTAAGAATGACGATCTTACGAAATAACTACTAAGTCCTATTAGGGAAACTCTACATATATCAATTCGCATAAAACTTTTTTTGTAGTTGAAAATACACCAATAAAATTATTTTTCTATTACTCAATTTTTTTTCGGTACAGCATCACATTGAGACAATTAAAATCGATTGCATTAGCTCTTCAATTTCTAATGAAATGTCATCAATGAAAAGGCAATCAAAATTTAAGTAATTTCAATTACCGTGGCATAGCTATTACCTACCAAAAAAAACTTATTTAAAGAAATAAAATATATATTTTTCTAGTCCCCCAAACATGCAAACAACGTGTCCCACTGACTGCTATAGCCTTAACAGCATCACCAATGAGCGAACTGTAAACCCAGAAACTGCACATATTTGTAGTTTTGTCTGTTGATTAGGCCCACAGAACACAAGCTTTGTTAATCGGCCTCTACAGTGGCACTGAAAGAGGCCATAATATGCCTAAGAGCACTAACAAATCACAGGAATTTACATTATATGCTATGCAAGTAAAACGTCAGATGTTCATCAAGACCACCATTCACTGGTATTCTAGCAAATTACACATTCATATGGTCTTACAACTGAACATAATTTGTGGTCATAATCACGCAGCTCTATCTTCAACTGTCACATAAAAGAATGCACAGATGTGTTTTACCATCCTGCACGTCATACTGCAACTGCAATATCATACAAGCCTGTTTTGTGTTTTATTTTCAAGTTTAAGAGTTTCCAATACTCGTAATTGCCTTTAGCCTATGTTTGGTATAAAGGGATCATTACCTTATAACACCACTTCACCTAAGAATCTGCAACATATTAGGACATTCAATTCCAAGCATTTCATCTTTCAAGAAAAAGTCTCTACATAAGACCTTAAATGCTTTAAATAAATAAGTAACAAAGATAATTTCAAAATGAAATTAGTCATTTTAGCAATAACAGGTCAAATAGTGCTCACAATCGTGTTTTCCTGCAATCATTACTGATTGCAAAGACAAGGTCAGAACTACAGATTAGTTCACCACACTCAGTACTGAACACAGTAAAGGTTGTTTCAAAATCAGAAAGGTTGTTTCAAAACATACTGAAAACCTATTAAATTTCATTTACTGCATGAAACATCACTTTTGGAGAAGCTGCATGTTCTTCTTTCACTGTGTGGACGCGAGCAATATTAACTCATCAGGAATTGTTTCTGCGTTACATCATAAGCAATTATAAATGGCCAAGAGCTGAGGATGAAGAGCCAATCAGATTTCGGCTAGCATGTCAACCCAAGACCAACTGTCTCCTGCCTTTGACAGGAGGATTTTACCTCCACAATTCAAATCCCACAGCAAAGCAATCTGCACTCACTCAAATCACTTGGCTTGCGTTTACAGGCAAACTAATACCGTCCGGCCAGGCCTACCTAGCCATGTTTGAAACGTCGCTTTTTCAAAGTAAATCACACAATTCTGCGCACATATCGACTTTTTTTTTTTTCAAGAAACCATATTAACATGCAAATTCACTACTGCGGTATGTTCCTACTGTTAGCTAGATACTGCCGTTGAAACAAGCAAGTCCTTCAAACACAGGCGTGAAACGTCCGCTAACCTGACCCAAAATAAACACCTTTATCCAAATCTGACCAACTGACACGTGGAATGAACGCTATCTGTCTGATAACCAACGCACATCAGTCTCCTCAAACTACACAGACTCCAAATTATACGCCGAAACGCCGTTCACATCGAGCTGCTAGCCAACCTTCAGCTAATTACGTTTAAGCCGCCTGCTGCTGGAAAAAGAAAGTGGCACAAAATATGCATTTTTCGCGCTTTTACACACATTGTGCGCTTACTTTAGTCCTTCAGTGGACCGCAGTGGTCGTTTTACACAATATAAGCAGGCAGCGAAGTCGCACACCGTCACTATTCCGCTAAAATAAACGCTGTTAAATGAAGTGGTGTATGAAAAACCAAGGAGGCAGCCATTTTAGAGTATCTCTAGGCTAGACAATAGCTAGCCTAGCGTGCTCAAGGTACACGTTTAGACAGAAACTAGGCAAAGGGAAACGAGTTTTTCTTTACAAAAATAAGTGTAAATGCCCATTTACCTGGTTTCTACCGAGGGGCTGCCCTGTGCTTCCCGGGCTCATGGGCGGCGGGTGATGGGTCCTTTGTTGCCAGCCCGGATGGCCCCCACCATACTGGCTGCTACTGCCGATCTCCGCTGGTCCCTTGTTAGCACCTTCCTGACTGTTGTAGTCACTCTGGGGGTAGTTGGGGTATCCCCTGGTCGAGCTCGGGGAGGTCAAGAGTTGGTTCAGAGTCGGGGTGGACGTGGGCTGTGGATTTCCCATAGAATACCGCTGACTGTTATAGGATGCAGCCATAGCCGCGGATCCTCCCGCTGGCTGTGGCTTGGCCGCCTGCCCCCCTGCCGCCTGAGCCGGAGGATTGCGCGGGGAGTTCACGGCGTAGCCCTGGCCCGGGTAGGGCGTCCGGCTCGGAAACGGGCCGTAGCTGTTGAAGTGGTGGTTGGGGAAGCCGTGGTCGTGCGAGTTCGCCTGATACGGGTCCATCATGTTGCTCGACAGCGCGCCTGGCCCCGCTGCAGCTGCCATGCCAGGGCTTTGTTGTCCGCCATGTTGATGAAAAGGGGCCCGTCCGTAGTGCTGGCTGTAACCGTAGGAAGGCGGCGGAAAAGCGGACGCGTGATGGTGTACCATCCCTGGGTGGTTGTTCCCGTCGGGTCCAGTGGTATCATTTTGAGAATTATTCACTCGAGAAGGGTTCCCGTTCCCGTTCTTCATCTCCGACTCCCCTCCTCCCCCAGCATTTCCAACATCGGCCCGGTCGTGCAGCTCCCCGCGGCCCGGAGATCCGCTCTCTAATCCCGGCTCCTTATTTTCCTGCTGCTTCTCCCCCGGTACCGACTCCTCCTTTGGGTCTCGATCCGGTTTTTTCAGCTCGGAAGGCGGGCTGGTGTTGAGAGAGGCAGCGCTGGCGACCTGAGCGGCCATGATAGCCCTCTCTCCCTCTCGGCGAGTCCAGTCACAATCAAACGCTCAACATTGAATGTAAATACAGCAGTTTTACAACAATTCACCCGCGTCCCGACTCATCCCCACCCCGCTCCTCCGGACCGAATCCGGGCTGCACCGCCAGCACGGCTTTGCTGAATAAGTGTAAGTAAAGTGAAGTCCCGGGAGTGAATTTAACCGACACAGAAACTGTGGGGGGTTTCTGTTACAGAACTAGACTACAGCGGAGGAACGGATCACACCAGCACGAGGCTCACACAGCCATTTTACCGAGATAGGCTGGAGCATGAGAAACCTGGCCTGGACTCTCTTCAGAGTGCGGAATGGACTCGGTTGGGGGTGGTTTTGGGAGGGAGGGGGGTGTCTTGACGTTGCATAACAAGAAGTAAAACAGTTTCTTGGCAAGACATAATTTAGCACAACAACTTGATATAAATTATTTTTTTGACATACAGCATGAATGGACTGGATTGGAAGTGTCGTGTATAGTATTTCTATTCTACCTCAAGCACTCCGTTCAGGTCTGTCGTCATCTGAATATTTCCTTGTTCTCTAATAAACTGCTGCGAATGAAAGGCACCCAATAGGACAAACGCAATAATGTCCACATTATGATATAACAAGAAAAAAATCATACGCAGTTACTCTGCATTATTAGAAAATATATATACCATGTATAAGACAAATGTGAGAGACACATGAAAACGGTCCTGATTTTTTTCTTTAAACATTCAAGTGCCAGAGGGGAAAACTGTAGAAAAACTAAAGTAAAGGAGATCTTTGCTTGAGAGAGGCAGAGGAAGAGGCAGAAGTAAGGAGGGCTGCTGGTGGGCTGGGCTAGTCAGCAAGCAGGAAGTGAAAATGGAAAAAAAAGAGAGAGAGAGAGAGGGAGGGAGGGAGAGGGTGAGAAGAAAATCAGATAAACCACGGCAAGCGGTTGAAAGGCAGAATACATTATCATCACAAAATAACCTCTATCTATTTATACTGTGGTTCAGCTTGGACTCTGAAAGAAACAGAGCCTGGATCTCACGGGAGAAAATATTTCTCTTTAGAAGAATAACATGGTCTCTTGTTCCTCTCATCTCTCCCCACCCCCTCTCATCTCTCCCCTCTCTCTCTGCCTGCCTCTCTAGCTGAAGCCTCGCTGCTTGCAAAAGAAGCACAGCTCTGGTGCTGAGTGTGGGGGATGGGCAGCACAGAGCAGCTTTAATGCAGTGCGGAGCTGCAAGTAGCCCGCTGCCGGCCTACTCTAGCCTTGGCCTGCGACAGAGGGAGATCCCTTCATATTTTTCTGGTACAGATGTTTTCAAGGCTACATTTTAAGGTTAAATTTTAGGGATTTCATTTGTCACATTCACATATATCTTTTTTCACAATTATCTACCATGAAATGTTGCATTTGAAGAAGACTTACTCTCACTTCAATCCGTAATAGGCAACATTTTCGACAGTATTTGCAACCCACTGATGTTAAACTTAAGTTATAGAAAATCTAAGTGGAAAAATAATAATTTTCTAGACAATATCTACACAATGAAAGAAAAAACTGCAGAAAATTGAGGAAACAGTGGGATTATAAATGTATGACTTGTGTACTTTCACTTATATGTGAACTGATTTAAATAAATATATATTTATGTTTCTCAGTGTTTTAATCATGTGAATTTTACCATGAACTTAGTTGTAATTTAACACAAAAATCCAAATAACCAATGTATATATTTTCAACATTCACAAGCTCATTTTCCCTCTAACACTTTGACACGTATGCTGTAGGACAAAAGGTGACTGTCTAATTCTTTACCCTAGAATGATCACAGTACTTTATTGTTGATGTTGTTGCTGAATGTAATAAGAACATATTGAAGTATTTATTTAGGTAACATCACAAGTATTCCCGCTTTCTTCTGTACTATGTTTCATAAAGAGTTGGAGTAAAATCTTGCATGCTTATATCTATCCAGTTAACAGAGGTACATGCAAAGTTGCTAAAATGCAATATAGGTGATGTTATTGTTTGTCACCATACGTATCAGAGTATGCAGTACAGCTTGTAAACCTCATACCAAAACAGCCATGACCTTAAATATGCCAATAAGCTACACTCAAGGCCGTAGGGAGGAGATTGTTTTGTGGAGCCTTCCATTCAATCAGTGGTTCATTCAATCGCTTGTTCTCAGACACACCCCCACATAGGAATCCACAAAGTAACCAGAGCAGACACAGGGAAGTTGGTCCTCAGCCAGCAGGTTGCTGGGCAGCCGTGACACACACAAACTCTTTCTCTGATGTGTGCTAAGGAAAGAAGTAGCACTCCAGAGGAGCCGGAGCTGGAAAGCATATCTGTGGGTGCGTTCTCACAACCTGTACCCCCCTCCCCCAAACATACACAACAAACCTTTAGGAAATGATAACACAGGAACACAGTAATATTGTAGGCCCAAATTATTATTATTATTAGTATTTTGTCAAAAATGCAACACTTCTTATTTGCAATATCATCAATGTGATACATTTTATGTGCAGATCAAATATTTCTTTAATTTCCCATGATATATCAAACCTTCTTACATTTCATCTATTGTCTTTTCCTATGTATTTCAAACTACTGTTTTCTGTGTATAGATGTGTTTGCTTGGTATGATATGAGAATAAAAGGCAATGATTGTTTTTTTCTTTTACACACATCTAGAAGAAGGCATGGATATAGGACTAGACTGCATGATGTGGAAATGTTTAAAAAATATATAATAGATTTATTGTGTAGAAATGAAATCATTTTAATCCCAAATAGAAATATCTGCAGTTAGATACGCTACCACAGTAAATAAATGAGAGAACCTTAAAAAGGGAGGGGAAATAGATTTTTCTATTTGTCAAACTAGAGCATTCATAAGCCCAGGAAGGCAGAAACAAATTTCACATTGCTAACTCCTTCTGCCTGTCTGGCTCCTGTTTTTGCCGTGAAGATCACACTAAAACATGAACTGGATTCTGGACTGAGACAATAGTCGCAGCTTTGCATCATGTCCTGTTTACATTTTACTGCCGAAGGTCTAAAAATCCCAGCACTTACAGGAAGACTCATCTGAAGAAAATTAAGAATTCATGATAAACATATCGTTACTGTCAGAACAAAACCTCATATCTCTAGAATAGTAAGATTATAGGGGAAAAAAGAATATGCTTGATTTTCAGTGTTAAGGTCATAAGATTTTATTCCAAGTCATTTGAAATAATTTCTTTTGGTCTGTTTGTCCTGAAATCATAACACAGTATAGAAAGCAGCTGACATATACAAATTATGTGAAAAAATGACCATCCAACAGCGACAATATAGGCCTACTGATCATCTGAATATTATCAAAATGGGATGCAACACCATATGTGAAGCATGTTGAATGTATAAAAAAGATGTAATAGTAAGTATGTGTACCTCATAGCAAACCAACATACAAGTGAAATTTCTCTTTGTTATTAAGACGGTTGATCTAACACTTCTAGCTCTCCTTCCTTCATTACTTAGAGATCCTGCTGAACATAGTAGCAATATAGCTAAGGAGGTCCACTGAATGTTACTACAGACTTCCAGCATTGTGGGATGTTATGGAGTTGTGGTGACCATAAATGGGATGACATGCTCTTATTGTGACTAGCACAATCTGCTTTGATAATGCTAGTTTCTAGACTGAACCATTTTGTTGCATTAGGACCCATCATGTATATTCTACACCTGATGTATATAATAATAATTTATATATTGTTGATATCTATGAAGTGTAAATTCATTAATACAGAAAATATTTGTTTCTAGAAAACACCAAAATAAGTGTGAGTGTAGTAATGCACATTTAATATATGGAGGACATGAAAGGAAGCATTTCTCAGATCAGCCTGCTAATGAGATTGTTTCAGTATGGCTGGGTTATAATCAAAGTTACATGATGAAAGAAGTACACAAAACCCACCATATGTACACAAGAAAAAGTAATGTCCAAGAAATATTTGGGCTGACCAAAGCTGACCAATAACAATTTTACTTATTTATCTAAAGTAAATGGTGTTATCATACTTTTGACTGTTCCTACTTGTGTAAATCAGTGATTCTTACAACAGAGTACTTACGTATTGTATGCCAGCACAGAGGCCTACATGGGCTCTGTTACACCTCACCACAGCTATAAATCAGCACAGATACCCAAAGCAATGAGAAAAATTATTCCATATATGTTACAGTTTTCTTTCCAGTCTCCTAGTGCATTTAGTCCTTACAAACTGCATTTCTGAAAGGAAATGTGTGCAGCACATTTGGCCACATTGTTTCTGCTGGCTCTTTTAAAAAAAAATAAATAAATAATAAAATAAATAAATAAATAAATAAATACGGTCAATGCATCATTCATCACAAAACTTTTCAATAAAATGATTTAGTTTTTTTTTAACAAAAACTTTAATATCTTCGAATAAACCATGCAGTTCCTGCTTCATTTGAGTTGGTCCCGTGTGTGCCTGCTGTTCCACTCCGTGTTTTAGAAACGCTCAGCTACACAGAGTGCGCTAAGAGGCGAAGCACTGCTCTTTAGACCCACGTCTACTTCCGCGGATCACACAAGTATGCGTTAAGGTGATTATTAGCGCAAAACCTTTAATAGGCTGTGATGTGACACAGGTTGTACAGAGTACCTAGACTTGGCGGGAAAAGCCCCAAAAACATAATCTTTACACAGAAAAGAAGGCACGAAAAGACAAGTTCTGAAATCAAGAGGCACTATGTAACATAGTTGTCATCTCTCCCTCGCATGTACAATGCATTCCTGTGTTACTCCGCTGGTGATGGGGCCTTTACAAGGTCCACGCTGCACATGATGGGGAAGGAGGATCAACTGCAGTATATCTGCTTTGAAACAAGTGTGCGACAAAAACTTAAGTACAAGAAATGATGTGGATACAATTTGTAAGTTACATGCGAGGAAAACCTTGCGTAAAAAATAATAATTTACAGTCTACCACCGACTGCAACACTAACCATCTGCTCTGATGTCCCAGCCACACACAATGAGTACATTAAGGGAGGCCCTTTAGAAGACGGTCAAACGCCGTTCATATTCTGCTCATAGAAATCATAGCTTGTCTGTGGAGCTACCTGAAAAATCAACGCAGACCTTTACATCCTGCTAAACTAGTCGTTGCACATGTATTCTGTGTGACAGCGCTCTCTGGTGGCAAACCTTTAAAAGGTCAAACACAACGGTTTAAAGTAACCTTCTTCAAAACATGGTTGAACAACAGGATTTTAGACCTACTCCTAAAATTTCTACATTAAATTTAAGTGTAATTTCACACTATGTGCACACTATGTGATGTGTAAATTTACCATTTTTACCACAGTGTCATCCTATGCCATACGTCTTTTTAAAATCATGAACTGTAATTGGTCTTCAGTAACTGTATAGATAACATCTGAATGGAAATGTGACTCATTAAGTCACTTTATGAAATGAACACCAAACAAGGAGTCGATTCTAATGTTTTCCAAAGCACAGTCAGTAAACTCTTTTATACACCATCCGGCCGCTTCATTAAAACCACCTCTTTGTTTCTACATTGTGCATTTTATCAGCTCCACTAACCACATAGGAGCACTTTGTAGTTCTACAATTACAGACTGTAGTCCATCTGTTGCTGTTCATACTTTGTTCGCCCCCTTTAGCCTTTTCTTCAATGGTTAGGACCCACAAAGCAGGTATTATTTGGGTGGTGGATCATTCTCAGCACTACAGTGATGCTGACGTGGTGGTGGCGTATTAGTGTGTGTTGTGCTGGCACAAGTGGATCAGACACAGCAGTGTTGCTGGAGTTTTTAATTAATTTTTGGTAGGTGGACTATTCTCAGTCCAGCAGTGACCCTGAGGTACCAGCGCAACACACACTAACACACCACCACCACATCAGTGTTACTGCAGTGCTGAAAATGATCCACCACCCAAATAATATCTGCTCTGTGGAAGTGCTTAAGGAAGTAGCCAGTCAGTGTATATGTAGTGTTAAAATGTCTGACTACGAACTATAGAAATATTATTGTTTACTATTATACTGTTAAGACTTATAGAAATATGACGTGTAAACCAAATGTAAATATTCTGTGTAAAACACAAAATCAATTTACTAATAGGTCGACATTACCACACTGCGATAATGTTATATGGTTGCAATGGAGTCAGTCCAATAAGACAATCAAAAAAGTTCTCTTGGGTGATGTAACACTCTAGTGTTTTGCTAAGTATTTTGTTTAGTTTATACAACATATTTCAACAGTACTGGATATGTACAGCTTATTAAAGCTTACATATCTTAACAGTCAGGGTTCCTTTTAAATATATCGTCACCGTCCAATGAAAAACGTATCTCCATTTTTTGCGATTTTTACTTTTCTGCATCATTTGAGCTCAGCAGCTGTCCTTTACATTGTGTGAACATTTCATGATGATTGAACCAATAGAAATGCTCCAAAATTGCTTAGAATAAAATCTTTTTCCATTAACCTACATTGGAAGTAAAGAACGTTTTTGACCTCTCCTGTCAAGTTACTATTTTGGAGATACTTGTTTTTCTTTGGACAGCAACGATATGCAAATCACAGTGAAGACAAAATTAACACTACAATACTACTTGTAAATACTGATAATTCTTTTCAAATGATAGATTTTTTTTTAGAAAACAAGTATATGAAATTTTACATTTAATTTAGAATCATGTTTAAAAATAGTCAGTCAGTTAACATCTATATTTAGGTGCATTGTATGTATTCTAGGGTAGGAACAACTACCTTATAGCATTACAGTGAACAAACTGTAAAATATATAGCAATAATTATATACTACACCACTGCTATTTGGTTGTAGTTCTCTCTATGCACTAGAATAATAATAATAATGTTACTTCCAGTCCTATACATTTGTCCCTACACATGTGAACATTTTTTCATACTACATAATATTCATACTGAAACTGCAATATTTCTTATTTATCTACAGATGTATAGAATTCTTTAGAATATTTCTGTATATATCATTCTCTGTATATTGTCTTCTTTTCTGTATGTTTTGTATTGTACAGCCGTAGACAGTAATTATCACCTGAGCCTCATCACAAGCATTCCAATGTACGGATGTCCTTGGAATACTGTGCATATGACAAAAAAGACTCTGACTTTGAAATGCAAGAAATACAATAAGTCTGGGCAGACTAGATATTAAATGAGAATACACATTTATTTTATTGAAAAAAATCTAACTTGTATAACTGAAATATATCCTGTAAAATACAAGTCATCAGACTAAAAAGAACTATGGTAGCTGCTGACAGTGTGTTCTTTGGCTTCCATTGTTTACCTGTTGAAATTTACCTTTCCTTAAAACACTGAAAGGTTTGTCTGTTTAAGAAAATCAGATTGGTCAATACCAAGCAGTAAGATTAGGCTTTTATTAGTAAAGACAGTTACAAGTCCATAACCTCTTCTTCCAAAGTCTTTTTGTTGGGTTCTACATATTTCTCTTGCACTCCGAGAGTTCTGGAATAAAATGTTAAGGAAGATGTAAACATGTATTAGCTATTCTATGGAATCTGCTTTGTTTCCGTTAATGTCTCCACCCACAAAGGTGCATGTAAGTCAATTATTTAAAGTTCATTCAGTCAAGAAAAAAGAACTCAAGGAAACAAGAATATGAGAAAAACATCAGCTAAGGATACGAGGTGAACTGAAAATCTGCACCCACAGCAGCAGACATCATGGCCTGGAGATTCCTTTCCTCCAAGTCACCAAAACAGTAGCCATTGGCCTTGTCAACTGCACGCAGGACTTGCATCATGCTCTCCTTATCCTGTTGAAAAAAAGTCATAAAGGGTTATGATTTAATTTGTCTGTTGGTCCTAAGTAACTGTGGCTGTTGTTACAGTGGAAGAGAAACAGCACTTGCCTGCACATTCAGAGGTACAAAAGACACCAGGCTGTAGTCCTGAATCACCTCAGCCAACTTCTCATTCAGACGATGGAATTTCTTGAAGAACGGGTCCGCAGCCAGATGTTCCACCAGGTATGACAAGTCCATAACCTCCGTGTAGAAATCAAGGTTGAAAGCTATGAAGTATGACAAGGCATGAAAAACAAATTTGATGGTTCTAGCTCAGAAAACAGGGGAAGAGGCTTCTCATACAGTAATACAATATATCGATATAGACCAGATCTGTTGTGGCATGCATTAAACAATATCACAGGATATTATATCAGCTGTCTACTTACCCAGCTTGCCATACTGCTCAATAAGGTCCATCTTAGAGAGAACGTTGACATGAGGTAGTTCCACCTGGAGCATGGTGGATAGGGAGGTGCAGAGCACAGAAATAAACTTGGCTGGATCAGCACAGTAATGGGAGTCCACCAAATGCACTGCAGTCAACTAGAAACATTTATAAGGGTTATTGATAAAGGATATCAATGCAACCAAATCCAATTAGGAGATTCACCAGAGCAGCTTCAACGACCTGTCTTTTGTTACTCACCCTGAAGTTCCACTTGGACAGCTGGGCAAACATATTTCTGACTGAGCTATGATGAGTGTAAAGCTCCACTTGGCCAGGACAGTCGAAAAGGAAGTAGTAATTATGGTGCTTCTTCAGCTTACCCTCCAGCCAGTCCAAATTGGCCTCCAAGTATTCCATACAGTAAATAAGACCACCGTTAGGGCCTAGTTTCAGACCCTCCATTACATCATCAAGGGTGACCAGCTCTGATATGTCCACAGCACATGTATATGGCAGTCCCTCGTTTGCAGGGTCCAGGTTTATAACAACCACTTTGCGGCCCAAGTGGCTCAAGAACTCTTGCATTGCACGGCAGTAGGTGGTTTTACCTGAACCAGGTGGCCCAATAACAACCTGCCCAAAACGCAGGGATGACTGTTCAGGTTCAGAAGACATGGTCACAGAAGTTCGTCGCTACACAAATAAACTACACTACAAAATAAAGGCTATATACATTTTAGAAATTAATGGGCATCGCAGGTACATTAACACACACTTACATACACCCCACGCATTTTAAAACACAAGTCTGTTTTAACCCGGATGACAGGAAAACCATGCAAGGCAGACGTTTAGTTGTTTTGCTAACGAACAAACCAGCTAACTGTAAGTTAATGAACTCAGAGTAACGTTACAACACATGATGAACATCTAATCTAACCTACATGGTCAACGCTTTAAACTAAAGAAATACGTGTTACAAAACAAACGCTAGCTATCTATCACAAAATGAATGAATACTGATCCTGATAAACAAGAGCAGGAATTGTACAAAATATTTCGCAAGTAAAGTAAAATAAAATTAAAAATTGTCGAAAAACTACATCACCAATGTGAGTAAACGATGCTAATATCACACCCGGGTCAACGTCTAACCTCAGCTTCAGAATAAAAGTCTTCTAATGGGACAAAGCGATGGACAGAATTCAGGAAAACTGCCCGCGGATCCAACAGGTTTCTGAACCCTTATGTGCCTTGCGAAAGTTTTTATGTTGTCAATATTTCTTATAGATTTATTTTCCAGTCTGTGTTTTTGTTGCAAATCCATATAGTCGCTGTCTGAAAAACTGTATCTACATTTTTAAAAGATTTTTATTTAAATGCAAATACTTGGACTGCGACAATATGCTCTAATAGAGGTGGGCTTATTGATTCTCGAGTAGCGGCCAATTGCAAGCTAACTGGTGGCGTTGTAGTCAAGACCACTAGATCACAGTCCGAGTCAAGACCGAGACCAGGAGTGGCTGTGACCAAGACATGACTGAGATCAAATTTTATCAGGTCTCAGTCTAAATTGTATCTCTCTCGCTCCCTCTCTCTCTCTCTCTCTCTCTCTCTCTCTCTCTCTCTCTCTCTCTCTCTCTCTCTCTTAAAAGCCAGGATCAAATATATGAATATTGTAAACATGGCATATAACACTATAGTGTGTGAATTGCATTTTTTGCTTTATTCCACAAAATGTCACGAAAATCTGACAGTTAGGTTTAAGACACAATATAACAAACTATCAGAATCCTAAAGAAAAAGGTGTGCTGTAGATTTATTTATAATGTGAACATAGCATGTGAGAAAATGAGATTATGAGATTATTTGGGCAAACTACATTTAATTCCTAGGGCATTATCTCTTGGTTGTCAAAATGTTTAAAATAAATCTGACAGTCAGGTTCAAAATACAATGAAACAAAATATCAAAATCCTGAAGAACAAGAATTTTTCTATAGATTTTTAGTATAATTGACAAATGAAATAACTTTCAGTATAATTATAGCTTAATTTCTATAGCGTTTTCTTCTAATTCTAAAAATGACTCAAACATTTGACAGTTGGCTATGAGACTCCTGAAGAAGAGATTTTGAAATTGTGACCCTGTGAACATAGCATGTGAGATGATGAGTGTGGAAAACTTGTCCTATAGGGCATTTTCTCCTGATTCTCAAAATGTCTTTCTGTTTTTCTCAGAAAGAAATCTGAGAATCAGAATCCTAAGGAAGAAGAAGTTTTACTGTGGGGTTTTTTTTATTAAGACCTTGTGAACATAGCTTCTAAGACTATAGAGTGTGGACAAATTACACTTTTGGTTTAGTTCCTAAGGCATTATCTCCTGATAATCAAAATGTCAAAAAAAATCTGACAATCACATTTAAGATAAAATACACTGCACTATCAAAAGTCTTAAATTTAACTTTTTTTATTGTGACCTTGTGAACATGACATCTGAGACAATAGAATGTGGGCTTTAGAATGTTCTGCTTAAACCATAAGGCATTATCTCCTGATTGTCAACACATCTAAAAAATCTGACAGGGACATTTAAGACAATATATAACAAACTATCAGAATGCTGAAGAAGAGTAGATTTTTTTGGCAGTAGATTTTTTTACTGTGACCCTGTGTATATAGTATGTGAGATGATAGAATGTGTGGGCAAATACACTTCCAACTTAATACTTTGGGCATTCATTCCTCATTCCTAAAATGTTTTTTTTAATCTTTTTTATCTTTTTTTTTTTAACTTTTTTTATCATGACCATGTATACATTACATGTTAAAAGATACAATATCTGAGCAAATTACATTGTTGACTTAATTCCCAGAGCATTATCTGCTGATTCTCAAACTCTTAAAATCTGACAAGGAGTGTCAATATACAAAAGGACAGTATATCAAAATTCTGAAGAAGAAAAATCTTTGCTCACTTTTTTTTATTAATGCACATTTTTATTGTGAACATATGAGAGGATAGAAAGCTTGAACGAATTACACTTTTGTTTTCGTTTCTAGGGCATTATTTCCTGATTATTTCCTGAAACATCTTAAAAATCTAACAGTGAGGTTTAAAACACAATATAACAAACTATCAGTATGTTTACTGTAGAATTTTTTTTTATGATGACCCTGTGAAAATAGCATGTTGAGAAAATAGAATATTTCATTAAATTACACTTTCAGCTTTATTCCTAGGGTATTATCTCACTCACTCACTCACTCACTCACTCACTTACTGATCGTCTAAGGTGCTTATCCTCCTGGGTCGACTATAGGTATTATCTCCTGATTGTCAAAATGTCTTAAAAATCTGTCAGTGAAGTTTAAGATACAATACAACAAACTAATAAACTCCTGCATAAGAAGAAATTTTACGCTAGATTTTTTTCATTATGACCCTGTAACAGTTGCGTTTGAGACTACAGAGTGTGGGCAAACTGCACTTTCAGCTCAATTAGGGCATTTTCTCCTCCTTCTCAAAATGTCTAAAAGTTCTGACAGTCAGGGTCAAAAATATAATATAACAGCCATATGTGTAAACCAGTGCAACTCTTAGTTTAACCAATTTTTAAAAAATTCTGAATAAGATCAAAATATCAAAAATATGAAGAAGAAGACATTTTACTGTGGCCTTTTTTTTCATTTGACACTGTGAATTACACACGAAAGACTGCCAAGATTGGGCACATTGTACTTTAGGCTGTTTTCCGTCATCCTTGACGGTCAAAGTTTTTCAGTAATCTTACCTGAGAAACATGTAATACATAATTTAACCTACTATCAAAATCATGAAAAAGAAGACATTTCTCTTTAACACTCTTTCCACTTTAACCCTCTAACCACAATATGTATGACTATACAGTCCTAACAAAGGGGTCTCTTTTGGCCCCCATTCTTGTTGAAAATATTTCAGGATTCATTCACCAAGACAAGGTAGGAAAATCACACGTGTTCTTTCTGTCTAATAGTTTTAAATTGTGAGAAATTATTTTATTTTTAAGACATTTGATATAACTATGAAACATCATTATTTTTATGCCTTTTTAATTATGTGAATATGAGTAAACGACATGGGTACTGTGTGTTTGAAACGATACACATTTATTTGAAACAAAAACGTTAATCTCAATGTTCCAGTTCCCTGTTTAGTTTTAGAAGTAATTTTATTTTTTATTTTTCTCTGTCATAATAGTGTTTTGTCACAATAAAAATCATTTTCAGTTTATTTTTACAGTGTTACACCTCTCAAATTTAATTCCTCAGTCATGTATTCATTAATGAGTATTTTCATAAATTCAGCTGACATTTCTCCGACTGAGCCACCAGCACATAAAATGTTTTGTTTCACTGTTTGTCAACAGTTGCTGACAATCTGTTGTTGAATTTTACAATTTGTTTTTAGTGATATAATTATTTTTTCCACATTACTGTACTTACAACCCGGCATACTATAATGAAGAGATAAAACCAGAGAAAATAAGCAGAAAGATCAACAAGCCTTACTGTAGGATGACCACAACATTAGTCTCACAGAACAGTTCATACTGACTGCTACAGTAAAATTATTTCTTCTTCAGGATTTTGATTTACTGTGTCTTAAATCTGTCAGATTTTATCCACACTCTATAGATATAGCTGGTATGTGAAGTGTCAGTTTTGACAATCTCAAGGTAATTACACAGAAAATGAGAGCAGAAGCCTTTGCATTTAGTGTTGTCCACACTAAATACACTGGTACAGTAAGGTAGGCTTGAAACATTAAAACCACGAGATATTCAGAGTTATCAAGCAGACAATGTAATTACTACCAGCTATGTATAAAAACAATAGTGCAAAATCTCTCATAATTCAGCATTTAAAGACTTTTGATAATTGGATGCTAAGTAAATAGCAAATAAGCACAACTTCACTTTAGCAAGGCACATCTATATTGTTACCCAATTTATATTATTCTTCTCTTTTATTCTTATTTTTCTGCCGTTTCTTTGCCGCGTAACTCGTCCCGCAGTTTTCGAGATGTGAACACCGTTCCAACTCCAGATTGTCCGGCCTGATTGTGTGATGCGTGCTTGTATACAGCTTTTTGATCGGATGCACGGATTCCGTATAGCAATGGAATTTTGCGGAATTTTTTCCCATAGAGAATGAATGGGGTGAACATTTGCATGCCAATCTAAGGTACTTCTGCTTGCCCGAACGAGACCGTTTTTCATACACTATCTCAGGGCAGGCCCCCAAGCATGAATTCACTGTTGTTCTGACCCGCACTCATCCGTTTGTCGTTTTATTCCATCCTTCGTTTCTCTCATAGACTTACATTGAGCGGACTGTTGGCAGCATGCCACACGTGATGTCACAATGGGCCCTTAACTCACACACCCATACAAACTCGCGCACGGAGCCCAATGTCTCACATGCTCACAGCCTAATGCTCAGCAGTGTCAGCACAATAATGATTTTTTTTAAGGTGGAATTGTTTTTAAGGTGGAATTGTTTTTAAGGTGGAATTGCACTTAGCTAGCAAAAGAACTAATCCACTGCCATACTGACCCACACTCCTCTTTGTGTCGTTTTTTCATCCCTCGTTCCTCTCATTGAGTCCCATTCATTTTTGCCACCACTCAAACTCTATTACTTCTTTGCCCGACAGTCACCAAAATGCATGTACTCACTCAGGGCAGGTCCCCAAGCTCCAATCCAAGGTCATACTGACCCGCACTCCTCTATTTGTCACTTTTTCATCCCTCGTTCCTCCCATAGAGTCTCATTCATTTTGGTCACCACTCAAACTCTATTGCTTCTTTACCCGACAGCCACCAAAATGCATGTACTCACTCAGGGCAGGTCCCCAAGCTCGAATCCATAGCCATACTGACCCGCACTCCTCTATTTGTCGTTTTTTCGTCCCTCGTTCCTCCCATAGAGTCTCATTCATTTTTGCCACCACTCAAACTCTATTACTTCTTTGCACGACAGTCACCAAAATGCATGTACTCATTCAGGGCAGGTCCCCAAGCTCTAATCCACAGCCGTCCTGACCCGCACTCCTCTATTTGTCGTTTTGTCATCTCTCGTCCTCCCATATATTCCCATTAATTTTCGCCACCACTCAAACTCTATTACTTCTTTGCCTGACAGTCACCAAAATGCATGTACTCATTCAGGCAGGTCCCCAAGCTCTAATCCACAGCAGTCCTGACCCGCACTCATCTATTTGTCGTTTTTTCATCCCTCGTTCCTCCCTTAGAATCCCATTTATTTTCGGCCAAACCATAGCCCTGTTTTTTCCATTGTGCAACAGACACCAAAATGCATGGGCACATTCCCAAGCTCTAATCCACAGCCACTCTGACCCGCACTCATCTATTTGTCGTTTTTTCATCCCTCGTTCCTCCCATAGAGTCCCATTTATTTTCTTTCACAACAAAACCCTGTTCTCAACAGCCACCAAAGTACTTGTACTCTTTCAGATCAGGTCTCCAAGCTCTAATCCACAGCCATACTGACCTACACTCCTCTATGAGTACTTTTTTCATTCGTCATTCCTCCTATAGAATTCCATAGTAACGGCGCAACCATTCCACGTTTCCTTTAGGAAATGCACTTTTCTAGTTACATATGCAATTCTCAGTGTTAAGCCGGTGAATAAAAAGCCGACCTTAGCCTCGAGTTTCCAGGTACCTCAGACGGAGACATCGGGCTCGGCTGGTCTCGACAACAGGTCCACATTACTCTGGGACCGAGACGAGACCGAGGCTGCGTCCAAAACCGCATAGCTGTGTTTAGTGTTTTTACAGTTGCATGAAAAAGTTTCTGCATTCTTGGATGTCTGTATGAACGCCCCCTAAAATATTACAGAATTTTTATAAGAATTCCTAGAGCATAATAATAAAAAGCTTTTTAACACAAAGAATATACACTGATTTGCAGTAGTGTATCTAACATGAACAATTAGTTTAAACAATCGAGGTCATTTAAAAAAAAAGCCATATAATACATATTACATAGATTTAAATGTAATGTTAAACATATTACACGCATTTTATACACTGACCCAGTGACGTAGACATATCGTATAAACATTTCTGTCTATATAGGAAGCTATGGTCAAAGTCAGAGAGAGATTGAGAGAAAGATAAGGAAATGTAAATGCATGTTTTTGGACAAAAAAAGTAACTTTAAAATGGGCTGTTTTTGCAACTTAATTTCTACATATAAATTATATGAGTGAATTATATGTTTTGAAACTTTAACAATGTTTACATACTCCATCACAGCCTTTTCTAAATACAGTGAGGAAAATTTAGAGGATTATTTGCATTTCTACAACCCTTTGCAGTTCAGAGGATTAATCGCCTATTATTTCTTCTTCACACTCGTAGAGAGTAATTCCTGCCTCTGTTGTCCTCCGTTTGTTCAGTGGTGGTCTGCACCTTGACTACTGTAAAGTTGCTTTGTCTGATATGAACTGAACTGTAAGAAATATAACTTTTCCCAACTTCTTACAGCTAAAAATAGTTTACTACAAAGGGATGTGAGGACTTTTATAACATTCATAACACATTCTTAATAAAAACCTGTTGCTCTATTCCATCTTGCCCTTACTTAAAGCAATAAATCCTGTAACATCACTGATCAATTAAATGTAATACAGAATACTACATTGCATTTGCAGTAATGTTAGTACTCCAAAAATAATTTCCACTACTTAAAGTTTTGCATTATTAAAGTAATTAGCGCACAATCACCATGAACCAACTGCACCAATACAATTCTGCATGCATGGTGTTCAGCATGTTCAAATAAAGCAAAAAACACAGTCATTACTGCTTGTTTTTATTTTACAGTACAAAACATCTAAAATGCAAACAAGACGCCGATCTGCAACCCAACATTTTCAAACAAGAATGTCATTACCTGTGGACCAGAATACAGTCTTAAACTGTTTTTTAATTTTATAGGGCAATAAAGACATGAAGACATTTCACTGCTATGCGATATTAAAATAAAAATGTCTACAAACTAGAAACAGCTCTTCAATCATTCAAACTTAGAAAGTGACATGTAAGTGAAACACCACCCACATCGACTACATCCAGTATATTTACAGTGAAAAAAATCTGGATGTTACACTTTATCAACATAATGAATTATCCAAAATATATATGTTATTTAAGTCATTTGCTCTGGCACTGAGCACTTGGTTTGAAAGGACTACATTGGGCAGTGCCAGACAATGCAAAGCTGTCTGATATAATGCTTATGCTGTCCACCTGAGAATAAGAGTTATACACAGAAAGTAGTCAGGCTGAAGCCTATCAGTGTATTTCTTAATAAACCTTGTCTACAACATAACGGTCATGTCTAAACCATTAATAAATGAAAAAAAACAACAAAAAAAACACATTAACATCTGGGTCAATAACAGCCATCCTGATTGTGTAGTCAGAACTTTTAAAGAGCCTAAATACAATAAAAGTACTTTGGTGAACACTGAGAGGCAACTACTCATCAAGGCCTTCGTCATCGTCCTCTTCCTTCTTAGCGTCAACCTCAGCTGTGTCAGAAAACTCATGCAGGAGGACATACTCCCGGCTGCTGAAACCGAATTTCAGCACGTCCTTCTCCTTGAGCTCGTAGTAACGCTGTGGTTCTATGCGCTGATTGTTCAGGTAAGTTCCGTTCCCTGAACCAAGGTCAATAATGTAGGGTTTCACTCTCCTGCCCACGGTACCATCTGCTCGTGTGTACTCCACCAACCTGAAGAAGTTCAAAAATCAAAATCATATATTTCATTTCTTCATCCTCATCTCATCTATCCCTAAGAATATCTAACTTTTCTGGTAGCGCTGCATGATATTGGGATTATATTGTTATGGGTAGATAATTATTGGACAAAAACAAAAGAAAACAAATGAAAAAGTAGTCCACCTTAGCAGAAGTACACTAAAATGTTTGCATTTTATTTATTTTACTGGATTTGCAACCCCCTACAAATAAATGAATGTTACATTCATCTGTAATGCTAATTAATGCTAATTAATAATACATTGTGTGTAAATTTCATGATAAATGGCTCAAAATTACTTGGGGAAAAGCCACCATTTTGGAGATACGAGGTCTTATTCCGACAACAGAGACATGTGTGTATGTATGTATATATATATATATATATATATATATATATATATATATATATATATGTATGTGTGTGTGTATATGTGTATATATATATATATATATATATATATATATATATATATATATATATATATATATATATATCACACAATTCATCTGCACAAGCACACATCAATTAATAAGGGCCCAAGTTCTTAATAAAATAACATAAAAACATAAAACGACATAAAATATCAGATATTGGCATTGGCCCACAGTAAATCCCTGTGTTCTGGTTTTGATGTTAAAGAGAAGTTAATATCTGCCCATACAGCCTTTACAGACTGGTGGACAAATCACATTTTTTGCCTGCCATTATATTATTATTTTGCTGGCAGAGATCAGATACAAGTGTCTTAAAGACAACTGTGAACTGGTGAAACGTGTAAGCCGAAATTGCTGTTTACTGGAGCTCGTGTGCTTGTAATTCTCTACGCATACTTTCTTATGGTCTTAATGCTTGACTGAGCACAAAATGTTAATATCTAGGTTTTGGGAATCAAGTAATTATAGGCAAGTATAATAAAATTAACTACAAACGAAAATAATGATTGCTGTAAACTAGGTGTGAAAAGGACCAGAGATCCCCAAAACTTTCCTCACCTGTACTGAAACACAGCATGCTGTTTGGAACAGGAGGGGTGGTCAATAGGTATGTCAGCAATCTTCCTTTGTCTTCCAAGGAGATAAGCACTCTGTCGATGGATGTACATGACTGCAAGTGGCTCATCATTCTTGAAGGGGTACAGTCGCCACCTCCTCTTAGGGATCCGAGCCTCAGGAGGCTCATTGTACTTAATAACTACCCCTCGATATGTGTTTGTGTCTTCAACAAGAGCACCTGAGAGTTCAAAGTTGGGTTTCTCTTTCTCAGCAGTGGGGGCAGAATTTTCTCCCTGTTCACCACCAAAAACGTGCGTCTCGTTTGCACTGTCTGCCTCCTGCCTAAGGCGGTTTTCTCGTCGACGCTCATTGTGTTGTTCCCTTTCATCTTGCTGTTGCTGGTGTAGACGTGCGTCCCGCTCGCGGGACCTCTCTCTTCGTCGCTCCTGCCCTCTTTCACGGTCGTCTTCCCTCTTCACCCGCCGCTCATCTGGCCTGTTTCCTCTTTCACGATGATCATCTTTTTCCTGAAACAGAAACCACTGATTGTGATTGCCATTAATTAAAAAGGCCCAAGTTCTACATTTTTCTTAATTTTTTTTTTTTTTTTTAACACTGAGGTCCATTCATGACGGTCTTAACTGATTTTTAAATGACATTATCCACTGTCTCTTTACTCCAAAGAATTAAACAGGCTGTTTTTGGTACTGTGCCTTTAGGAGTGTTATATTTTTATATACTACTTTATATAATACATCATCTTACTTCAAAAAGCAAAGAAAATTAGTTTTTCCATTATATGGGCCCTTTAATTATTCAGGTAATTCAACAGTGTCATTTCAGTCACTAAAGCAACAATAAAATGGAGTTCCAGCTTAAGACAGCAATCAGTAGTTAAATTACTAGGAAGCTAGTTTTGAAACAGGCAAGATGTTGGAGAAGAGCACAGTAACAGGTTAAATTAAAAAAATGAACATTTTTCCATCTATGATAGTTAACTATAACTCATAGAGGCACTTAATGATTTCATTACTGACAACAAATGAGCCATAATAATTCTAAACATGTGCCGTCTGAGTCACCCGCTTTATCCGAACATCAGTGCTGCGATGTGGACTTCGACTCCGCCAGCCTCGGGGGGACCTGTCCCTTTCCCTATCCCGCTGCCGTCCTGATGACCGGTCCTTTCTTTCTGGCGATCTGTGTTTTCCTCTGTACAAGGAAAAATATCCAGAAAAGAAATTAATTTTCTCTGTAAGGTGTGGATTTGACCTGCCTCCCATACACATAAGAGCCCTGTCTGTCAGTCCCAAAGACTGCTCAACACTAATGCATGAACATCACGGTTGACCATGATTTCTAACACTATATACTGAGGTACTTCCCATAGATCTAAGTGCAGATGTCACTACCTCTTTTGAAAGCACATTTAATGACCAAGATGCTAAAGCACTAGTGTGATATATAAGGAAAAGCATCCTCAGGTGACTAGGAATGTCAATACAGGACATGATCAGATGGAGTCAGCAAGAACAGTCACACAACTACACAGAAAAAGGATATAGTAAGTCTGCAGCACATAAACCCCTCACAACAAAGACATCTGCGCATTTCTGAGTTCAGTGGTGCATCATTAGCATAACATTAACTGGTCTACAGAGATGTGGAAAAAAAAGTGATATGGCCAGATGAGTCATTCTTCAACATATTCTCCACAAGGGGGTGAATGCAGGTGTATTTGGGAAACTATATTTAGGATTTAGGAAATTAAATCAAATCAATTACTTAATCACACAAAATAAAAAAAAACAAAAACAAAAACATTAATTTGGATTTTAGTTTGTTCTTTGTCCTTTCCAGAGTCAGAACACACAGCGTTATCTTTGATCATACTTGGACTTTTATTTTATAGTCGCTCTTTTATCTCATTAACTAAATTTACCAGTGCCAGAGTCGCTTTCAGAAGAGCTGTTGTCCACAGGATCTATAGGAGAATTGCTGCCCTGTGTGTAAACATGTATGAATGTATCTATTTTATTCTGTCACTGCAGACCACCATTCTGACTTCTAAAGTTTATATTACTCTCTAATTGTTATTATTATTATTATTAGCAACAGCATCACGTCGCCAGAGCACGCGTTGCCTCCTGATGCTTTGCTCATGCTTACCTGGGTTGTATTTGGTCTTAAAACAGTAAGTAAAGATTTTCGGTTGCATTTTCAAATATAACCTTAATGTTTAGAGGCTATGTGAACGCTGCAGCAGTTCTGGTTGGTAATGTTAACTGTGTTGTGTGAGTGTGAATTACCGTCATCCAGGTTTGGGACCTAATTTATAATCACCGGCGGGATGATAAAACGCTCAGACTGAAGGGTTTAAAGAGCGTATTTCCCTCTTTACAACAGCGAATTTTCATTCTCGTAAATAAATACAAACAGACCTGCGTTATGGGCGCGAACATTGAGTTGCCTCAGCTTCTTCTGTGTTACATTATTATTATTATTATTACCATCATCATCATCATCAAGCTCTTAAATGTCTATATGTCAGTTCTTGGTGTTTCTTGTTTTGCAATACTGTACCTAAATTATGGCCACATCAATAATGTTAACTGAAACGAGAGAGAGAGAGAGAGAGAGTGTGTGTGTGTGAGTAGTAAGTCACTCACCGCTGCTCGTGTCTCCTCGGGCTGCTGCTGCTGTCGGAGTGTGAGCTGCTGGAGCGGCGCGCTCTCTCAGCTCTCTGAGGCCTCGCCGGACTAACTTTCTCCTCCTTAACTTTGATCCTGCTGTCGCGACCCGGAGACCTTCTGTCTCGTTTCTTGGCGTCCATCTCGAACCCTGACTGACGGTCACCTTCGAACTGCGATCAGTTTCGTCATAAAGTGAAAGAACTCCCACTAAAGACGAACATTCTGAAAAAACCCTTCCATGTCCGCCTCTTCTTGGTCCGTGTACGTTCACGAAATAAACCCTGTCTAAACATGGGACGGAACTTTAGTTCCGCTTGGTGGAGAACTTCTACGCCATCTGGTGGTGACGTCCCCGTTTTTGCACACCATGGCTGCGTCTAAAATCACACACTACTACACATACTACTCTTAATCAAGGTGCTGCTAATGGTGGTGCACTATTTTAGAAGTGCTGTATATGGACTTGAAATACATGCTTTCTTTCCAAGCAGGTTAATCTTGCTCTTGTGGGCACACAGTATACATGTACAAAGTATGTCCTGTGAATAACTTCGCAATGTCCACTGAATGGCCGATATATTTTGCTAAAATTCCCCTCTTTCAGTGTAAAGTGGGCGGTCCTCATCTTAGGTAGTGCTTACATAAGCGGGACCCTCACCAACCATACGGCTGCTGTGGCTTATCCTGCACACACACAGCTTTAATTGAACTGTCTCCCTGTCAAGTCAGAGATGTGTGGATCGACACCTGATCCTGATCCTGATGTTCCTTTTTGAGAACGGATCCATACGTGACAATACTATGTGTTTTCTTTAAGCAGTAAACTGATGGTGAAAAATCAAAACATGATCATAGCAAATAAATGTGTCGCCAAAAAAAATAAATAAATAAATAAAAAAAACTTTTCCGTCCTTCGTCTGTCTCTGTTTCTTACATACACAGGCACAGACAGCAAGAGGAGACACACAATGCTCTAAAATTGGCAGATCAAGTTATTTCTTTAAACAGACAATTTCAAATATATTTTTAATGTTCCCTTATTAAACTGTTCCCTTATTTTAACTGTAGAAATCACAAAGGATTTTCTCTTAAAAGTATCGATTTTAGGACATTATCCCTGGTATTACTTGCCATCAGATCGAAAAGAACATGTGCGGTATCGTCCGTCCACATTAATAAGCTCCTGCTGTTGTGTTTAGTTCGGTGGTGTAGCAGGCTGGGAGTTCTGTACAGAGGACTGTCAAACACGCGTGCTCATTAGACTACCGCGCCCATACAGCTCTCAGATAGGTCTGATCATATATCAGCAATTTTTAAATACATTGTATATAAAACAAGCGATGATTTATTCATATGTTTATTCAACCTTTGCAAAGAAGAATAATTCAACACTAAATTTTAAAATTGTAGAATCATACACACATTTTCAGTGTTTTACACTGTATTCCCTGAGACTGTTGTGTTTTGCAAACATTACTTTATTTTTAGCCTGTTCATGTATAACAGCTGTAGTATATATTTAGATTTATGTTATACATCTGATTTTTGAATGTTTACGATTTTCACTTTATAACGCGCTCGGTTGTCAGGAGGTCTTTCATAGCTGGAGCGGGTCAGCTCACGCGTTCAGCAGTTGCCATAGTAACTGTAAACACCCTCAGCTTGGTTGGATAATTCAGTTAGCCGGTTCACTCGGACCTCCTCTCTTTCTGATTAAGTTCGCAACTTTGTGAGGCTTTAAAATCTTACACTCACATCCTGAACATGATTCTTCCTGCCGACTCTCTGCTGAAGTATGATAATCCGGTGTTGGTGAGCAAGAACACGGACAAGAAATCACCAAAGGTAAGTTAACCTAACCGCCATGTTAGCTAACGTTAATGAAGTGAAATAGTTAGTGAGCTGAGCTGGGTTACATCCGCCCTGTTGCACTTAGATGAACTGAATGCAGGGGAAACGAAAGTTGATTCGCATATTATGTTAGCTACCGAATTTACGCCTGAAGCAGGTAACTTTCTCTCCCACCTGTACTGAACTCAGGCTCGGCCTCTGAAAGTGAGTCCACAGCAGCCGGCCGTGTCCGGCCCAGTGCCGCCTCCACCTAAACCAAAGTCACCCTCAGCCGATGCACTTAAGCAGCAGACCGAGGAGATACTTAATGCCATTCTCCCACCGAGGTACGGGCTCCCTCCATTGAACCATTTCTTTGTGCTCCTTGTAGGCCACATTTTAACAGTGTTTATATATAACCATTATAACCATGCTGTTGTAGGGAATGGATGGAGAACAACCAGCGTTGGGTGCAGCAGGTGTCCAGCACCCCCTGCACACGAATGGACGTTGTTCACCTGCAGGAGCAACTGGACCTCAAACTGCAGCAGAGACAGGCCAGAGAAACGAGCATCTGTCCTGTCCGCAGAGAGCTTTACTCTCAATGCTTTGGTTAGTAAACGTGTCCACTAGAACAGCCTTGTGACTTAGTTGTCTGCGTTATCAGCACATAGATGTGACATTGATAATACTGACACATCAGCACACAAAGCAAAATGTTTTACTGAAATAAACTCAGTTCAGTGTTCAGATAAAGCCACAGTCAGGAGTGAATAATAATAATAATAATTACAAATGACAAAACACGAACACTTCTTTGCTTTATACATGGCAAAAGGTCAACAATCCTATCAATAAAACACAAAGGCATACATTGTTTTTCCTTTAGATGAGTTAATTAGGCAGGTCACCATCAACTGTGCTGAGAGGGGGCTGCTGCTTTTACGAGTGCGAGATGAGATTCGTATGACTATCGCTGCCTATCAGACCCTGTATCAGAGCAGTGTGGCCTTTGGGATAAGGAAAGCCTTGCAGGCTGAACAAGGGAAATCAGACATGGAGCAGAGGGTAAGCATGGCAGCCTGTTTTCCCAAACACTCTCTCCATCTCTTTTTAATAGTCCCCTGTATTTTTATTGATTTATTTACTTTCTAAAACCTGACCATGTGATCACATACTTTATATTCAGAATTATAACTGTGTTGTATTGTAAGATCAATTTAATCTCTTGTACCTGGTCAGATTTCAGATTTGGAGAATGAGAAGAGGGATCTGGAAAGGCAGGTGAATGAGCAGAAGGCTAAATGTGAGGCAATCGAGAGACGAGAAACTGAACGGCGACAGGTCGAGGAGAAAAAGCACACAGAAGAGATCCAGTTCCTCAAACGCACCAACCAGCAACTGAAGGTACGGCCATTAAAAGCTGTGAACTACTATGTAGAAAAATAGGTGTCTTAGTGTGACACCGAAATGAAAAGCTAAACTTTTTTTTTTTTTTTCCAGGCCCAGCTGGAAGGAATCATTGCCCCCAAAAAATAAACCCTTCAGACTATTTGCAAATGATAAAATCTGTTTTCTGCTGGCTTTCAAAATAAAATATTAAATAAATAATAATAAAAAAAGTCCACTGCTGTCCACTTTATTGATATTTTCTCACACACTGAGTTTCAGTGCTGCTGAACAACGAAATTTTCTGTCAACAGTATTCAGGTAATCACTGGTAAAACCTCCTTGGGCTTTTACACATAAGGATGGTGTAGCAGCTCATTATCATCATTGTTATGTTGATGGATGGTGCAAGAAATGTATATCTGTGAAGTAATGATTCAAATCAGAGATGAATCAAACCCTCACAGTAAATGCTCTTCATCGCTATACCTCCCCTCCCACCCCAATGTCCCAAACTAGACAGGTCCATAGAAATATGTGTGCTCAGGCATACGTCAGAGCAAATGGTCTTATCGCTTGGCTCTTCTGCCTGTACTGCCTTCCTTGGGCATTTTCCGGTTCTTATTTTTGTTCTTCACGTTGTGTGTGTCGTAATAACGGACTCCGACCTTCTTCACCTTCTGGGTACGCTCCATTCTCCTTTTCTGTGGAGGAAAAAAGTACAAGATGGAGAGATAGAAGATTAATGTGAGTGATGTGCACTGAGGAAGACCAGAAGCATTCTCTCTACCCTTAGAAGACCATCAAGAGCACAGATCCATCTAAGGTATCTGGATAGATGGATGAGATGTCTGACATCAGTAGGGGATCTGGGAGAACAACACGTACCTCTTTAGACGTGAGTTTGGTTGGCCGCGCTGACTCCTCATCCTCCTGAGCTTTTCTCTTTCTGCCGACATGCGTCACAGCTGAAGAACAAAGAGAAAATGATAAGTGTGACTGTTCGCTCCTTTGAAATATTAAACCTTTGTCTTATCATCAAGTGCCTGCACTGCTCCAGAAAAGGATCTGTAGGAAAGTGTGGTCCCTTCTCCTGATCTGTTTTCCTGTCAGAGGTGGCCACATGCAAGCTAGTTGTACTAATCTATTTTAATCCCGTTTCCAAACTAAAGTGGGAAAATAGTATTACCTACCATTAAACATATTGTCACTGTTGGGACAAAACCTTTTAACTCCTTACCTTTAATTTCTTGTAAAATAATATTGTGCCATTAACTTCTATTCAAAATTAAGAACATATTTTCCTTCACCTGTAAAACTGCTATTTTGAAGATTCAAGGTTTTGTCCTGACAGTGACAATTTACTCCATTAGACAACATTGAAAATACTGCATAAACATTGTGAAATATAAAAAAATGCTTTAAAGGCAGGCTGAATGAGTCTAAAAACATGCTTTTATTTGTCAAATGTGAACATATACCATTAAACTTCATATATACATTCCTGGACAGACAGGATCGTGCAAGGTGTAATGATTTAACTGCTCAGACTCACATGATTCACCAGTTAATTGGCAAGTTTCTTTGGCGTGTCTAAGCAGGGAAACTGCCAAACTATGCTGGACTCCAGTCTTCAGTTCCCCACCCTGAAAGTATTTGAAGTATTGCCTATTATAATTGAAATCAGTTTACCTTTCGGTTGTGGTTTCTTTATGCCCTTCTGTGCTGTTTTTGTTTCGCTTGAAACAAACACCTTCTCAGAAAGGCCCTTGGGAATTCTGTAGAACACAAAAACAGAAACCTTATTACTTACAGGACACTCAACTAATTATCAAGGTTTTAGAGGTGCTGCCAGGTCTGTTTCAGCCTCATGATCTGTAGGTCAGAAGAAAAAAAAACAAGGCAATGACGCAGAACATACTGGAAAAAAAGACATAAATCAGCAGATGAGGCCAGTGCTCCTGCCAGTCCGGAGGTGGAGGCCTGAGTTCACCTTACTGAACCCAAGTCTGGTTTCACTGCCTTGTTAGAACAAAGGAAAGTACACATGAAAAAAACAGCGCAAGAGAGAAAAATGAAGGGGCACACAGACCGGATGGCAGAAAAGCGTTTGGACTTGGCACGGTCCAGGAAATGCTTCAATTTGGCTATCTTCTCGTCCAACTCTTTGTTCACCTCCCGTGCACTTTTGCCCTCTGCTTTGGCAGAAGGGCCATCTGCAGACAATTCCTTTCCATCTTCGGCTTCTCCACTCTCCTCTTCTTGCTTTCCAGTCTCCTCCACATTCTCATCCTCCTCCTCCTCACTCCCATCTTCTTTTTCATCCTCCTCCGATTCTGAAGAGTCAAGGAGGTCAGGCATATCCACTGGCACAAGGTCCTCCTCACTGAACTCCGGGGCTACATTAATTTTGCCGAAGTTCTGTCTGACGCTGGCCAGGATCATTTGCACCTGTTCATGTTTCTGTCTCTGCAGCAGTGAGACATCCTGCTCAGTGGCCTCTGCTGTCTCTGTGCTCTGCTGCTCAGGTCTGTCTTCACAACCGTCCTGCTCTGCTTCCACTCCAGATGCCTCCACTGGCAGCAGTGCCTTAGCCTGAGAGGAAGGATAAACAACAGATACTTACAGATGTGTATGCCATTTTGCACCATCTGATCCAAATCCTATGTACAACAGGCCAGAACAAGATTATCATATCAAATGAGCTGTTATATTTAAACATTAAACATGCCCTGTATTGGTTTTAACATTTCACACCTGAGCGATTGCATTGCTTGGTACAGATCTACATCTTGGAAAGTGCTTTCTGAGCCTTGTCAAGTTTGTGTTCTTAAATTAAACCAGAAAGTGTTGAAACAAAAGCTTTAATCATTCCTCTATTTTACCTCTTCATCTATCTCAAATCCAGGCGGCTTGACGAAAAAGGGGATGCGTCCCCTCTGCCAGTCATTTAGCACCATTTTGGAGACAGTGGACAAGTCAGGTTCTCCTCCCTGCATAGCAAAATACAGTAGCAAGATTAGTGTTATTAATCTAAACAAAATACCCCTTACCTCCCAGTTTTTCTTTATGTACCATCATAGTGCGTGACAATTGAGATAGGTCAGGATCTGCACGGGAGGTGAACAAAGAGTTGGACGAGAAGATAGCCAAATTGAATTAGAGGGATGTGACAAATTTTACAGGAGAGCAAATTATTATTGTTGTTATTATTATTATTATTATTATTATTATTATTATTAATAATAATCTTAAACATTGAAACTGCATGCACATTTGGATTTTGGCATGAGATCTCATCAAGAGCTTTAACTGGATCTAGTTTTTGCCCAAAATGTCACTTATGACCCTCTAGTTCCAAGCCTTCAACAACTAAAAATGCTTTTGATGCTAGTAACATTGCTTGCTTACATTTAATAACATGCTTAAACAGACTTCCCACTGTCAAACGCATTAAAGGAATTTGATCTTTGACCAAATTTTTCCTTTGTTTTAGAGTGTTAAAGGCTGAATTATGAGTAGGAGGTTGATCCTAAATCAGGAGCAGCTGCTAATGCACTGCTAACATGCATCAGCTCAAAGGGACAAAAAGGGACCAAGAACTCAACATTTTCCAGGTCTGTAACAACGGTGCTGCTCATCACCAACCACCTTGGGACATTTAAAGTAAAATATTTCAGAATTTCTCAAGTAATTCGAATGTTATTTTTTGAATATTATCATAACTGATTATAACCAATACTTAAACTGAAAGATTAATCATTAGGTTAATCTTTTAGAGTGATTAAGTCTGCAGTGGCTGTATTTTATGAAGGATAAGAGATGTAACTGTGCACTGTGTGCTCTGATTAAACCCAAGAGAAAAGTTTCACTAGCATCACTGCTGTGCAACAAGGTTCATTCTTTCCAAATGCAGATGCCTGCCACCCTTGACCAATACTGGCCAAAAACCCGCGGGAGCTACAAAATCGCACAGGAATTATTATTTTCATTTACCTTTTACTCCATTTTTATAAACACTTATCATGCCTTTCTCATTTAAATGGAAAACTTTCAGATAGTTAAAAGCAGGTTTTCATTAACAATCAGGAGTAAAAGCCCACATATTGCTGCTCAAACTGATTCCAGCCCTGTTCTGAGTTCTACTTCTGGCACGTTTAAGCATATCTTAAACTGGGGTTGTTTACTGAGAGCGCAGAGTAAACAAACACTGAGCTGGAACTGCACTTCAACATGCTGTGCGATGCTTCACAATCAGAAGCCAGACCTTGAGTAGTTTCCCCGTCCGGAAGGCCAGCTTTTCCAGAAAGTCCTCGGCAGAGCTCCAGGATGGGACACGATATGTTTTCTGGATGTACTCGGCCTTCGCTCTCTCCAAAACAGCTCCAATGTGATCCTCTGGGTTGCGGATCTTCTCAACCTGGACCTAGAAGACAGGTGTGACAAATATAACACAATATGATCCGTTGAAATGATACAGAGCGGTACACCTGTAGAAGCCATGTTGAGACCGACAAACATCTTACCACTCCCTTTAACACAATGTCAGTCTCACTGTCCTCAGAGGGGTAGACAACGCCAGGGCAGTCAATAAGGAAAATACGCCTCATCAGTGTGATGTACTGCCAAACCTAGCAAGGATGACATAAATAAATATACATAAATATATACATAGGGAACTGTGCTAAAGTCTTTTTAACCATTTTTTGCTTCCTGGACAATATATGTGTTCTTGCTTGTTAAAACACTACATATTACTAGAATGCAAATAAACATCAGTAAGTAAAAAGTAACAAGAATGCCAGTTGTTAAAGTTTTAACCACAATTTAACAAAACAGATTTCTCCTTGAGGTCCCCAAATACTGTGTAGATTTTTTAAATTCCATCACCAACACACCTGATTTTACTGCAAGAAGTATTAATTGAGCCAAGTCAGGTATAGAATTCTGGGGTTCCTCAAGGAGAGGTTTGGAGACAGTTAAGCAAATACATTGAAATATATAAATTCACTACTCATGTAAAAGGCTGCTGGACAACAGCTATCTGGGCATCTTAAGTAGTATAAGTTAAATTTCCTGTTAAAAGGTGTTTCCACTTTATTTTATTTCAGGGCACTTGCTAGAACAGTGGGAGTCATACCATACGGATGTACTAATGGTGTTGAGTGTATAGTGACTGATTTATTTGTTGGCTGTAGGACTACACTCTTACTGAACTGTCAATGGCAGTTTTTCCACACACCATGCTCTGAACTACAAATGTTAGTAGTAACAACATGACTGCTATAACACTGTGACTGATAAATGTTTCTTCAAAATTTTGGGAAGAAAAGGTGGTCTCCTGAAGTCAAGGAAACAACGAAACTCTGTGATTTGGACAAACTGGGGGGGGGTATTGACATCCTCTTTCAGTGTGAAGATTTGCTTTGCTTTGCAGTAGCAGAGGATGTACTCATGCAAACTGTAGATATGCTGGCAGTACACAAGCTTTCGGACTAGGATCCAAGACATGGTTGAGGTACCATCACATGCACTCATTCATGTATCTTCAGAACAGCGAACCTAGCCGCTTCCTTCACCAACAACTGGACCCTTTGGGGACGAGTTGCTCAAACATGCAGGAGAGGAAGAAACAGGGTCTTTTTAACCGCACTGTCAAAAACTGAAATCAGCTTTTTGGTCACTTCTGAGCAAAAGGGTCCTCATGTTTAAGATTCTATACAATATTCTTTGAGTTTTCAAACCTCTCAAAAAACATGTTATACCCAAGTGCATACTGAACTCATGTGTCCCTCTTACAGGGGGGGGGGTTTATGGGCACAGCGTAAGGCTGCTACTAGATAACTTTTTAAAATTAATTATTTTTTTATCGTCAAGCTGTTCAGTTTGCATGTGAAGGTACCGCAAGTACCTCTTAGTTCCGCATGAGAAGGTACCGCAAGTATGTCTTGTGTCCGAACGTGCATGTGCTTCTGCTGCAAGCATGCATTCAGTCTGTACCGCGAGCATATCTTCAGTTTACATGATCACATCCTCGTTCCATAATTGCATGTTCTGCAAGCATATCTTCATGCCACAAGAGGACATCAATAAAGGGAGGGACAACACCCCATTCTAAGTATGATGAACACAGCTCTGTGAAAGCTGTCTGACTTGGTCATTAATCTCTCTCTTTAAATGTTCTGTAAACCATTATGCAGTTCCATGTTTGTACAGTGAGAGGAAAGGTCTGACAAGCTGGAATGGGGTAAACAGGCCATTTTCACACACAGGAATAAATACATGCTTGTTGCAGCCAAAACTGGACTGCTGGAAACCTAATACATCTAAAATGTTAACACATGTCACACACTGATGCTATGTCTCACTTGCATGTAATCTTTTGATCACTAGTGTGCTCTGCAATAAACAAAGTCTAAGTTGTTTAACGTTACGTATAAGAAAAATGTTTAGTCGCTCAACGTCTATGATTCGGCTAATGATGATTAATCATGCAAGTAAGCACCCCCCCTCCTCTTTTTATTAACTCCTACCTTGGTCTCACCAGCGAGGGGCGCCACATTGCAGACCTTTTTGGAGCGCAGGGTGTTGATGATGGAGCTCTTTCCTACATTGGGGTAACCAATGAAACCCACGCTGATCTGCTTCTTGTCTGTGTGGAGCTGGAGAGGAACAAGAAGATGAACTGAACTGCACTGCTTGATCACGACTACAGAGATGTTTCAGACCACATGGTGATGACAGAGGTCAGCATGGCAGCGTAAAGAAGCCACTGACAGTAGTGTTAGTGTTAACCCTAAACCTAACTCTGAAAGAAGTTGGGTATTAAATCTGTGAGATATACAATTATGGACTAATTTTTTTAAGTTTTATTTGACTAAATGAAGAACAAACAGAAGGAGTAACTAATTAAAAAAAAATGGAAAGGTACCTATAAAATGCTCAGATCACAAGCTAGCTTGTGCACTGATGTTCGCTCAGGCTCAAATAAAGAGGATTAAAAATATGCCCTGACTCTGACTGGAGAGAAAAACATCCAACACAGTACAGACCAACCAAACCTAACGGACAAAACACAAATTCGCAAGAATTTCTCAATCAACATGACCAACATTGCTATTTGTTTGAAAGTCAATAGTAGGTTCATGCAGGACCCTATAGCTAACAGTAAAACACAGATTCCAGTAATAAAGCTGTAAGCCAATTGAATACTGTGAGAACTGTGTCTAACATGTAGGTCAATTAAGTTTCCCCAAATAGTCTAGTAGGGCATTTAAGAATGGTGCCCACAATTCAAACTGATATAATGTGTCAGAAATAGCAAGAAACTCTTAACTGAATATCAAATACAAAAATCAACTGCATAACATACTGCTTTGTGAATACAGTCTAAAACTATTTGCTTTTTGATCTTAGCCAGAACAGATAAAAATAAAAATACCAAGATTGAAATACCTCAACTACCTACCTAAAAGATCAACCAAAATAGTTACATTTGAATACTTTCCCCTCTCTATTCATGTCTGAAGCATTTATAATAGGGGAAAACCACAGGGAAAAAATCTGCGCAATTGGATACACACCTTACGCAAGCCTCTTTAAAGTCATTAGATGTCTGGATTTATACCCTCACTTGGTAACCATGAAATTTGTGTGCTGTTGTTTTCCTGAGCCTAAGACTACCTCTGTTGTATAACTTTGAACTGAATTTATATTTTCAAACCCCCTCTGCTTTGTGTGCTTCCAAGCCTTTGTTTACGGCTAATGTCCCAAAAATAGCCCTGAAGCAGATGTGAAGACAGAAGTGGAGCCCAGTAGCTATGAAGGTGATGGGGAAGGGGGCCAAGTTGCTCTCCAAACTTCTGCTCTGCTGCCTTTATAGACCAGATAACTGATAACAGCAATCAGTCTGATGTAACTGCAGCATGCTTGTCTTTGTTGTGCCTCTCACTCACTGGTGTTTGCTTCAGTGGAACAAGAACAAATACATGAAACAACCTGCAAATAGTTGGAAGAGGGGTGAACTCTCACCTTTCCAAACTGACGGAGGAGCTGAATAAGAGAGCCCTTGCCGAAGGAGTTGGTGAGGCTGGCATGAAAGGCAAGCGTAGGGTACTCCTGAGACAGCACTGCAACCCAGCGTTTCTAATGAGTGAGAGAACACACACAACCAAAAAAACATACATCAATCTAATATTGAATCAGCCTAAATTAGAATGTTCTCCTGTAAATGTAGTGCTGGTGTCGAATGATGTCCATACTGTCTCTCCAAGTTATCAATTTGTTGGTTCTGAAATAAATGAACACTGATTCCAGTTTATACCACCAAAAGGAACAGAACAAAAGCCATGAGATGGCTGCAGCCATAATTCAAGCCTTGGTGTCAAATATAATTAGCAAAATTGTGTTTTCCTTTCTGACACAAGAGTATTTCCCATAGCCTTACTAGGAGCACAAATGGCTTATTCATTCAATTGGAAGGGTCCTCAAATGCTTACTGGCTATAATGCAAATGACTATCACTTATGAACAAACAGCTGTTTTAAGCTTTTACCATCCTGTTTAACGATTTAATGTGAATTTTGCCAGTTTTTACAGACTATAATGTTGAAGTACACTACATGTTTATTCAAGAGTGTATGAAAAAGTACCTGCTCATCCAACATTTCTTCAGAAATCAAGTGCATTGTTGCAGTAACATCCTCTACTCTTTTGCTTTGCACTAGATTGGAACACTTCTGTGAGGATTTGATTGCAAAGGAGGTGCAAGCTGTATGTGCGCAACTGAACACCTGCGTCAGCAATTGGTGCAAAATAAAGTAGCTGAATTCATTAGTAAGGAGAAGTGTTGAGATAAGGTAACTGTTACCGTCCAAGTATTTACTAAATATTAAATAATCTCCATAGGAAAGCATTGCCAATAGTATATGACATCCTAGAGCAGCCACAGATAAGCCCAAGGTCTATATGCCCAATGCCAAGAGTATAAAGCCCCAGTACTGGGCTGTGGAGCAGTGGAACTGCATTCTTTGGAGTGATGGCACTCCACTGAACACCTTTAGGAGGAGCCGGAGTGGTATCTGTGATCCAGAACTATTTGCCCAAGAATTAGTACCTGACCTCCCTAATGCACTTGTGGTTGAATGCAATCCAATCCTCACAGCAACACTTTAACATCTGTTGTAATGCCTTACAAGATGAGGGGAGGCTGTAACAGTAGCAAGGGGCAAACTCCCTATTAATACTGTTGATTTCAGAAGAAACTATGGATGTGTAGATGCCTACAAACAGTGTAGATATTCTTTACATGCTTTACAAAAGAAGACAATTTAAAGCGTCTTAATAAAACATGCATGGGTTGACTTTGAAGCTCACCGTCACCCAAGTAGGAATAAGGTCACATTTGTTGAGCACAAAGATGAGGTGCTTCCAGGGCTTTTCTTTCTTCATGTAGGTCTCAATGTTCTGTGACCGGGTGCCCATGGGGTCTCGAGCGTCCAGCACCTGGATGATAACATCTGAAGAATCGATTACCTGCAAAGAGAAGCCACTAGTGAGACTGGAGGAAGTGAGCCCATAATGCCTTTAATCACTCATTGTTGATTTATATTTATAAATTACATGAACCCAGAGGCCATCTAATTCCTCTGTAAAAGTCAAAGAACTACCTTATACAGCTCGCCCCAGATCCTCTTCGACTGTCCTTTCTTGAAGATCTCCTCACGAGCCTCTTCCCTAAAGCAACATGTTTAAACCATAGGTTTTAGTTAGGTCACAGAAGACACTGAATTACGCCTTTCTCTGCTATGTTAGGACTGAGACTTCATGCATCTTTGCCATCTTTGGAGCTACAAGTGACACTGAATGGGGCCTTCTCACCTGACTCCACTATCTTCAGTCACCAGGTCACGGTCTTTCTCTGCACTGTAGCCCTGAGCTGAAGCCTCAGCATTCTCAGCTAGCTCCTTCAGTTCCCCCACACTCAGGTTAGGCCTCTTCCTCTGAGCCTTAGGCCCAAACGTGGTCTCAAATGTCTCTGTATCCAGAATGTGCACCTTGGAGTTCTGAAAGGCATGAAGAGAATATAAATCGAACAGGATCTTTATTGTAAGGTCATTGCAACCTCGCCCTCCACTGGAACAATATAAAGGTAGTTTCACAGAAAGGATGGAGTATGAGAAACTGATGAGAAACGTGTTTTTTTTTCCCTTTCAGTGTTCTATTTCTCCTCATCTTCATCCATCATGACCCCAGGCCTTTTCCAAAAGCTGCGCCTGACGTCTGAGCTCTATTAAGAGTTTCGAGTTGAACCATTCTCATACTCTTCAAGGCCAGGATGGCTCAGCCGCAAACCAGAGGAGGCACGGCAGGGCAGCATACCCACCAGTATAATTTATGGCTGGCTGCATTATGTTAAAGAGTACCCTTGTTTGCAATGCAAACCAAATATTTCCTTAGTGCATGAATAAACTGTCGGCAAAATTTAAAATGTATATGTACCAGGACATCTCTGCTCCACACCCTCAGTGTACAAAACATTACAGGTACATGTCTCTCGCAGTCAGACATGATCTCGTAACACAGCTATAAGAAAGGTTGAGCTAGATGTAAGTGGGAACCTAGACTTTTTAGCATGGAAACAAACTGAATGTGAAAGCAGGGGCGATGCTGTGCTCTTCCACACTGTTCAGTGGATATACAAGCTTGTCGTTACTCTCATGACTGTAACATCAGCATGGCTGAAAGTCCTCCAAAAAAAATCCAATTAAGCACGTAGATTTGTGTTGCGTGTGCGGATAACACATTACATGCTGTAAAAATTCACTTTACCTTCTGCAAAGGAAAAATGTTTTTGTTAGCTAATGATATCAAGCTAGCTTGTTTTGCTTGTGTTGTCGATTGTACTCCAGGCATTAAAAGAGCACAGACTAGAGGAACTTGGGTGCAAGTTTTACAGCAGTGTACCCTTGTTAATGGCAGATTTTGCTGCAATTCAACACCAAGTTTTTAAAAAGTGGTCCCCAGAGATGTCTACTTGTTACAAGATCATGTCTGGCCCCACGAGACTACCTGCCTAACAGATAAACCTTATGGCCTGCCATACAGCATATGACGTTTGCCTACTTTGGAACCACGGTTGTGGTCAGAGGACAAAGTGTTGTACTTTGTATACAGGCCATGTCAATCAGTTTCTTCTAAAAGTACTTCTTCTGAAGGTCCAAATGTTTTCAAGGACACGATGAACTGCCTTTGCATTTTAAAAAAGATACTGCTGGGCCAGAAGGATTAATGCTCAGCCATGAAATAGAAGGTAACATTTCAAAGAACAGAAAAATCCACCAACACCACACATGAATTACAAGAAAAACTATTTCGCTTAGCTGTAAATTAGGGTCTAAAGATGTGTCAAACCAAAGTAGGACACATATTGACCCCAAAAACAGAAAGGAAGTCATACTGGTGTTGTAACACACAGAATGGACAAGCAATTTACAACTCTTGTCAGAACGTATAACTTTTAAAGATAAAGTTTAATTTCTCAATAAAAGCAAATGTACCAATAAACACAAATTACGTGAAATAACCTGATTTGTGGCAATCTACTACATCATACACATCTTCAAGGGAGTAGAAAGAAAAACATGTTCGGAGAATGCCCACCTGACACTCATGCACGCACACACTCGCATGCTTCTGACAGTGGGCCAGCACTGGGCTAGCACACACTGGATCCGAGCAGCTCAGGGCAGTTGGTCAGAGCTTAGAAAGACTCACCACAAATCAACACAAACATTAAAACAACAGGGCATAACGTCAGATTTTTGTTCACCAGAACCCTCAGGCATACCAAATAAAAGAGAGTGTCAAGGGGGGAAAAAGGAGAACGAAAGGGAAGCGGACATTCATCTCACACTGCTTGAAAGGTCTTACTAACACATGGAACCGATTAAGGGGGGAGAAAAATCCCACTGAAAGTCAACAACATTTGCTGAAGGAACACGAGGAACCAAGTAAAACGTTAAGTGTTATTTCAAGCATGTTTTACTCTCTCTGTTCTTCAGTGTTGGCAGAGACAGGATTCAGAAATGCCAGAAAGAAAGGTTTCCTCTAGGTCCTCCTTGAGGGAGGGGAAATGGGTGCAAATCCTTCACAAGGGTCTCACCTTAAAATACATTGATCATAACACATTCCACAATTACGACCAAGTGCCATATAAATAACTGCGATTAACAATTTAATTTTCTTTTATTTTGTTCACTGTATGCTTCCTAGCTGTTAATACATAGTAGCCCCCAACTGACAACAGACACAACTCAAGCTGCCCTCCAAGTGTGTCATAGCACCAGTCAAAACTTAAAACACTTGTTGTTTCTGTAAGACATTACATGTCTCAATCGATGCGTTCTGCACTCTTATTTGATGTATTTGCCTTAACCCAACTGATGGAAATGCACTCAATTCACATTCTGCTTGTTGTGTTCTAAACATACGAATGTGAAAGTTAAAAACTGTGGGAAATAATTGCAATCAGCTTATCAGTTGTAACAGGAATGCACCAGTGCTGACTTATTCGGCACCTAACATACTGCCCACGAAATACTGCCTCATTAGCATCAACAGTAAGCCTATCTCAGAATGCGTTTGGTTACAAAAATAAAACTAACATGATATACTGCCATTTCAATGGTATGTGTGCAAATAACAGCATAAATTTCAAGTTTTTTAAAAAATGTACTGGTAGAAGACGCCAAAGGAAGAGTTTTGGTATTTGTGCTCTTACATGTGCTTTTATTCTGTCATGCAGGAGGGACATGGGGAGCTTGCTCTGGCGCATCACCACTCGGTATGGATCCTTCTTCACCGCACCCATCTCTTCCTGAAACTTCTGGAGGGATGACTGCTTGATGACCCGAGTATTAGCTGCATAAGTATCAGTGGAGACAGAAACAAGTTACAAGAGTACCGAACAAGTTTGCCAACTGTCTTTGGGCCTGATGCCCACAACCCACTTGTTTGCAAATGGGTGCATACTGCACATTAATTTAACCGAAACCACAAAACCGTGGTGTCCCAACCAATTTATCCGGAAGGGTCATTCATAAAAACAGTACACTACAGGAAAAAAAATGAAGAAACAAGCTATAAGGCATGATTTAAACAGAAAATACTAACATTAATTTTAAATGTTTACATTTGACAAGTTGATATTGATACTGATGTCAAAAGTCACCCAAATATATGTAGGAAGCTTTGTTAGATTGATCTCATCATTATCAGAGCCAAAGCCCTGCACAATTACAATTACTCACTTACCCAACACACCTGATCCAGCTCATGAAGGGCTCATAATCAGCTGATAAGCTGGATTAGGTCTATTGAGACAACAAATGCTTAAAACTGTGCAGTGCTAGGGGTCACCAAAAGCAGGACCAAGAAGCACTGGTCTAATACATCTAGCATCTTACATGGACATTTGGGTGGTTTCTAACTTTTGACTCCCCCTATATAATGTAATAGTCTCAACAGTCATTTTAGTGATAACATTAACAGCTTTGAAATATAATTTAAAGTACAAAAGTCAAATACCACGGTCACATCTTAAATCTCACAATATGCTTTCAATTTAAACTAATAACATTTATACACATGCTATTTATTTAAAGTAATGAACAAGAACTAATGGTAGACAAATTGTATACAGCTTTCTCTGACAGCAGATCATCACAAAGAACCTTTTTTTTTAAAAAGCTTCTATACAATGAAGCAAATTAAGTAAATACTGCACTGGAAAGGTGAAAGGTTCTAACACTGGAGAAAAAACAAACAACTCCTCATGTTGAATGCATGCGATAAAATACAATGAGTTTCATTTCACGTTCCCCAGGTCGAACCATTTACCATGGCCACTGAGCATGTAAACTGTGCTACTGACACAGCCCTTTCATTGGTGCCAAGGGAAAAAAAAATTATATACACAAGAAAATTTGTGAATGTTGCAAGCTCTCCTAAAACCTGACAGCACCGTCAATCTCAGAGTACTGGAAATGGCACAACTGCTTAATTAACTGTGTTATGGAGGCTACAGTAATAAGGCTCACCTTTGACCTGCAGAGGCAGTACCACTTAAGGCAACTGTACCTCACTGTACGTTACTGATAGCATAGTTCACTTCTTCTTTGGACTTAAGTAACATTTTATAAACTTACCAAACCATTTGATGTTGGGTTCAACTCTGGCTACAGTCCCAGGGGCCACAGTGGACTGGTACTGTAAAGGCTTGATGACTTTACCCCGACTGTTACTGAAGAAACATGTGGAAGTATGTCTACTATTTATATTCACTGTTCAATGTAGAACAATACAGTGCATAATAACATTTTGAATTATTATTGACCATTTTATTATCAATGAACGTTAAACACCACATGATTACCATCTCTGTTTTTGCCGGTACATATTCAGACGCTTGATAGTGCCACGGTCCCTCATGTTGTTCCCTCCAGTTCCCTTTACTCGATCTAGGAAAAATGAATAAGTAACTCAGATGCAGTTAAAGTGGGTAAAACTAAAGAAAATAATTACAGAGAAAGTAGGAATGACATACTTTTTCTTGCACAAGTCTATACTGAACCAGAAGGCTTACACAAGACAGTTACAACAACTGACTAGCCAAAAATGAAAATAACAAGGTATTTCACATCTTGGTCCCATTCTACTTGTGTCATACACCGTATAACGGATGCTAAATCCAGGCCACTGTATCAAGTGTGACAGTGCTGAAGTAGTTGTCTGATATGGAGGACCAGATTTGCCAAATTGAAAAATAAATAAAAAATAAATGGCTCAGTAAATTAATCAATAAATAAAAAAAACTAAATAAAGTATATATTGCTTATTGTGATTGTAATTATATACACATATTTCCTTTTTCTGCAGTTATATATTTCTCAATTCATTTATTTGTGTATTATTTTGTTTTATTAATGCCATCTTTATATATTTTTTTCCATATCTATGTTTTTAACAACTGTTCACTTTATTCATTGATTCATGTATTCATTTTTTTCCATTAATTAATTAATTTCTTTTTTCATTAATTCATTTATTTCTTCGTTCATATGATAATGAGGGGGTGTGTTTTTCACGTTGAGGCTTAGCAATCAAGACCAGAAGGAGAAGAGCTGATTAAACTGTTCTTTCACTCCACAAAGGACTGCAATGCCACGAACAGACAACCCTGCCGACAAATAATTTTCGATGGCTTTCACAGGCCGAATGTGAGAAGGGCGTCCAAATGTCTGGGTGATCTGAATTTTACAGAAAAAGACGATGAACCACCTCCTCCTTCTGAACACTACTGGTCGACCTCTGTATCAGCAGAGGCAGCAAAATGGAACAAACTGTCCCCACAGCCTCCACACAAAAGAGTGAATAATCTGGACCTGCATTTTCAGACGAGACTCTCAGATCTCTGGCTGTCTGCTGCCAGTAAGAAGCCATTACGGTACTGTCTTGTCCTTAGTTACCGTTGAGAGAGCAAGACATGTACAATCGATCTACAGAATCTGACATCGATCAACCAATATTAAGACGCTGTGACATCATTGACTGACAGCCCCTTTATTAGCATGAGGACAAGGAAATACAGAAATAAATAGAAGAATAAATAAATATAGAAATTAATAGTTATGGAAATAAATTAATACATTAATAAAAAACAGAAAAAATGTTAATAAACATAAATAATTAAAAAAAGTAAGAAGGGGAAATTACTAAACAGACATAAATAAATGCAGACATATTAATTTATGTACGATTTTATTTATTAATACATTAACTGTTACGTATATTCATTTTTAGATTTGTCATTATTATTCTTTGCAATTCTACTTCATATATTAATTTACTAAATCATTTACTTTTAATTTTATTTATTTTTCACTTTGGCAAATCTGGTCCTCCACAGTCTGAAGTCTGTATCAGTTAATGTCTGTGCCTGAGCTGAAAGAAGGTAAACAAACCAGGAGAGTCACAGGCAAGTCTATCTGTCTGAACGCAGGCAGCGCATTTAGACAAGAAAACAATCTATTGAAGCAACAGTACGTCCTCGCATACAGGCTGGTATCAGACTCAGCTGAGGAAATCAGACAGCAGGCTAAACTGACTCAGAAGTGGATCATACAGAGCGGTTCGCCGGGCACTGGCTCCCTTATTTAGCTAGCTAGCTAAGCATGCTAAGCATAAAGTTCGCATGCGAACATTTAATAAATAAAACAAACACAAAAACGGCCTAGTCTCATATTACATCATGCAGATACACAGAAATGCTTCCACAATTTCACTTCATATTAACGTAATCCTGGTTTCTGTGCACCTGTCTTGACTTTAGCTTTAGTATCGTTATCTGTTTACATCCAGACTGAGAGAGAGAGAGGGAGAGAGAGAGAAAGAGAGGGCAGTGCAGTCTTACCGGGATTACTGCTGGAGTTGGACGGATTTATGGAACTTCTGCCCTTGAATTTTGGTTTCGTCATTCTGGTTTGCGACTGAAAACCCCTCTTGTTAAGTGAAATAAAGACTAAAGCCGAGACTTTCCTCTCACTGCTGAATTACACGTGTTACTGTAAAAGTCCACATGCAACCCGGCGGAAACACGTCATCAGTCGGGCGACTGCTGTTAGAAAAGGAACCTTTCTCCTGAGTCTGATGATGGGAAATACTACTTACACACGACAAACTTTGGTAAATCTAAGCCTCGCCTCAGTGTTTCTTAGTTGAATTTAATTTATTTATTGAGTCTCTGAAATGCCTTAGCAATAAAAAAACGCTGTCTAGTACTAGGTATAAGAAGGATTTAAGTTTGTTGGAGAAATGAAAGTCATAGTTTTTTGTTTTACTTTATTTCATCCTTTTCCTTGTGTTTAGTTAATGTTGTATATAGTAATATAATAATATATATTGCTAAAGCGATTGAAGGTGACCAGAATAAAAACAAAGTGCAAAATTAAAAACAGTATTTTGGAGTTATAGGTGTTTAATCAGTCACTCTGCTAATTGTATCTGCCAACAGCAAATATATATTTTTTTCTTCCAGACAGTTTTGGGGCAATATAATAAAACACTGATATACAGTTCCATGAAAAAGTATTTGCGCCCATTTCCTGATTTTCTCAGCTACTGCATTTTTGTCACAGTAAATGCTTTTACATCTTTACAATTAATTATATATTGTAATGTTAGACAAAGAGAACCTTATCAAACACAAAACACGTTTTTTATGATTATTTCATTTATTTAAGGAGCAAATATATCCAACATGTGGGACACCCATGTGAGAAAATAATTGCCCCTTTAAATCTAGAACTTATTGCATGACCTTTAGCAGCAACAACTGCAAACTACATTTCCTGTCATTTGACATCAGGCTTTCACATTGTTGTGGAGGTATTTGAGCCCTCTCTTCTTTGCAGAACTGCTTTAATCCAGATACACTGGTAGGTTTTTGAAAATCAATTGCTCGTTGAAGGCCTTGCTGCAGCATCTCTACTAAAAAAGATTCTCAGGATTGTGACAGGGCCACTCCAAAACAATCTTTTTTTTCTTTTCAGCTGTTTAGATATTGTCTTGCTGCATAACCTGATTATGTTTCAGATTCTGGTCATGGACAGTGGAGCAGAGACTCTACTTAAGAATTCTGTGGTACAGATCAGAATTCATGTTTCTTTCAATAATTTGCAAGTTGTCCAGGTCCCAAGGCAGCAAAACATCCCCACACCTTCCCACTCCCACCACTGTGTTTCAATGTTGGTGTGATATTCCTATTGTGAAATACAGAACTTTTTTTATATAAGGTATAAAGGGACCGGTGTTGTCAAAAAAGTTACACGTCCGACTGGTCTGTCAATAGCACATTATCCCAAAAAGCTTAGGGATTCGGTTTTGTTGTTGTTGTTGTTGTTGTTGTTTTTAGACAAGCATTGATGTTTCTTTTTGTTTGCAGTGTTTTCTGCCTTGCTGCCCTTCCATGAATGCCACTTTTGCCCAGTCCCTCTCTTACCGTGCAGTCACAAACACTGATCTTAGTTGAGGCTGAAAGACCTGCAGTTTCTTGGATGTTCTCCTGGAACCTTTGGTGACTTCCTGGATGATGTTGGATCATTCAGTAAATTAAATAGTAAATACAAAAATGTGTTTTATGTTTAAAAAGGTTCTCTTTTTCTAATATTACATTTTGTTTAAAGGTTCTAAAACCATTCACAATAATACATTTGCAGTAATAAAGAACATCAGGGTAGGGGCAAATACTTGTTCACAGCCCTGTATCAGTGGTGTTGAAGGCTCTTCTAGTGTGAACTAAGGATGAATGATGATAATGATAATTGCTTAAAAAGTCATTGGCATTGGATAAATGATTAAATTTGACCGATATTTGATGAAATTTTCATTGTACTCACGAAGAGGTTTAGATAACATTTACAGTTGTGTGAAAAAATTAGGACATCATATAATATAGTTCTTTATTAAGAAACATAGACATATCAATATTTGATCTTCTTTCAAACAATATCTATGGATAAAGTTGATGTAATTGCATCACCTTTGTAAAGACACTGAAAATTTGTCTATCATTTATTTAACAAAAAAATGAAAAAAAGATTAAAAGTAAAAGTTAGGACACCCTATGCCCTAATAGCTAGTATTTCCCCCTTTGGCTGAAATAACCTTAATTACATGATTCCTATAACCTTCTATCAGTATCTGACATTGACTGGGAGAAAGTTTTTCCCACACAGCTGTGTGATGTTTTGGGGGGGAGGGTGGGTTGCATGCACAGCTCATTTCAAATCACTCCACAGCATCTCCATTGAACTAATATCTGGGATTTGACTTGGCCATTCCAGAACTCTTCATTTCTTTCCTTTGAGCCATTCCTTGCTGGATTTTCTAGAATGTTTTGGATCATTGTCATGGTCCATCTCCACTTCAGCTTCAGTTTTTGATCACATGGTCTCACGTTTTCCTCAAGCACCTTCTGATATGATAAAGAATTCATAGTGGATTCTATGATGGAGAGCTTGCCAGGCCCTGCTGCTGAAAGTAGCCCCAAACCATGACATTTCCACCTCCATGCTTCGCTGTTGGTATGAGGTTCTTTTGCTCAAATGCTGTGTTTGGTTTGCGCCAAACATGTCTTCTGTTACTGTGCCCAAATGATTAAACCTTGGATTCATCTGTCCAAAGTCTTTGTCTAGGTGTTCTCTGGCAAACTTTAGTCTTGGACTGATGTTTTTTGACAACAAGGTTTTTGTCCTTGCAGACCTCCCATTAAAAAATCAAACTTGTGCAATCCTTCTGATGGTAGATATATGTACTTTGACATCAACTGTGGCAAAAGCTACCTGTAGGTCTCATGATGACATTTTAGGATTGTTGGAGACTTTTTTTACGCATATTGCGGGCTGCTCTTTGGCTGAACTTGCTAGGAATACCTGACCTGGCCATGTTGGCAGTTGTTTTAAATGTTCTCCACTTGTAAATTATTTTCCAGACAGTGGAATGGCTGATTTCTAATTGTTTTGGGATCTTTTTAAATCCCTTCCCAGACTCATATGCATCTACAGCCTTCTTTCTGAAGGCCTCGGAGAGCTCTTTGGGTCTCGACATGGTGATACTACTCACTTCAACAATCAGGAGCAAATCAAACTAAATGTCTGAGGTTTAAATAAGACAGGCTCCTCCAAAATCCTCTCTGTTGATGTTCTAATCATTTGCAGCTGATGTGTTGCACCTGATACTAATTTTAGACATTTTGCGTAAAATGTAAATAAAAACAGAGTGCAATGATGTGCAAATCTGATTTAATTTAATCTAATCTAATTTGGGGTTTAAACCCTATATTTATTTGAAAATTGTACAAAGACAACATATCACATATTGAAACTGGGAAATTTCATTGTTTTTTGAAAAAAAATATATGCCCATTTTGAATTTGATGCCAGTGACACGTTTCAAAAAAGTTGGGACAGGAGCATGTTTACCACCGTGTTGCATCAACTCTTCTTTTAACATCACTCTGTAAGCGTTTGGGAACTTAGGAGACCAATTGTTGTAGTTTTGAAAGTGCAATGTTTTCCCGTTTTCACCCAGTCTTGCTTGATATAGGATTTCAGCTGCTCAACAGTCTGGGGGCTCCTTTGTCATATTCCTTATTTCATTATGTGCCCATTTTATTCATTTTTTTAATGTGTGAATTTGTAATTTTAATGTGTGAATTTCTGTAATGCTAATCCAGGCAGATCCAGTCCCAATTTTTCATTTTATAAATGTTTATCTATTGGTATCAGCAGATATTAACATGAAAAATATTGGAGGTTGGCATCAGTCCCCAATACCCATAATGCCAAGTGGAGTTTTGTGGTTTTCCCTTTGAGGTAAAAAGATAAAAATGTAATGGACCTCATTCACCAACCATTCTTAAGAAGAAATTTCTTTCTAAAACCCACTTGTGCAGTTTTCATAAAGATTCTGACATTCACCAATGTTTTCTTGTTTGGGATTTATTCTGAGGTAAGAACAGAATCTGTGCACACTCAAGAGCACAAATGTGCAAATATTTCTGTGGTTTAAAAACACGTCATGAATCTGATGTGGACTTTTTTTTAGGGCCTTTCCCAAGAACACACACATTTTCTAAGCCACTTAACCTTCTGGGTTGCGGGGGGAGCTGGAGCCTATCCTAGTAGTCATTGGGTGGAAGGCAGAATACACCTTGGACAGGTCACCAGTCCATCGCAGCTTTCCCGAGAACAAATTTAAGATAAAACTTACGAAGGTATTTGTGAATGAGGCCTAGTGTGTTAATGTATGAGGTTAGGTTTAGGGTCACTGGTGGGCACTCTACTATTAATTGATGGAAAATAGCCTTAATCTGTCATTCACTAGAACATTTGAGAAACATTCTCATTAGTACCTCCTCCTGCACAAAATGTTCTAGGCTGCTTTAACAAAATTTGCGGTTTAGGTGTTTCCCAACTTCAGTTCTGGAAACTCACAGTGCACAGTGTGTTTTTGTTTGACCTGAGTCAAATTATCAGCTAATTATGCTCATGATGGGTTTAATGATTCACTGCTCATTTTAATTCGGTGTGCTGCATTGGGGAAAATCACAAAGCGCAGAGCATAGCTCACCAGGACTGGGATTGGCTATCATGGCCCAGTGCACCAGGACTTCAGTCTATATATCCATATATTATGTTGTCCAAGGACCAAGGATCTAGTGCTTGCTAAGGCAGGTACACAAGATTTTTGGCATAATGATTCTCATGCAGACATAAATAGCAAATTCTGAAAGAACTCTTTAGTTGTGAAGTAAAATTAGTGATCTTAGGATATTTAAGATGATGTGCTCACTGACAGCCTATTTAGTGATTTAGTGTCTTTGTCATCAAAGACCGTCAACAACAAAGTTCTGACAGTGTCAGACATTTTGCACAAAAATGTCAGAAACTGACCATTACTACAACATGTCTAAAAGGCCAATAGGAGTACAGCATGGCATGATTCACAACTCATGCCATCTATAAGAAGGTAAGGTCACCGATAGATGTCCCAAACAGAGCGAGCAATCATTAGAGAGTTTTTATCTCACATTCTGTTACAGAAT